CAATATAAGAGACAATGACTTCCCAGAGCAGAGAAGTTTACATATCAGAACCAAAGCACTGAACCCAAAACATTAGATGCTACCTCAGTTGTGTTATGGAGGTTACTCTTTTTGCATATTCTTGCATCTGCGGATTGCAGAGGTGACATGGCCTTTCTCAGTCACTCATCCTCCAGTCACTCCTTTCATTAGGAGTTAATAAAAATTGGGTTGGGCCCTGGGTTGAGCAATTTGTTCAGGTAAACTATAATCTAGGCTGGACTTAGGACCCCATTGGCTCTTTATAACCATAAATATGCCTTATTGTCTTTATTCTCACCCTGAGTTGCACTCGAAGTGGTAGATTGGAATTAACAAATTGGAATTGAACTTCACAGACTGCAGTGAGGTCTCAGAAGGACTCTCTATAGGTTTTAAATAAAAACAGGATATAATCTGATTTATACTTTTAAAGCTATACTTTGCTCCATGTATGGAAAACGAACTATAGATGTAATTTCACTACCTTGCCACTATTTATAATAGTGTAAGAGTTTTTTTGGAACACATTCATTTCACATTTATCCATTTTTCCTTCTGTATCTAGCTAACAATTACCAGAAATTCTACGACAGTCAGAACACCTTCTCTGAATTTTTACAGAGTAAAATGTTTAAGAATATAAGTTATAAGTTGGAAATGTACAAGGGGATGGAGGACAGAGCAAAACTGAGCTCTGATGGAAATAAACTTTCATCTGAAATCAAAGGGGAACATAGTCTTGTTTTCTGTAGTCTGTATTTGGTAGTTAAATACTATAACAGCTAAAAAATTAATTAACAATAACCTCATATTCTAGTAAGCTGAATTATTATTATGTCTCCTTTCCTCTTAAGACCAGGAATCAGTCTGACTCAATGTTTATTATTGTTATATAATAACATAATAAAATATAAATAATCAAAATATGACTGGAATTTAGCAATATATCAGGATGTGAAGCTTTGTATATACATTTCATATATATGCTTCCTCATTCTTTCAACATGATTTATATTCAGTCAGACTTCTCTGACACATCCATCAATCAATACTTACAAATGCATTATATGGTCAACTATCAGAGTCCTGCGATTACAGGGGTACACTACCACACCTGGCTAGCTTGAAATACCTTTTAAAGTGACTTACATAAAGGTGAGCAGAAATGAAAAACGATGACAGCAATGTGTTTTTCTCCTAGTAATAATCATCTTTCTTTTTATGGCAATACTGCCTTCTGTATATTTTACTATATTACTTTATCCAAGCTTTTTGAGTCTATGCCTTAGCAGGTTTATTTTCAAACAGGAGGCTAGAAAAAGCTGCTTTCAGTCTCCTCTCACAAAGAAAGAACCACGAGAAACCTTAATCATCAACTTGGATTGAGAAAGGCATAGGGATTTAGTAAAGCACATCTTTGGGTGTGTCTTCAAACTGTTTCCAGAGATGACTGGTCTTTGGGACTGCAAACTGAGAGGACAGGGAGGACCTGCTCTGAATCTGGGCAGAGCAGGGTAGAGGCTGACCAACAAAAGGAGAGGAAGGCAGAGTCTATTAGCACAGGCTCTTGCTTTTTCCTGCTTCACCTCATGCTCACCATGAGGTGAGCAGCTTTCCTCCATCATGCCCTTTTGCCATGTTTTTGCTTTATTATAGGCCTAAAAGCAATGGGGCCAGATGACCATGCATTGAAACTGAGATAGGAGATTAGAGTCAGGCAAAGCTGGCTGGGGAAGCCAGTGTGATTTGCTAATTATAAAATCTGAGGATGCATGCATAGCACAGTTCTCAAAGCTCTGCATGTGGACTTCTCACGAGAGTTAGAGCAGGTTTTCCAAAGAATGGCCTAGATTTGTGGTCAGCCTGAGAACTGACTGGGTGACACAAAAAGGACAGCTGTTACTGAGTTTTTGTCACTGTGTTTTCTATTGCATGGACAGACACCCTCATGCTGTGGGGTGTATTTTTTTCTTTCTTTTGCTTGGCCTGAACTCACTCTGCAGAGCCTGTTTCTTTTCCTATCGTTAACAAAACTTTGCTATCTTTTGTACTTGCCTTTGACAATTCTTTGTTCAGGACAGAATAACCTGGAAACCACCTCTAAGAAGGAGATTTCAACACACCAAAACCTGATAACAAAACCAAACTATGAGCCAAAATATACATTTCCTCTTTAAAGCTATTATTCTATGCTAATCAAAAAGATGATAAGCTAAGAGATACTGAAGATGGCTATACATAAAAACTCAGGAGTCTTTTATTAACTCAAAGGTTGAGGTAAGGGTAAAGTTTTTTACCCTTACTCTGAAGAATCAAGCCATTTTTAGATGTTACTTTTGTGGAGGTCTTATTAGGCCAGCTCATTGTGAGGTAACATTAAAAATCATTAAAAATAAAATCTCATGAAACAAGAAAAATCGTAGTTTTAAAATTGTACTTTTAAGAAGACTGCACCTTCAGGACACAAAGTAAACCACGGTTATCCCTATCTGTATTCCTTAAGCTTGTTTATTTTTTTCTTCCAGGCCCATCATCAAAATTCCTTAAAGTACCAGGACATAAATTAGCATAGTTGATAAGGTATAGGATAAAAATTTGACCTTAGGGTAGAGAAACAGATTCAAAGTGTGCAAAGAATGTTTCTTATGGAAAATAGGTCATCCATTTTTACAAGCAAATTGGGCCTGTAGCTTTCACATGTAAATTGAGCCTGAGCTTTCTATGAATTCACAAATTCCACAGACTTCTACCTGCCAAAATATAAATATTTTCAGCTTGAGATGTCTCTCTCTCTGTCTCTCTTTTGAGGCAGGGTGTTGCGATGTAGTTCAGGCTGGCCTTGAACTCATGATGATCCTCCAGCCTCAGCATTTCCAGAGCTAGCATTACAGGTGTGTACCACTATGCCTAGCTAATGTGCCTCTCCCTCTTGAGAACCTTGTCTTCTAGCCCTCTGTTTTCTCTGAGTGTGTACTTTAATTCTGCCTAATAAAACTTTTCTATGCCTGCTGTTGAGGCATTTTGAAATTTTCTTCTGTGCTGATTCAAGAACCTACTGTGCAGGCTGAATTGAGATCACTATTCTGTGGTCTGTCTGGTAACAAGCAATCCTCACAACTTATTAGGTAGATTCCATTATTATTTCCATTTTACAGTAAGGAAACAAGGTCATGGCTGAGCCTAGGTCAAGGAGCAGTGTCTCTGGGCTCCAGCTTGCCACACCATAGTCATATGCTCCTAACAGGAGTATAGGAAGTTTAAGTAACTTATTCATTATACAATACTGTCTGTTCCTAGCTGGGCAAAGAAAGGTCCAGTAGTTCAGATTTTCACATCCTGGAACATACAGGCTACGACAAAAAGCGCTGGAACTTGAACACGAAAGGTAGAATTCTAGAAGAAGCTTTGTATATTTAAATGTTTTATTATCGATTTAATGTTAAAACAGATCCTAGAGAAATGAGATCAGATAATAGTCATCCCATGGGTAACTGATCTCAGAATCCATACAGATCCAAAATCCACTGATGCTTAAGTCCCTTATAAAAATGGTGTAGCTGGGTGCAGTGGTACAGCTATAATCCTAGCACTCTGGGAGGCTGAAGCAGGAGGATGGCAAGTTCAAGCCCAGCCTGGGAAACTTAGTGAGACACTCTCTCAAAAAATAAAAAGAGCTAGCAATGTAACTTAGTATGAAGGTCCTGGATTTAATTTCCAATATAGAAAAAAATATGATATTTGCACATATTGTATATTAAGACTTCCTCTCATATGCTTTATCTCTTTTCCTTCTTTCTTTCCCTATCTATTTATTTTTCTTTTATGGTGCTGGGAACTGAATATAGAACCTTCACAGAGCTACATCCTCAGTCCATTTTTATTTTGAGACAGAGTCGCACTAAATCACTAAGTTGCCCAGGCTGGGCCTGAACTTGGAATCTTCTTGCCTCAGTCTATGAATGCTAGAACAGCCCATGCACCATCATACTTGACTCCATATACTTTTAGAAATTACTTTTTATAATACTTAATACAATGTAAATGATTCATCGACGGGTTGTTATACTGTAACATTCACTACAGATGTAATTCCTTTTTGGGTATCTCAGATCCACAGGTAGTTGAATCCATGAATTTAAAATACACACCTAACAGAGCCAAAATGTTTAATTCGCTGAGAACCTTTCTTTATAATGAAGTCAAGAAACTGCCAAGGGCTGGGTGATGATCAGTAACCTTAGGAATGTCCTGTGGCCCACTTATCAGGAGTCCAGCTGCCAGGGTTGGGTGACTGTGTGCATGCCTGGTAAGAAAGGTGATAAGAGAGGTGGAACAAGTAATTTAGAGGACAAACAATGGCATTTTCAGAGATGGGTGATCCACATAGAATGAACTCATTTACTGATCAAAATCCTATTAGACATAGCCTATTTCCTATTTCATTGACACATGGAATTTTGTTCTGTTCCTTCAAGTCAGGTCATCACTTTCGTTACTTTAACACTCCAACTCCTTTCTGACCTTTGCACTTGATGTTTCCTTCTCCTGGAACATCTTACCCACAGATCCCCATGGCTGGTTCCTTTTCATAATTCTGGTTTCAGTACAAATGTCACTTCACAGACAATTTCTCCGACTACAGTAGTTTAACTCCTGCCTCTAAATACTTTCTCGTATTACAATTCAACTCATTTCATCTTCTGTTTACTATAGGTACTGCCTCCCCAAATCCGACGTAACCCTGTGAAACCAGGGTCTTTTCTGTCTTGTTTACGGCTGCAACATCTGAGACTGTAACGAGTATAAAAACAGCTACTGTATTCTATACTGTATCTTGATGTCCGCAGATTCCTAGAAATCGGGCGGAACCAAGGGGCAGTGGGCTACGTTCCTTGAGGACGCAGGGAAGGCTGTCAGGAGAAGCCCGGGCCTTGGAAGGTCAAGCGGAAGTCCGAGGGGCGCGAGGTGTGGGGGCTCACCTGCCGAATGGCCGCCAGTGTGTTCTCGGGCGCGTCGTGGCTGCCGCCGCGATGGGCGATGGCCGAAATGCGGTCCCCGGGCTTGAGCACCTGCAGGACCCTGCGGGAGGGCACTTGCTCAAAGCTGAAGAGGCGCAGCAGCAAGTAGAGGCTGCCGGTGAGGAGGCAGGCATTGAAGGGGCTGCGCGTCACCACCAGGAGAAGCACCAACAGAAAGGAGAAAGGGCCCAGGAGGCCCCCCTGCTCCTCCCACAGCCACATGCCGGCGCCCGCACCGACACGGACAGGAGTCCCGGACCCGCCGGGTAGGGGTGAGAGGCCAAGGAATCGGCCGCAGCCTGAACCTTTCCAGCGGACTAGCGCCGCACAATGGCGGCGGCGGACACATAGCGAAACGAAGCTGGTCGGCCAGCCAATCAAGGGCCGGGATATACCTGCGCTAGGGGGCGGAGCCACTTACATGGCAACGGGGCGGGCCTAGGCTTGGGGTTTGAGTTCCAAAGTGGCTTTGGGTTATCTTGGATAGCAATTTCAACCTTCAGGTTCAGATTCTTTCGTGGGGAAGGGAAAGGAAAGGAGGAGTCTGGTGGAAATCTAAAGATTTCCTGTGTTCCATCTGAGGTGCTCGAAACCTTATCCTAGTTATGCGATTCAGTTCAAGATGTGCCAAGCACTGGTCCGCGTGCTGTGTACAGGACTGAGAGTCCCACATCTTAAGAGATTTACTTTGTGGAAGAGTGGAGTAATAGTGTTAACAATACAGCTAAAGTTTTTATTTATTTATTTATGACACAGCTAACGTTTTCAGAATACTTATGTCCCAGGTGCTGTATTTGTTTATGGATCATTTATCCTGTTGCAAATACTGGTAGTAAACATAGTGTATATGTGTCTCTTACTTAGTGGAAGACCACTACAGGGATGGATCCTAGCTTGCTAACTCACTGGAGATGAATGGAAGACCAGTATAGGGTCCTAACATGCTAACTCATTAAAACCACGATTTGTGTTTTCTTCTAAGATAATTAGGGACTTACAAACAAATTTTGCTATAAAAATAAAAAGACAATAGAAAAGTGACTTTCCATTTGGGCCCACAAATGCACAACAGATAACAAAGCAGAGCAAAGCCAGCAGCACTGACACATGCCTGTAGTTTCAGCACTCAGGAGGCTAAGGCAGGGGGATTGGGTGAGTTACAGGTCAGCTTGGGCTACATAGGAATTCAAGACCAGCCTGGAATACATAGTAAGACCCTGTCTCAATAAACAAACAAACAAACACATAAATAGCCAGACAGTACTTGACTTTCATTTTGTATTTGTTTCTGTAAAAATTTAGGGCAAATTCTTTGTAGCTCTGCATATGGGTATATTAATCACTTAGGGAATGTCAATCTAAAAGCAGGCAAAATTAGTTAATTAGCCCTAAATTTACAAGATCTTGTCCCCCTTTTAGACTAAGAATCCAAAGTTAGGGATTTACAGGAACATTTCATCTATCCCAGATGTCTCCTGCCATTGTGATAAACATAGGATCACCTGGATTCCAGGAAAAACTGAGCTCTATATAACTGAAACCAGTACAGATAGAGACAAGCCTTTACAGTATGAAGATTCCAGAGCTACTATTATAGACAGCTAAGTTAGGTAGAAATTCATATACTGTCAGAGAAGGATTGCACCTTCAAGGAAGTGGGCACAAAAAATAAAGACATTAGCATTGTAATTAGAGGTGAATCTGAAAAGAGCCAAGCCTCAGGGTGAAAAACAATAGATAGGCCTACATATCTGTGAAGAAAAACTGTAGGAGGCAGACTGCAAATTGACCTAGGACCTACTATGAGGAATAAAGAAAAAGAGACAAATTTGCAACCAAGGGAAACCAGAGAGTGGGAGTCTAGAAGTTTCCGTTCTTAGTAAAACAAGAAATGTAGCAATCATGCAATCTGGAGTTCAAGGAAATGTAAATAACAAGGAATAGAACATTATGCCTGGATGTATAATTTTCTTTGTTCAGCTTAGCTGGTTGTTGTCCTGTCTTGGGGATATTGTGAGTATGAGAATTCCTGCGCACAGAGCAGCCTTCTGCTCCCTCTCCCCTCCCTGGGAAATGTCAACAATCTGTGGCTGATTAGGTAGCCAGGTTTCTCATAATAAAAAACAACTTGAGATCATACGTACCACCTGGTCCAGTGGACCCAGAGAACCATCAGACACATAGGTGGGTGATCAGAATATCTAGACCTGTACTCCTCCAAGAATTCCTTTGATCTTTCCATATACCCTTGCTACATGACAAATTTCCCTGTTGGATCAATGTTAGCTAAGCTGCTATACTTGTAATCCTATAGGTTGATAACAGTCTGATTCATGTTATACCCATTGTGATTTTGCTGTACAAATTATCCCTGATGCAGAGCCTCAGTGGCCACACATCTCTCTCCTGTTTCTCATGGACTTTCTGTTAATAAGCCCTTCCTACTCTTAACATCCTTTGTCTTTTGGAATTCTTTCTTTAATATTTGGGGGACACAAACTGGGCACATTTGATATCTAGCAGGTTGGGAGTCATATTTTTCCTGTATTAATACAATCTGGGACATTGTTTCAATGGCCTTAGGAGAATGATTTTAGAAGAATTTTCTGGAGTAGGAGGGAATGAAAAAGCATAAGAACAAGACGGGCTTAGTGGCTCATTCCTGTAATCCCAGCACTGGGGAGGCTGAGGCAGGAGGATCGTTGTGAGTTCGAGACCAGCCTGAGCTACAAAGTGAGCTCAAGCCCAGCCTGAACTGCATAGCAAGACTCTGCCTCAAAAAGCCAAAAAAAAAAAAAAAAAGCATAGGAACGATTCACAGTTGAACTAGTATAAACCTGGCAGGGATTTTACTGATTTCTTCATTCTATGGATTAAGAAACTGAGAGGTGAAGTGAATTGAACCATCAGTGGCAGGGTTATTTGTCATCATGACTTGTGACTTTTCACTGTTCCTCATCTTCTTTCTAATCTTACTTTTCCTACTAAAGGCATAAGCACAGTCATTGTGCAAAAATTATTGCAGTTATATCTTATGATCACTCTTGTAATAGGAGCTTTTAAGATTTTTTGTTTTAAGATTTTATTTGGTTTTTGACAAGACCTCACTGTGCAGTCCAGGCCAGCCTTGCTTGAACTTGCTATGTAGCTCAGGCTGGCTTCAGACTTATGAACCTTTTGCCTCAGCCTCTTAGTATTACAAGTGTGATAGTCACTTTTAAGAGTCCTGCATTACATATGCAAAAAAAGGCACTGGAAGGAGGTTCAGTAAGAGAGACTTACAGGGTAAAGTTGAGTTAGGAAACAGAAACCGTTAAGTCGTATTTTGCAAAGCTGATAATATGGTGTTTAGGTAGACAGAAATTTGGCAGAAGATACAGGGATTTTTCTGCCATCTTGAACCTGTTACTTTTTCCCCTCATACACATTTTCCTACTGATTTCCAAAAGGGCACGAATATCTCAAGGCTTTGGATTCAGCAATTTTTAAAATCTGTTTTTGATAAATATTGTATTTTCCAACGACCACAGAGATCTTATCTTTATACAGTTAAGTTAAAAAGTAGCAGCTTCACGGAAATTCTAGGGGCTTCTAATCCCAGTAGTGTTCATACTGTGTATCAAATTATAATTTACAGACACCTGCTTGCAGTGAACCCTACGTTTCCCAGCCTGTAAATCGCTTGCCGGAAGCATACGTCCTTTGTCATGCTCGCGCGATGCAGTCTGGGGATTGTAGTTTCTGGCGGTCCAACGATTTCAACAGCCGGGGAAGCAACTACAGGAAGTACGATCCTGAGGGGTGGAGCCAGAGTGGCGGCTGCTGCTGTGGTTGCCAGGAGCCCGCGTTGCCGCCGGAGAGACCCGTAATATGGCGGGGAGAAGGAGAAGGAGGCGGCGAACCGAGCTGCTCTCTACCAGAACCGTTTGAGCTGTTTTCTTTCGGACAAGGTCCGTGGCGACGGAGGAAAACTGACAGGCCGCGAGTGATCAAGTGTGTGCATGAGCAGTGGGCTCCATCCAGTTGCATCTGGGCTGAGAGGCGACCTGATGAGCGAAGTTGGCGCCCTGTAGCGCTGAGGGTGGACTCTGTCCTGGGTTCCTAGACCTCGAGCTCCTAAAAGGCACCGTGTTTGGGGAAGAGGGTTCTGAGGATGGGTTGCACCAGGTGTGGAGGTGTTGCTCAGGTGCTGGCATCGCCTGGGTGTGTCCTCAGAAGAGCGGGGGAGGTGGGCATGGAGCCCTGGGGTCAGGTGAGGCAGGAGTGTGGGGAATCCACTCGGGACCCAACGGAGAACCCCTCCTTTGATGAGACTGTTCAAGGACTGTTCGGGCCATTTTTCTTCTGTGCCCCACAGTGCGAGAGAGGGTGGCGTCCTCGGGATGTGTATTGGCCATTTCTCAATGGCAGTTACCACAGCCAGAGGCCCTAGGGGCTCTGTTTATTTGGCCTTTGCCACTGAGGGGCAGATGCATGAGGGATAATAAAGCAAATTCTCTTGATCGCCCCTGACACTGCTAGGTGGGTCCTGCCCTTTTGTTTCTCTCATCTGGTTAGAATTCCAGTTCCCTACTCCCAGTTCAGGCAGATAGATCCAGCTAGAGGTTGGTTTGATGGGGAGGGGTCCATGTTTTCAAGTTACCTTTGAATCTTACCAGAAACCAAACCCTGTCACTGTCCTTCAAGAGTTTACAGGCTAGTGATAAAAATCGTCGCCATTGGTCACTTCACAAGAGAAGCAGCTTCCATTTATTGATGCTTTCTGCTTAACTCGCAGAATGCTAATTGCTGTAAATGCATTAGCTCATTCAGTTCTCACAGAATCCCTTTGAGACAACAGATACCCAGAAGGTCTCTGTTTTACAGGTAGGGAAACAGGTGCAGTGATGCTAAGTGGCTTGCTGCGAATGTGCCTGATTGTCAAGAGATCTTCTAGTACTTCCTCTCTGAGAAGTGTGTTATTTTTACTTTTCCCCTCAGTGACATTTCTGTCAGAGTGCTGGGCAGGAGCAGATAGAGCCACAAGTCTAGGGTTTGCAAAGAGGCTTATTTGTTCAAGGGTTAGTACTTTGGTGTAAATGGAGATGACAAGGCATGTCTGAACTTGCTGCAACTGACATTATTAATGGAAGGGGACCAGTAATGCTGGATGGTAGAGTATTGGGCAGTAGATTTGTGGTTAGGATGGCCTTGTAAGTGAAGGCTTTCAAAATAAAACCTTGCAGACAGTGATAATTGTGGTGTGAGAAATATATTTCCCTCTTGCTTAATCATGGGATGGAGACTGCTCACCTTTTAAATGGCTACCTTTGCAGTGTAGAGGTACCAGTTTCTTTAGGAATAGGATCATCCATGATACACTGTATCATTCTGTAAATTTCCTTCTTTTTTGCTAGTTTCTTTGCTGTATAGTTTACTATTTTTTTCTTCCCTAGGTTTCATTATTTCTTAAGATAATAGTTCTAATGCATTTATTAAATATTTTAATGAAGTGCCTACTGTGTACTAACTCTGTTCTGTGTCATGGGTATTCAGTGGACAAGGCTGGGAAGGTACCTGTTCTTATGGAGGAGGAAGACAGATAAACCAAGGAAATAAACAAGATAATTTCAGATAGTGGTAAGTGCTATGAGAAGTAGGAAACAGCATAGTAATGTGATTGTGATTGAGGCAGGGTTAACCAGGATAGGGTAATCAGGGACATCCTCTTTGGGGAGGAGACATCCAAGCTGAGACTAAAGGATAAGAACATCTAGTCATGTTCCATGTGGCATTTTTTATAACCTTCATATCAACACTTGTATTTGAATATTTAATGCATTTTCATATGTTGTAGATTATTCTGTAATAATTTATTACCATTTTCTCAGACCTTTAAAATTGAATTTCATACTTTGTATATCTGTAGAAAGTATATTACATTATTTGCACAAGTAATATAATTGTGTTCCCTGTATTAGTGAATATATAAGTTGTGTTAAAAAATACTTTGAAGTATTTTAGCAGAAATAGATTTATTTGGATTTCTTTTGTTTCTTAGCCACCGCATATTTTGGTTGTTAAAATATAATAGATTGAAACCTAGAGTGAAAAATGATTATATAACAAAGTATCTTTTTTTTTTTTTTTACTTTCGCTTTTTTATGTTTGTTTGCTTGTTTTTGCAGTGCTAGAGAATGAACCCAGGACCCATGCATGCTAGGCAGGCACTGTATCACTGAGCTTTGCTTGCAGAATAATGGCTTTCACACTCTGAAGTACCATTTTTTTGAAATTAAATTCTCGCTTTGCATAAGTTGAATAATGTAGAAATAATTATAGTTGATGGAAAAGTAGGAAGAAACTGTCAGTTTGTCAAAAGTAGCAACGTGTCTTTTTTTTCCAAAATTGAGTCATAATTTTGAATTTGCATTGTCCTCATTTTCAGTTGTACTATAATTTGCCCCTCTCATTTCAGTGTACTAAATTTTTAAGTATTCTGGGGCTTAGGGTAGTATCATGTTTTATCTTACTTCATGCTTGCATATCCCACAGCATGAGTTCAATTTCTTTTCCTCCTCTTTTTCTGTTAAATAGTTAGTTGTTCTAAAAGGAACATTTAAACATTATTGCATTAAATTTTTTGTTTCCACAGTTTATCAATTCCCTTGTTATGATTTTAATAGTGTCGTGTTATTTTCTTTTGCCTATGTAAAGGAAACATAGCCACATATAATGCTATGCAAGTAATCAATAAATATAAAACAGTTGCTAAGGAATGATTATGGTGCCTTATCCTTCTGATTACCTGGAATTTTCATAATCACCATCATAGTTTCCCAGAATCTGTGAAATTACTGTGGTGCTATTTTAAGTAGCTTGGTGATGGTTCCAATTTTCAGTAGTAAAATAAAGAATTAATCCCAGGTCCAAACTATTTCCTGATTTCTACTTCTGACTGATTGGCTGGTGTCCAGAGAGAGAGAGAAAGAGTGAGTGAGAGAGAGAGAGAGAGAGAGAGAGAGAGTGCATACACATGTGTACGTGTGTTGTTGTTGTTTTTCTTTTTAGAGACAGGGTCTTACTATGCAGTTAAGGCTGGCCTTCAGTTCACTTTAGAGCCTAGGCTGGCCTTGAATCTGTGGCTATCCTCCTAACTCAGGTGCCATTTCACCCAGCAAAATACATTATTAAAATATATAAATAATAGCTTTTGGACTTCATGATAGGAAAATAGCTTTTAAAATTATGTTATTTAAATAACCCCAAAAGCACTTCTGCTTTTTTTGTTTTTGGTTCTGGCCATTGAACCCAGGGTCTTTACACTGAAATATGTCCCCAGCCCTTTCTGAAAATTTTTTAAAAAACTTTCTAGTTTCTTTTTTTGAAACAGAGTCTCACTGAGTTACTCAGTTGCCTGGGCAGGGTTCGAATTTGCTACCCCTGTTTTCGCCTCAGGCGTGTGCCACTATAGCTTGTTTTCATACGGTACAGTTTTTCTTGTGCTGCATTGACAAGCTTTATTGAAGAAAATACAATATTTTATTTTACAATCTGAAGTCAGTAAAATGGTACAGAACTTTTGTTTTCTTTAAGGTTTCATTGAGTTCTTAGTACCCTCTAAACTAATCACATTTCAGGATTGATTTACATGCAAAAATGTTCATCAAAATTTAGTATATGAAAGCAAGCCTTAAACTGATGAGCTCTTGAGGTGCTTTTATAACCTAGAATTAGCTCCTCTACAATGGGACATTTCAGGGAAGTCCAGTTCCAGAGTTTGTAAATTCCAGGGAATATTTCACGATCTACAACATTTTGTCAAATAATTAAGATCTATTTTTCTCAGCACATTAAAGATAACATTTTTCTTTCTTGTAGTGTTATTGCAGGAAGATGGAGGAATATGAAGAGTTCTGTGAGAAGACTCTTGCCAGAATCCAAGAAGCATCACTATCCACAGAAAGCTTTCTACCTGCTCAGGCTGAAAGTATCTCACTGATTCGCTTCCATGGAGTGGCCGTACTTTCTCCACTGGTAAACTTCCTTTAAGTAACTTTTTTTTCTCTTGTGAACCACATAAGCAGCTCACAGAAGAAATAAAGGGAAGGCTTATAAGCATTTAAAAGAGGCCTAATGTTTATTCATAGTTAGTGAAATACAGTGAGTTACCTACCAGATTTACAAAGGTCTGATAGATCCTAGTGTTCCTTAGGTTCTGGGTAAGATGCCCCTTAAATGCACTTTTGCTAAGAAAATCCATTTATAGGAGAAATGAGAGGAATAACGATGTGTCATGTACAGGATCCTAGTAACTCCAGTCAATGTAAACAGTATGTGCCCTACTATAAGCTAAGACAGATAACATCAACAAGCATGGAAAAGGTGATAGGGGAACCACAGGAGGAGGCGGGAGGGGATTAGAAAAGAGCACGCTTTTATATGTACATGTAACCACTCCCTGAGATGATTGTAAACTGTGTAAATTGCAAACATGTACTAATAAAATTGAAGAAAAAGAAAAAATTTTTTTGTGAGTAGTTGGTAATGTTTATCAGAATTTAAAAGTGTACATAACTTTGATCCAACAGTTTCATCTTCGGCAAATATCCTAAAATTATGGATGTTCTCAAAAAACAAGTTAAACTAGCATTGTTAAAAATGAAGGAGATTGGAACTGGGGATTTAGCTCAGTGGCATAAGCGCCTGCCTTGCAAGCAGGCAGTCGTGAGTTTGATCCCTGGTACCGATAAAAAGGAAAAAGACAAAAAAAAAAAAAAAAAATGAAGGAGATCGACAACCTAAATGTCCACTAAATGTCCACTAGTAGTGGGCTAGTTGAACTAACTTTAGTCTGTTTTATAGAATTGTATAATGCAGGCATATAAGGATGTTATTGAACTGCTCCATGCAGGATGTCATAGGCAGTACAGAGTTTTAGTTAAAAGCCTAAGCTCTGGAAACTTGTGGGGTGGATTCAAATCGTTGTTTTGCCACTTACTTGCTGGGTGAATTAAAGCTCTATTTCCTTGTTAAATGAGGATTAAAATAGTGCCCACTTCATAAATCCATTTTGAAGGTTAAATCAATTAATACATGTAAATACTTAGAATACTACCTGAATCATAAATGGTAACTCTTTGCATTTTTAAATGATTGTTACGTTTTTTGTTAGGAGGGAGAAGACTTTTTTTTATATACTTTGGTACTCATTGAGAAATTTTTTTTTTGATACTGGGGATCAAACTTGTGACTTCTCACTTGCCAGGCAGGTGCTGTGCCCCTGAGCTGTATCCCTAGACCCCAGTGAGTATTTTTTAAATGTAGTGACTTTGATTTCAATTAGAAAATTGACATTAGAAAAACAGCAAATTGAAAAATTTGTTTTCATTCTGGCGTGGTGCACACTTGTAATCCCAGCACTTGGAAGCCTGAGACAGGAGGACCACTGCAAGTTCAAGACTAGAATGGGCTAGAGAGTGAGTTCAGGGCCAGCCTGAACTGCGTAGTGAGACCCTGTCTCAAAAAAAATTTTTTTTTGTTTTAGTATAACAAGTGTTAAAAGATTAATATTTTCTATCAACTTTTTGTAATGAAATTTTTATGTATAAAAAAGTTTAAAGAATAATGCACTGATAACCCATATCTCTACCATTTAAATTCAGCAATTTTTAAATATTTTTGTTATCGTTATTGTTTGTGATTTTTTTTTCTGTGTATGTACACATATATACACTTAAAAAAATTGTCTAATGATTTGAAAATTGAAGACCTTATTCCTAAAGATCTTACTACATATTTTCTAAAAATAAGGGCTATGTATTTTCCTATAAAAAAATCCCAATAACATTATTAAAACTGAACAAAATTAATAATATTTAACATTCTGTTAGTATTCAAATTTTTTTGTGCAGGTTTTTTTTTTTTGGTACCAGAGATCAGACAACCTTGCGCTTGCCAGGCAGGTGCTTATGCTGCTGAGCTAAATCCCTGGCCCCATATTCAAATTTTTTACTTATACTCAAAACATTTTTTTCTAATGTGTATCCACTCAGCGTTCATAAATAGCATTAGTTTATTATGTTCTTTAATCTCTTTTAGTATAGAACTGTCCCTCCACTTTAAAAACTTTTTTTTATGACATTGAGTTTCTTGAGACCATACCACTTATCTTGTAGAATGCCTGACATTTTGGATTTCTCAGCTTTTTCCTCATAGTGATTTTTAACGTGTAGCTCCTACAAACTGGAAGTTAAGTGTAAAAATTTGCTAAAAGTCAAGTAAATATTTTTGGCAAGAACTCGAGCTGATGCCATATATATCATATTAAATTAAATCAGAAGTTATATAGGTTTACTTGTCCCTCTATTAGTGATGTTTAGTTTGAACATTTGCTTACCCTGATGAACATTTAGTTATTTGGTCTTTAAAAAGCATACTTTTTTTTTTTTTGAGGCAGGGTTTCTGTATGTAGTCTAGGCTAGCCCTGAACTCATTATGTAGCCCAAGCTGGCCTTGAACTCATGGCTACCCTCCTGTTTCAGCCTCTTGAATCCTGGGGTTATAAGGATTCACCTCCATGCCCAGCATTATGATGATTCTTGGTAGCATGCAAATGGTAGAAAGCTTTATTTATCTATTTTTTATTAGTATATATTTGTGACACATGATGAACCTATGCCTTGGGAGAGGAAAACATTTTAAAGCAATTATTTTTATCAGCTAGTTGATGACTATTACTTTATTGTATAGCGTCTATGCCTCCTTTAGTTACTTATTTATGAGCAAAATCTTATTTCTATGGATTTACTCCACGCTTGTATGTTGTATTTGATAGATGAATATTGCAGTTTTGGAATATTTTTTATGACATTTTTTTAGTAGTTTTGATTCAAAACTTCCTGATTTTATATTTTTATCATTGAGAAGTTTTATATTTTCATGTCTTACAGCTTAATACTGAAAAAAGAAATGAAATACAACAAGAAAAGCAGAAAGCACTTGATATAGAAGCAAGAAAACAGGTTAATCGGAAGAAGGCTTTATTGACTCGTGTCCAGGAGATTCTTGAAAATGTCCAGGTAGGTAATTCAAACTGTTTAAAGTTAATATTAGCAAGTCATAACGTAAGTATTGATGATATTTTTTCACAAACATGTTTGCAAATAACTATTAATATGCTTTACCGTTGTTTGAGAAGCTTTGTAATTTGTGATGTTCTATTTCAGTTACTCCAGAGAGAATTCAGTTGCTCATCAGTGATGCCCAGTACTTGAATCGAGGATACTTAGGATAGTGGAACTATACACTGAATATAATTGCTTATTGTCTTTGTCTTAGGACTCTAAAAACATTGAATTCTCAGTGACAAAATGTAGAATTGGCCATTGTGGTTAACTCCTGAATTAATCAGACTGTTTACTAAAGAACCTTCTCATTCTCTGCTAAAGTAAATAACTGTCTCCAATTTTTTTGATGAAAATTTTACTTTTAGACACAAAAAATGCAGTTCAGATTAAGTAAATAGAATTACCTAGATATGTTCGCATCTAAACTAAAAGCATTAAATAACACATCCATAGCTCTTGGAATTATTATATTTTTATTTAGATTAACTTAAATTTGTATATACTGTTTCAAGGTCTGAGTTATCATACTAAAAAATGAATTAAATGCTAATTACCTTTTTTTTAAAACTGTCTTAGAAATTTGTGATTCTTCTTTGTGATTCATAGTAGATGACATATATATAAAGAACCTTTGAGTATTTCTTGCTATTACCTTGATTTCTTTGTAGATAATATGACAGATGGATAGCAGATTGTAATTTGTAGATAATTAGTACTATCTATATTAAATTTAAAACTGTAATACATAGCATAAACTTAAAAATGGGTGGAGTTTTTGACTTACTGGATAATTCTCATTATTGACATACTGTTTTTGGTCTATAGGGGAAGATTTCAAATATACTACAAATGAAGTTATTGTTAATGAGTTCCAAAACTTTCTTTTTAAAACAACATATACAATGTTGAACTGTAATGAATTGATTATTCAAGTAGAGAAATTTTATATAATACAAATAGAGTTCCAAGATCTGTTTCACATATAAAATCTGTGAATTTATGATAGCTCTTTTTAAATGTAGCTTGTGTAACCAAAAGCTTATTTGAATAGTGTACATAAAGTACATAGTTGCTAACTAGCACAGATCTGAAATATGAAAGATTTTATATAAAAAGAGTCTGTTTTGCTTAAACCTATGAACATATTCATAGATTTGGCAACAGCACCTCTGTTTTGGTTTATTTTGGCCCTGAGGTAGTGACTAAGTATACCTTATTGTACTGTTTATTGTTTAGCACCTGGAGACCATTGTGTGTCTTGGGATTTGTAAGGTAAAATGAGAGTGCCATATGGTGCAGAAAAAAAACAGGGACATACAAAATAACCCCAGAATCTTTTAATATTGAAAACTTGGGGGTTTATGATATTTTATAGTGTTTTCTGTCAGTTTAATATGTGCTTGTGTAGTCTTTAGCAATTAGTTATTAGAATCTATTAAAATCTATTATCTATTACTATTTTTAATCTTTTGCAAAGTCAAAATATTTAAATACAAAATGTAATTTTATTTTTTTCTGTTAGTTATCTTAATGTGGGAAATACCTATTTTGCTTATTATAAAATGCATTAATGGGCTATTTTAACTCATCACTAGTGAATAGATGATAGATAGAGAGATAGATAGTGTAGTACATATACATACATACATTTATATACTTACATTTTACCAAATAGGTTAATTTTCTTTTAATAAATAGGCTAGGTTGTTTTTATTAGTAATTTGAGTCCCATGTGATATAGGATACCATAGAAACTGTCTTTGTTTTTGCTTGTGTTTTCAAATGTCAGAATATGGAACCTTCAGTTTCTGTTTTATTTTAGAAAGCAAAAGCTATTTGTGCAGTGAAAAAATAGTAATTTTTAATGTCCTTGTTCAGGTTAGAAAAGCACGTAAAGCCAGTGATTTTGATCAGTGGGAGACCAACACAGTCTACTCTAATTCAGAAGTCACAAACTTGAATGTTCCTGCTACGTTTCCAAATAGCTTGCCAAGCGCTACTGACCATTCTGCTTTGGCAGAGTCTGAACAGACAGCTGGGGTTTTGCTCATGGATAATGAGGACCAGCATAAACCTAATGGGATAGAGTTAGCTAAAGATACAGAAGGATTTAATTCTCCAAAGCAATGTGATAGTTCAAATAGCTGTGACACTGAAAGTGAAACATCTCCAAAGATCTCCTCAGCAACTTCACAAGGGACTTTAATTTCTGATGTTCTAATCTCAACGACTGAAGAACAAGAACTACCGGTTTTGGCAGAAGTCACTCCAGACCCCTATATAATGAGTCTTCAGAACCTGATGAAAAAGTCAAAGGAATATCTAGAAAGAGAACAATCTAGACGCAGTCTGAGGAGCAGTACAAAGAGGAGTGTTAATGAGAGTCACTCAGACAAAGAAAATGATGCTGCTAAAGTGAGCGACTGTGTGAAAGAGAAAGCCCTGGTCATAGGCAAACATTGTGGCTCAGTGATTCCAGATAAACCAAGCCTTAATAAATCAAATGTTCTTCTCCAAGGTGCTTCCTCTCAAGCAGGCAGCACAAATACATCTGTTTCAGGTAGCTTTTCTAAAGTAGATATTCCTATACAAACTGGCCATCCCACTGTTCTGGATTCTGAGGCTGATTTTAAAGTTATTCCCACTTCTATTACTGAAAATAATGTAATCAAAAGCCTTACTGGTTCATATGCCAAATTACCTAGTCCTGAGCCAAGTATGAGCCCTAAAATGCATCGAAGGCGTTCCAGGCCACCATCAGCATGTCATATACTTATAAATAACCCAATAAATGCCTGTGAGTTAAGCCCTAAAGGAAAAGAACAAACAGTGGACCTAATTATTCCAGATACTGATGAAAAAACAACTATATCTGAAACTGTGCCAAAGTTACCAATTGATTTAGCAGGAGTTTGTTCTAGCAAAATTTATGTCTGCAAAAATGCTATTGAAGCCATAGAAGATGCAACTGTAGGCAAATCAAGTCAGGTGTGTCAATCTTTGGGAAATCAACTAGAAAATAAAGTTACACATGGACTTGCTGTTGTGGAAGGCCAGTTAATATCTGATGCCAGAGGAGCACACAAAAGTAATACTCCTTGTTCTACAGGGCCCATGTCACATGAGCCATGTGCCACTGCCAGTCAGTGTATAGCAAGTCAAAACTTGGGAACTGTGAGTGGATTCAAGTCAGTCAGTATGTTAGAGAAAAACTCCTGCAATTCACAAATAGAATTAAATAAGTCTTATCATGTGAAAAATCCATCTCCTTTATTGATGCAAAACCAGAACACTACACCACCGATGGATATACCTATGGTGTCCTGTGGAAATGAACAGCTTTTGGATAACAGTTTTGAAAAAGTTAAGCGAAGACTTGATCTAGATATGGATGGTTTGCAGAAGGAAAATTGTCCTTATGTGATAACCACTGAAGAACAGAGACATTTGCCAGAGAAAAGATACCCTGCAGGATCTTTCTATAGTCACAAGAATAAAATACTAGAAACTAGTACCAAAGGTAAGAAAATTTTGAAGTATTTGCTAGCTCCCAAGAAGGTGGACTTTTGTTTTAATACTTTTATTTATTTGTTTAAGACAGGATATCATTAGGTATTTCAGGATGAATTTCAGCTCATTACATAGCCCTGGCTGGTCTGAAACTCATGTTAATCCTCCTACCTCAGCCTTCTGACAGCTGAGATTATAGGCATGGCCACTGCCCCTGGCTTGTTTTAATATTTTTAGTTGACATCTTGCAAAAAATGATTGTCTTCATCTGTTCATAAGTTCACTTAATTTCATTTATCTTACTAGAAAATACATGATTACTTTATTGCCATTTGTTAGGCTTTTGGGAAGAATTTTCTTATATAAATGATGAAACTTTCACAGTACATTTAGAATTATAGAAAATATTAATGATTGGAAGAAATAATTCTACTAAACATCATGATTTTAATTCAGTGGATGGCTATGATGTCTTCCTTTGGATATGTCTTCTAATGTTTTTGCTACTGCACCCTTTCATTTGAAATCAGATGTCTGTGTGTAGTTGACCCTTCAGTAAACATGTTAATGCCAAATATCTAGAGTACATATCACAAATGAGGCTTGGAGAGGCTGCGTATAGTAATGCGTGCCTGTCTCAGCATCAAGAGGCTGAGGCAGGAGGACTGCTATGATTTTGATTCACTGGATTACCTAGTGAGTTCTAGACCAATCTGAGTTACATGGCAAGGCTCTATCTCAAAAAGCCAAAAAAAAAAAAAAAAAAAAAAAAAGAATTTGTAGTGGTGTTTGAAGAATTCTTTGTTGATCAACGTTATTTCATATTTCTTTGTTGTATTCAGTTTTATATTAAGAGCCTGTGAATGCATGTATTTCTTTTTCATTGCTCTTTTATTGTCCCAGTTTGTAATTCTTCATTGCTGATAAGGAAAACACCAGTCAAGTAAATTAAGTTGTTAAAACTTCCTAGGAAAACAAATTTAGGGCAGAATCTTTCAAACTATCTTCATACAAGATCTAATAAAAGCAGTTGGTATCTAGGAAGCCATCTTGGATTCTCCAGGTAGACAATTTAACATGGCTAAGAGCTGCCTCTGATTAACAAAAGAACATAAAACCCTCTTTGCAGCAAGCAGGATGAGGTCAGTTATGGTGGCCGCCAGTTAGCTATTAAAATGAGCAAGGGAAACAGTGCAACATCTTAGCGCTGCTGGTAGCCTTATGGGCCGCTCAGGACACATCTCCATTTGCAGAGCTGTTAAGATAGAGCCTAATGAACTCCTGTCAGGTGAGTGGTTATGCTGAGGGGCTCTTTCCTTTCTTGAGGGTTGTAATTCTACTTTTCCAGCTCCTCTTGCCTTGGAAAAACCATACACAAATAATGCAAATGCAAATGTAACTCAGTAAAATGTACTTAAGAACCAGTTATGGAAAGATTATAACAAGGCAGTAGCATTTGTCTTCAATAAAAATCACTGACTCTAGAATGGTTCATTGATCTATGAATAAATACTTGCTGTGTCTGCATAATACTTGCTATTTCAGCATTTCATTGTTTCCATACTTTCTGTTTAGTTAGCTTGCATAGTTATAGTGATTTCTCTTAATTTTTTTGGGTGAATAACTAAACTATCTGGAATTTTAATACAGTCCTTTTTGAACCTCAAACTGAGAAAGCTTTCCACCATCGAAGGATCATTTACTTTAGAATTAAAACAAAGCAGTGCTACAAGGTACAAAACCAGAGGTCCTGAAGAACAGGGCCAAAAGAATAGTGGTGAGATGCGGTGAGGATTGCATTTTTTTTTTTAAGAAACAAAAAAGTCCCAATTTATTCCTGTATTATTTCAATGATATATCAAGATGTGTCAATCTTAAATTACATTGTTTCTTTTTTTATTAAAAGAATTATAAAAAAGAAGGAGATTAAGATAAAAGAGGACATAACAACATAATAACACAGGTCAGAACAGAACAATTTAAGCAACATAGTGTTTCATCACAAGGTATCCCGACATAACAGTAGCTACCATAGTATCTCTTTCCTTGAAATATTTGAGTATAACTTCGTATATTATAGCATCAAACACAACATGACAGTGGAAAACCATTGAAGAGAATGAAAGTATTACAGGGTATTTAGAACCAACTAACAGATTGCATTTTGAAATTAATTAAATTCTTCCTTGAACATACTGTGTTGGTTAGTCAGGTTGGCTCCTGATGGGGTCGGGTTTGTTGGATGAGTGGGATCACGTGATACAAGCCTTTCTTTATTGGCAAACATGAAATAAGAGGAATGATGGATAACAATGTGGTACAAATTGATGACCTGGCTATATCTTGCCTGAATGATGTCAGATCCAGGAACGCCCTCTGGTCAGAGCATAATTTAAATTGATGGTATTAAATGCCAGTCAAACAGGTAATGAATTTTCTAAATTGAGGGAACTTATTTATTTTCAGAAGGTGAGGATATACTAAAAAGCAGGATGTTAGCTTTTGAAGAAATGCGGAAGAGACTAGAAGAACAACATGCCCAGCAATTATCACTGCTCATAGCTGAGCAGGAAAGGGAGCAGGAAAGACTGCAAAAGGTGAGAGTTAAAATATGAAGGGATGGGGCTGCTGAGTGAAAGGTACTCACGAATGCCTATGGATTTGGATCATGTCTAAAATACTTGTAATCTTACGTATCTTTATTTAAAGGGATCACTGACTTTGATATATAGACAGTATTTTAATTGTCAAAATGGGATCTGTATTTAGATCTGTATCTAAAAGTAATTATGTAATTTATGAAAAAGATACTTTTACCCTTAATCCAAAACATAAAACATATATATATATATAGTTGTTTTTGAGATAGGTCTTGCTTTGTAATTCAGGCTGGTCTTGAACTCACTATGTAGCTCAGGCTGGCCTTGCACTCTCAGAGATCCTCTTACCTCAGCTTCTCAAGTGCTGGGATTATAGATGATGTGTGCTACCACACACTGCTCGAAACTTACATTTTTAAAAGATGTGTTATAGATGCTGAAATACACAATCTACAAGAGCAATAGCATAAGAAAGATATTTGTTATAAAATTATTATGGTTATTGTATCATTTTTTATTTTTTTGAGACAGGCTGTTACGGTATAGTTCAGGCTGCCCTTGAATTCACTATGTAGCACAGGCTGGCCTGAAACTCACAGATCCTCCTGCTTTAGCCTTTCAAGTGCCAGGGTTACAGGCATGCACCACTATGCCTGGCCTATATATATATTTCTTTTGGGGAGAGAAATAAATAATAATTTGCTGTCGATTACATATACTTTGGTTAAGCCTAGAATTACAGTGTTTTGGAATATATCTAAAAGATCTAGCATCTTATAATGAACTGTTAATCTACAGGAAATAGAAGAACAGGAGAAAATGTTAAAAGAAAAGGAAGCGATTACAGCCGAAGTCTCTGAATTGAATATTAACAATACGGTAGATTTAGAGTGGAGAAAAATAAGTGATTCAGGTTTGTTGGAAACAATGATGTCTCAAGTGGATTCATTTCGCACTTCAAATTCACATAGTTCTGGTAAATATGAAAAAATCCTTTTCATTTGAAAAAAATTATCCTATAGTAAGGTATTTTATTTGACACACTTTAAAATGAACTTCCTTCTTCAATTCCATGCCCATCCCAGTGCTACTTTCCAGGTGCTTAGTAACCAGTGAACATGAAACCATATGGTAGATCAAAGACCAGGGAGCAGGTGTTTCTGAGAAAAGTCTACCTCAGCAAGGGGAATGTCAGGGGAGCGGCTCGGAGCTGTCTGTTATTCCCGCAGCAGGTGATGCACTGCACGTGCAAACACCATTCATTATCTCCTCAGTGATCTTCAGTTACCTCTGATTCCCCAGTCCCTGTCACAGCTTATCTTCACAGCATCTTGCGATGCTATTCGAGTTGAAATGATCCTCCTGTGTGTAAGCCTAATGTCCATAAATATTGTAAGGCTGCATGTGGATCAGTTTCAGAGGCTGTTATTCTGAATGAGTATCACAAGTGTTTATTTAAATTTTTTGCATATTCTGATTATATGACATCAAGCATAATATATTTTTCTAGGTTTCACAAATTCTGGCCTACAGTACAGCTGTGGTTCTGCAAATGAAACACCCTTCTACCTCTGGGGATCCTCAACTAGTGGCATGACCAGACTCTCAGTACCAAGGCCTTTTGGAAGGGGCCAACCTAGATGGTCTCAGGTGAGCAAATGTGATATGTCATCTGTCTAAATATCAGCATATCTTTTTCAAAAAGCTACGTTATTTTAGGCTCTATAAATGAGCATCAGTGTTTTGGTGGATGCATCAAATAATTCTTGTTATAGATTAGAGTACACAGAGTAAATATATAGTGAGGAATTTAGTCAATATATTAGATTAAGAAAAAATAATTGAAGGTTGGGGATGTTGCTCGGAGGTGGAGGGCTTGCCTAGAATGTATGAGGTCCTTGGTCCAGTCTGAGGACTGCAGAAACAGAAGAGAATTAGGTATAATGTCCAGGTTTCTAAAATACTGTGTCTGTCTTATTTCTCTTAGGTTTTTAATCCAGAAGTACAAGCAAAATTTAACAAAATAACTGCCATGGCAAAGGGATTTCTTACTCGTAGGCTTATGCAGACAGATAAGCTGAAGCAGCTTCGACAAACTGTAAAAGTAAGATCATTGTAAACCCTTTGTATTTCAACTCTTTGTATTTTGCTTCCATCTTAGTTTCTGTTGGTCTTCTGACAGCTGAGCTGACATTAATTTACAACTTAGTTCAAAATTTTTTTTAGTCATTGTAATATAGGTATTTTTTAAGTGACTATTCTTTTTTTTTTTTTTTTTTTTTTTTTGCTATCTTTAAAAACAATTCTCATTAATGGTTTTGGTCAAGAAGGAGAATATAGTAGTAAGAAAACATAGATTTGTTTGTTAAGCTCCTACAAAGACAAAACAGTTATCATTTAAAGTACTTTGAGGATATCTTCTTAGTTCACTTGTTCTGTTACAGAAAACTAACCCGAAGGTGATGGGTTCTTCTCTGACGTTCATGGAGCAGGCTGGGTATCAGCCCAGCAGAAGCACGAGTGTCACTTGTAGGGTCTGTGGCTGGAATCTTTTCAAGGATTCAGCCTGTATAGAGCAGCCTGAGTTAATCTTGGCCTCACACTAGGAAAAGAGTTTTGCCCCTGTGGGGAGTGAGCATGGGCTACACTTTCTCTGTGATCCTTGCCCTTCCTTGTAGCACTGAGGGCCTTTTTAGGAACAGGCATTTCTTAGCTTTAGCTTCTCTTTTCCATGCAGCCTTCCTGCATTGCCCAGCTTCTGTGCCTCTCCCTTCCCAGGCCTGCTCGCTTACAGAGGATGCGTGCAGTGGAGGCTGGGGTTAGAAGCCTACCCAGAGAGAACCTAGCCACAGAGAAGTTTGGAGTGTATGATGAAGTATCAGTCCTCCTTGGTTAAGTTAATTCATCTCAGTGAGTAAGGGCCATAGTTTTGTCTGCCAGTGACAATTTGCTGTCTCAGTATAGTTTGTCTCAAGAAAGTACTGATTTAAGTGAATTTTGGAGAAGGAAAAAGACTTTCATCTACCACAGTACAGAGGAGAAGAGGCAAGTTTTTCCCTACAGATAAAGCAATATCTTAAAGCAGCCTGCATCATTTTCAGTGATCAACATCTACATCCCTACTGTCTGCCTCTATGTCATCTTCATAATGTCTTTTTGAATCTTCTGTCTGGACCCCCACCATGTTGCACTAGCCACTCAAAGATTGAAACAACATTCTTTCTGCTCTCCGGTGTAACTTGTCCTTCTCCTGTTAAACGGGCTAATTCTTCATCCTAGATATAAAGTGTGGGGCTGTCCTGTGTTCTTGTCCATGTGCTTTCACATCGTGCTCTTTTACACCGTAACCATCTGGGTCTCCATCCTCAGGATCTAGATGCAAGGTAGGGCATTCAGACAGTGCAGTGGACATCTCTGCCAACACTGATTTACCGCTAGGCACAGACCTAAATTCAGTAATAGGGTCAACATCATCATCACTGTCCTCTTCAGCCACAAGAGTTTCTTCTATTTCTTCTCCACATTTGACATTTACCATAGCATCCAGTTGTTCTGTCACAGAGAGGCATTTCAGTCCCTGGATACTGCATGTAGACTAATGGTGGAGTATTGCAGTGAGAGTCCTATCCTGGGAGTCCTAACCAAGACAGGCAGCTCTCGGAGGGTGGAAAGGATGTGGGTGCAGAGGCCATCGCCATTCTGTACAGCCTTGGCATCTGGCTGCAGCCCCAGAGCCTCTTAGCCAGCCTGAGAAAGCTCACTGTAGCAGGGAGCACAGAATCTCAGCCCTGGTGGGAGCTGGGACATAGTGGTCCCAGCTAGCTGCAGACTGCTACCCTTTTTAACACTTAGGTGTTAAAAACAATGTGTAGGTGGAGTAGTTTTATATGTTTTGTCTTACCAGAGTATGGGTGCTGTTGGACATATTTGGCCTGATTGAAAAAAAGAACAAAAGGAAACTCAGTGATTTTTTTTTTTCCTTTTGAGACAGGATTTTGCCATGCACTTCAGGCTGGCCTTGAATTCACTTTGTATTCCAGACTGTCCTTGAACTCAGATTACAGGCATGTGCTACCATGCCCAGCAAAACTCATTGATCTTAAAACTTTCTAGGAAAATGTTTTAGAAGGAGCATTTATTTTTTTCAGGATACGATGGAATTCATAAGAAACTTTCAGTCAGAAGCACCATTAAAGAGAGGCATTGTCTCAGCACAGGATGCGTCACTTCAGGAGAGAGTGTTGGCACAGGTAAGTGCACCTGCCCTGGCAGCTGGTTTGTCCCACTAGTGATGGGAACCCTAGGCATGGCAATATGTTTCTCTTTTCATTTACTTGCTAAAAACAGGTTTCAGTGACTGCTACTCAAAAGAAGTAGGCATAGTGCATGTTGTCTTACTGAACTCTAACTTCATCTTTTAAATGCTGACAATATTTTCTTCTCTTGTACATAGTTGCGAGCTGCACTGTATGGAATTCATGACATATTCTTTGTAATGGATGCAGCTGAAAGAATGTCTATTCTGCAGCATGATCGAGAAGTTCGCAAAGAGAAAATGCTCAGGCAAATGGTATGTGATGTGACTTTTCTAATAAATACAGTTTTTCTGACTTCAGGATAATTGAAGCTGAATGTTACTTTTTTGTTGACTTTAGCACCCTTCTGATAATTCTTGATTACAAGTAATTCCCAGGATCACTAGCAACATTTGTATCTGTAGACAGATATAAAAGAAGTACACAGTGAAAGAATTGTACATTTGAATTGGATTTCAGAGTTAAAGTCTTGAATATTTTGCTTGGGTAGCTTTCAAAAAACCATCAACTGTGTCTGACTGAATTTGCTGAAAACTGTCTTAGGGATTTTGCTGACGTTTTGTGTTTTGTTTTATTTTTGAGACAGTTTCACTATGTAGTCCAGGCTGTCCTCAAACTCACAGCAATCCTCCTGCCTCAGCCTCCAGAGTGCTGGGATTCCAGGTGTGTACCATCACACCCAGCGAGATTTTGCCATTTTTTGAAATCAGAGTTACAAAAGAGGATCTAAATAAATTTGCTATCCTGTAAATCAGACTGTTTTCAGTTTTGGGTTTGAACTGATAATCCAAGTGTGATTGGCATAAGAAACACAAGCAAAATTTATGTTATCTCATTGGAGAAAATGCATTATTTTTAGAATCAGACTGCTTCAATTATAATGAGCAGCTAAGTTAAAGTTAAAAATGTTGATAAAGAGAAGCTTTTCCATGCAGTTTGTGATCATCCTGTATTATGACAACATGGTATTATTACTGGTACTTTAAAGGATAAAATGAAAAGTCCACGTGTGGCCCTTTCAGCTGCAACACAGAAGTCTCTCGATAGGAAGAAGTACATGAAGTAAGTTTTTTGGTATCATGTCACATTGTCATCACTCAGTTAATTTTAGTCATCTGTTTATCTGTTCAAACGATTAAAGAATGTAATGCTAAAGCAAGTAAGTATATATTTAATTAGAAATAATAGTTCACTTCTGCAGTTGACCTGACAGAAATCCCCTTTTATATAGAATCATTAAAATCAGTTGTCAGGATCTGATTTCATCTTTTGATAGATGTATTCATGACTTAATTTGTCAATATTCAGTTTATATAATTGATATTAAATCAAGTAGTCTTAAAAGGTTACTCCTTCTATTCAGTGTTTGCTGTTGTATCATTTAAATACATTCTTCTTCTGATATTATAAAAGTTTCCTGGAAATAGAAACATGATAGGAAATGTTTTCTAATAACTTTTAAAAATTTTTTGTTGAAAGTAGTCTTTAAAAGGACTGGGGATTTAGCTCAGCGGCATAAGCGCCTGCCTTGCAAGCAGGCAGTCGTGAGTTCAATCCCTGGTACCGATAAAAAAGAAAAAGACAAAAAAAAAAAAAAAGCCGTCTTTAATATACTTAGCACAGGCCTTTTAGTACAGCAGTTTGTAAATGATTTTTTTCTATCATCTCTATTACATTTGAAGCTTTTTTCCCCCCTTCTCCAAATGTATTGTTCATGTCTGTATTTTTATAATTTGTTAGAGCTGCTGAAATGGGAATGCCAAATAAGAAATTTCTGGTTAAACAAAGTCCTTCTGAAACAAGGTAAGAAAAACCACTTCATCTCAGTGAGTTTTTTTCTTCCCCTAGAGAAAATTTTATAAATCTCAAACTTCCTCTTTGTCAGCATTATTCTGTTTATAGCAGTAAGACATTGCTTGCTGGGCTACAGGATCTTAAGCTTAGGAGTCATACTAACATGTCAAGTTAACTGTTTTGAAGGTTTGTCTAGGACAGTCTCTCCCTGGCAGAAATTTGAGCTAGACATGTCTTGATTACACTCCACAGACAAGAGAATCTTTGGTATTTATTTAAACTCTTAGAAAACTAACACTATTTTTGACATGTTTCCTACTCTTATAAAATCATTGATGTTTTCTTCTCTTACATGTTTGAAATGTTGGCTTTTGTAAGTCCTATAAGTAAATAATATAAAAGCTCAAGAGTTAATGCCATCTCTTTCTTGGTAAAAACCTAAGGTTAGGACTGTTTGCGAGCAAAACATAAGGAAGATTGCTAGGCTGTCATCAGTTTGGCTGGCTTTATGATAACTTGTGTCAGAATGCCTCAGTGACTTCCAACCTCACTTACCATATTTCATCCATTGAAAGACATGAGAAAAACAGAATTTATCCTTTTGAATTAATTTTTTTATTTTTCAACAGAGTCCTTCAGCCAAACCAAGGACAGAATGCACCTGTTCATAGGCTACTTAGTAGACAAGGGTAAGACTGCCACACACATGGGTATTTAAAAATATTGAAGATTAGCTTTGAGAAAGAAATAGAATTATAGTGTTAGTATAAAGGGTAACTTTTTCAAACGTGATACAGTTCATATGTAGCTCTCTTAAAATTTTGTCTTCAAGGATAACCCTCTTGGTGTACTGCTGTGTAATATATTTTAGTTATCATCTTTTTTTTTTTTTTTTTTGTCATTTTTGTTTTTATCAGTATCAGGGATTGAACTCACAACTGCCTGCTTGCAAGGCAGGTGCTTATGCCGCTGAGCTAAATCCCCAGCCCCTTTAGTCATCATCTTACGTTGGCATGTTTTTACTTTTCATTTCATACCGTGTTATTCATTAACTATTTTGAAATATCCATACAGTAAGTTTAGTATCAACAAAGTGATTCTCTAACAATTTGTGAGCCATGGTTATCATCTCTGACTAGGTGTAGTTTTCTTAATATGTGCATGCATGAGATTTAAAGTCTTTTTCAAGCTTATTTATGCTTTGAATAGTTGATGCAATGTGGTTACCTTCATTGAATTTTGAACATTTAGACTTTATTGTAAGTGACTTACTGATTTTTTTATATTCAATTAGAACCCCTAAGACATCAGTGAAGGGGGTTATCCAGAATAGACAGAAGCCTTCCCAGAGCAGAGTGCCTAACAGAGCGCCTGTCTCAGGTGTGTAGAAAATAAATTCCTGAAGCCCATTCACTAGAAAGTTGGGCACAGCTGCCTCTAACTCAGGCTACATGATTGGAACATGTTGTCTTTCCTTGCTACCATAATTTTGGAATATTCCTGGATATTCTCATTAGTGATCTTTTTTGTTACCATTTTGTGGCAGTCAGAAAAATATTAATGAAACTGGCTGCAATCTTGATTTCTATAATTCCATAGAAAACATGATATTTTTAATTCTGAAAAATTTGTAGAATTATCCAGGCTGAATTCAGAAAACCTTTTTATAAATGAATAAAAGTTAATGGTCATCTGATGCCTAAATCTACACAGGTCTGTTCAGCTTGGGGGCAGTGTACCACCCAGAAATATTTGTATCTGCACATAGGGGATGAAGAATTTTTCGTTCTGTCCAGAAGATAAGTGAATATGCAAAATGGAAGAGGTTCAATAAGAATCTTGAGCTCTATCTCTTATTTTCGTCACTTGATGATTATTTAAGGATGAAACTGAAAATTGTATTTTAAAATCATTTATGGTGGCAAGAAGACAAATTCAATGTTGAGCTTATATTAGTTCCTAACCATATGATTTAATATTTTTTTGATCTCTTTAAAATACTTTAAGCTCACTGAAAATTATGTGATCCATTAAAAAATACTGGATTTTAACTATACTGCTTTCTAAACATTGAAAAGACAGGTAAATTAATTACCAGGCAGTGAAGATTTATTTATTTATTAAGTTTTTCCATTAGGAAAGAGTCAAATTTTAAAGCTTTTGTTACTAAATGGTTTCTTCCAGTTTAAGAGGGAGCAAGGAAAATTAAGTATTTTTTTTCACATATTTGTTCATGAGTTCCTTTTATTCAGGGAACAAGCAATTGATAGTAACTGAAATAACTGCTGACCTCTTACAGATATATAATGAATATAATTCATAGTGTCACCCACAGAGGGGAGATTATGTTAGAGATCCTCTTTTGAAATCATTGGGAGACTTCCAGGGTACTTGCTTTGAAGGAGCTCTCGTGGTTGCAGATCCCACATACCCCAGAGACTGCCAGAATCAGAGACAGGGAGAGAATCATTTAGGAGAACTCAGACCAGACAGTAGTTGCTTGTAAAGTTATATGAAGTTTTAAGACATTTTCAGTTTTTCCCATGTTAGTGTTTTGTATATTATGATAAATCTTAGCTGGTTGGAAAATCATTGTGGAGTTAGTATTGTTTTGCTTAGTATTATCGATTTGCCAGAGTAACTGCTCCATCGTGTTCTTTTCTCATGCATTTCATCTCCACTGTTTGTCACTTGTGAACTTAAAAGCCAGGTTCCAACTACAACTTTTATTGAGCTATATGAACAGTATAAAGGATGTACAAGATGTTTTGCATCTTGCACAAGATGCAGTTGTTATAGGTAAGAACAATGAGGCTCAGGTTTAGAACTACTGAAGTTTGACTGCACTGCAACGTAATTATTAACAAATGAAATTGACCCTCAGATAAACATGTACAACTAATATATGACTAAACAAGCACAAAAATCCTTGTTTTTGCTAAAGATTTACTCATATATCTATGTTTTTTAGATAATTGAATACGACTGAAGAATCAGTGTTTTACATAAACTTACAATTTGGTATACCAACTAAAATGCTAACTGTGAATCTGAGCACAACAATCTAGTTGCTCTTGAAAAATAATTGTGTTTTCTTGCTCAGATTTGTAATGTTTGTGTTTTGGGTAGATTTGGATTTATACTTGGATGTGGTCTACATGGGGATTAAATCCTTTGTTAGGCAATTTATAGAAAGCTCGTTTTGGTTAAGATAGCATATTATATTCTTAGACAAAAGCAGAATTCTAAAATATGCTACAAAACACCTAAATTATTTATAGTTTTTAAAAACTATGCGTCTGGTGTTGTTTTGAAACGTATTTCTGTATTTGATATTTATGCTTGACTAGAGAGCTTGTAATAAAATTGATAAACCATCAATTTATAGTGAGGTGATTATGCAAAAAAAAAAAGATAAGTAAAATAACAAATCTGATGGAATTGGATTCTCAGTTTGTGCTCTAGCTTTGTTGGCTTAGGTAAGTGCTCTAGTAGGTCTTAGTTTCAGTTATCCTTAAAATGATGGTAACTTATAAAGAGAGGTTCCGGATTAAGTATGATAATATATATAGCCAGCCCAATGCCTACTAAGTAGTATCATAGAAAAAATAACTGACAAATAATATTAGTTTTGCTCTATTTTTAGGAGTATATGCAGGAAAAATCCAAAGAAAGCGGCCAAATGTTGCGACAATTTAAGAAGACAACATTCATTAGGATAAGAGGGGAGGATTATTACCATATAATTTTCCCTACCAAATAGACTTTATTAAACTCTGGACTGTTTACACAGGCAAAGTGACCGAATCAAAGGGCTGAGCAATCATCTCATCATTTGGTCAGTCTGGTTAGTTCCTGCCTTGCTCTCCCATTTTCATCTTTAGGTTTGGATGAAGCCAAATTAGTGTTCATCTTTATGCTTAACCTATAAAAATATGTTTTACATGCCCAGGTGTCTACAGATACCCTTTTTGTATACTTTAAAAGACATCTGATTTTAGTTTTACAAGATACTGAAATAAATTATAAATTAAGTTCAAGCCAGGTGTGGTGGCGCAGGCCTATAATCCTAGCACTCTGGGAGACTGAGACAGGAGGATTGCTGTGAGTTTGAGGCCAGTCTGGGCTATAAAATGAGTTCAAGGCCAGCCTGAACTGCATAGTGAAACTCTTTGTCAAAAAAAGCCTAAAATGGGGCTGGGGATTTAGCTCAGCGGCATAAGCACTTGCCTTGCAAGTGTGTGGTCGTGAGTTCGATCCCTGACACCGATTAAAAAAAAAAAAAGCCCAAAATAACTAACTAAATAATTAAATTCTAAAACATGAATTTCATTCATCTCTGCATATTGATTGCTGGATTTGAGAAACAAATTAGAGATGGTCCTGTTTAAAGGGAAATCATTGCAGACATGTTTTCCCTGGTTTTGTAAATTTAAACACTATGCTGACTTAATAACCATACATGATAAACTCTTGAAGTGTGGTCACTATTTTGGTCAGATGCACACATTCCTGTCAACAATTTGCTAAGACGTGTCAGTTTTCATGTATGTTACTGAGTACTGTTAGAAATAGTTGTGTCAGATTAGTCTGGAGAGTGAGAGATCTAAAGAAGACAACACTCTTCCTATATGTAGCATTCAAGAATACATTGTTACATCCATTTCTGTAAGGTAGAAATAATTTGTTGCTTGCAGCCGAATTTTGTTTAGTTGTATATTTTTTTTTCTTCACAATCTACCTTTTTTAGCATGCTTGACTTAGGAGAAAATAAAGGGCTATATAGAATACTACACATTCAGATTTCAAATAGAATAGGAATAGTGCCTAGTTAGAAATACTGTATTACTTACAAGACGCAGATACTTAAGGTTTTCATCAGTAACATACTCAGTATCAACTAACAAATGTTACCAAGAACCTTATTTTATGAAAGAGAATGTCACTGTTAATGTCAGTCTAAAAAGGGCTCTAAGCTTCTCACAAAAAATTACGACTGTGTATATTTAATCTTTGTAATGAATGTTAGAGATATTGGTATTTTTAAAGTGCAGCCTATATATATTCTTAATATCCTTTTGAGAATATGGAGATAAAGGTTGTTTTCTCTGATTTGAAGTTACATTTAAGGTTTAACACATCCAGATGTAGATGGAAAATAATAACCTACTCTGGATATAAATTGATTTTTGAGATGTATCATTTATTGAATGAATGAACCATAAAATTAAGACTCTTAAAAAAAGTCTTAAGTTACCAGTCTTATTTATATGCAAAGTATATAAAATTACCCTTTTAATGATAAACTGTGCTTTATCATTTTGAAAACTCAGGATTTGGGTTATTTATATCATTGTTAGTCTCTAGTAAGGATAGATGAAAAAGTTTTGTGTGTACAAATGCAAATTAGGTAAAACAAAATGTTTTGGAAAAACTAGTGTTTAGATTAACAATGAGAAATCTGAGAGTGTTTAAAGGTAAAAGCATGTGTTTTATACATTTTTTTATGTTCACAGGTTTTTCTCATAAAAGTGCCAGACACTGTTTTGTTTTTGGTGAAGTTTTATTTATATATATTACTTTTATTTTTACTTTTGAGTGGAATGTCAATTAATGTAAATTGTGTTTATTTTTGTACTTTAATTTTCACTAGTTTTGCTTCTAGGCAAATGGCAAAATAAACTTTTTTTTTAAAGTCCCATTAAAAGTGTTTCCGTATTTAATTTGTTACTTATACCAGTGCTAAATCCACATTTGCGTTTGCATGAGGTAGAAATGTCTTTGCCTATAAGGAGCTGGACACCTGCAAAAAGCCAGTGGGAAGCTGAAGAAAATGGCAGTGCTGTTAGGCTTTAGCAAAGAGGATACTTTACACAGCTTTACTAACACTGAGCTTGTTACTCCCCACTACTCCTATAGTCTGAGTGCAGGAAAAGGCTCCTCAATGCAGCAACTTCTGGCTGAGGTCTCACTGTATCCTCTGCAAGGCTGTGTGAGAAGAGCCTCCCTCTGATGCCCTTCAACACATGTGTTCACTCACTGTGTTAGGAACAATGGAAACAACTAGAAGGTATTGCTCCTGAACTGAAGACTGAAGGACTCATTGTGTTTTGGGTCAGATGTCACTGTCTCACGAAAACATGGAGGCCACAATCTGTGAATGAAAAGTTGTAACAAAATAAGCAAATACAGATTTAGAATGCTTTATAAGTAAGGGACCATAGGGGCGCCTGTGTAGGTTCTAAAAACTAAATGGCACAGGCCATTTGTAATTTCAGCACTTTAGAGAGGCTGAGGCAGGAGGATTCTGGGTTCAGTGTCCAGTACAGCAAACAAAACCCCAGTAACACCACATTCTTGTTTAGAATCCAGCAGCTGCTTAGGAGGCAAAAATCGTGTCTGCTTATGTATGTTAAAAATAAATTTAATTAAAAACTTGATACTGCCTTCTCAGCTATTTGGCCTCCTCACTTCACTGCTCAGTGTTTCTCAGTGGCTTGCAATGCTCCAGTTTCTTGAAACACTAATGGCATTGCCACTAGAATCGTGATTTTGCTTCCAATTTTCCTCCCTTGTCATACATTTTACAGCAAACTGTATTACTTGTTTCATACACAGAATATAGCCAAAGGTAAGGGACATCACTGCTGCCCGGCCTTTTCCATCATCCAGGGTTATAACCCCACTGTCACATGTGGAGAAATGTGGAGTCAGTGCAAAAATCACACTCATTGCTCCAAGTATATTCTATTGCATTTCCCAAGTACTAACAAATGTGATATGGAAGTAGAGGGAAATGGGTCAGATGATGCTTCGTGATTACCAGTCGTGGTCGGGTTTAGGATTCAAATCCTGATTCAGGCATATCTGGCCCGTGGAATTAACGTGTCTTTCAGTTACCCCAAAGGATCAACCATAGTAATTTTAGTGGCTTACAGTGAGAGACAAGGGGGCGTGCAGTGTACTCAGCCCCACAGGCACCAAGCATTTGGTAAATGCAGGCTTCAGGGACAATGCGAGGTGGGGACTGCGGCTTTGCAAGTGTGGTAAAGTGCTTGCAGAAAAAATCACAGTGAAACGTATTTAACCAGGGGAGCCCCCTAGACATGCGGTTGTCAGAGGGAGCAGCACATAGAAGCGCCTAGCGCCCACGAAGCACGAAGGGGACTCACGCCTCACAGCCGACGCGCCCCGAATCTCGTGCTGTTCGACCCAGAGACTCCTTACAAGCAGCTAAGTTATGTATTCTCTGCAGCCCCTGAGGGCGGAGGTAGAAAGCGGCTCTCTGTTCCGTCCCGGCCCTCACCTTCACGGCCTCGTGGGTTGGGCAATTCGATCCTATAGGACTTTTACCTGCCCCTCACAACCACGGCGGCGGCAAAAGGCACAGTGTGGACTCTGGCGAATAGACTCCTGCCCTTTACAAACGTAGCTTGCATGGAACACGTCGCTTCTGGTTCGCGGGACCGAGAGCTGTCCCTCACAGTTATGATGCTGGCCGCAGTCAGCGTGCGGGAAGCAAGCAGACGCCTGCCCTTTACAAACATGGCGCCCACGGAAGGCGTCGCCTGGTCTTCAGGCCGCAAACAGCTGTCCTTCATAATCATGGCGCCGGCGAAAGGCGCCGTGCGAAGGCTACTGAGAAGACCCCTGCCCTTCGCGAGCGTGGCGCTGGCTGAATACGTTGCCTGGGATTCCAATGGCTGAAAACCGCCCTTCTTGACCGAGGCGCCAGCGGAAGGCATCGCCTGGGTTCCAAGGAACGGAGTGCTGCCCCTGACGATCAAGGCCCTGGCAGAAGACTGGGTCCAGCTTCTCCGAAGTCTGGAGTTTCTCTTCCCAATCGTGGCGCCCGCAGAGGGCGTCGTCTGGACTGGACGAGATGAAAAGTTGCCTTTTTCAATCTTGGCGCCGGCAAAAGGCGTCACCTGAGCTTGGCGAAGTGGAGAGCTGCCCTTCACCATCATGGTGCTGGCGGAAGGCGTGGCCCAGGCTCTACGGGGTGGAAAACGGACTGGCCGAAGCACGGCGCCCGCGGGAGCTGTCGCCTGCGGTTGGTGGGGCGGAGAGCTGCTTTTCAGAAATTTGGCGCCTACAGCACCAATCGTACTGCGTCCGCGGAGCGAAGAGGCGCCCTGCACAATTATGGCGCCATCGGAAATGAGATTATGGAAACGGCAGCATGGAGGGCTGCCATTCAAAATCTTGACGCTCGCGGAAGCCTTCACCTGGACTCGTTGGAATGGACAGCTGCCCTTCTTCATCATGGCGCCCGCGAGTGGTCGCGTTGGGGAACTGCGGAGGGGAGAGCTGCCCGTTACCATCATGGCGCCGGCGGGTGACAGCGTTCGGCAACTATGGAGGGCAGAGCCGCCCTTTATCATCATGGCGCCAGCGAGCTCTGCCGAGCAGAGAGCTGCCCTTCACAGTTATGGCGCCAGCGGAAGGCGTCACCAGGACTCCAGGGGCGGACACCTGCCTCTCACAATCGGGGGCGGGCCGCGGCCAGCGAAGGGGCGGGGAGTGGTGGGGCTGGGCGGGGCGGGGCCGGCGAAGGGCCGGGTTGGGGAGGGGGCGGGGCCTGGAGGGAGGAAAGGGGCTGGCCCCCCAGAGGGTCATGTGACTGGGAAGATGGCGGTCTTCCACTGGTAAGCAAGAGATTGTTGTGGGCTTTGGGGGAGGGCTCCCCTTTGCTGTCTCGAGTCTCTGTCCCTGCGAGTATAAACTGTCTTTCCTGGTGGGTTCTGGCGCCGCCCACCCTATCCAGAGTTGTCCTGACCACGGACTCCTCGACGTCCAGCCTGAAGCTAATCTGGTGCTATACGATTCTCATACCTCCTTTCCTCTTCCCGTTTGTCCTCTAAAGCGATACCCGTTTCCAGCCTTCCACTTTCCTGGAAGGAGTTCAGATGAGTCCCCGGGACGCTGCTGCGTTTGAATAACTCGGGTTGTTTTCTTGAGTCCTTTAGCTCATTTGATACTGTGCTGGAACAAAGGTCCGACTAGGCCACACCGAACTTGGGGCTTCGGAAGGCTTCACGGAGAAGGCTTCTTAAATTGGGTCTTGCAGAGGGCAAGGGAGCTCAGCAAACGGGAGGGAATGGCATGTGCCAGGGTGACAGGCCTGCTGGGCAGGAATGGCAGATGTAGGTAGTGACTGATCATACCGGTGTGTGGTACCATGTGTGTGAGTGAACTCAAGCGAGTTGGGATAGTGATAGTGGGATTATCTGGGTATGTGAAATCTTGCATCGCAGAAAAGGGCAATAATCTTCTGATCTTTCTCTTGCAGTAGTGCGAAGGTGCTTACATTGAACTATGGGCAAGCAAGTGGGAGTGTACAGCCTTAGACCTTAGAGCTCATCTGGTAGAACCTTCTGGTTTCGTGCTTGATGAAGTCTCCTCCTGCCCTTCTTCCCATCATCTGCGGACTCTTCAGACATCCCTGAAACACTAAATGAACTTTGGATGCCACAAGGCATCTCTACAGGCATTTCTTTCCTGTGACCTTGTCATGCCATATCAGGGTCTTTGCCTAAGCCCCAGTCTTCTAATTGAGTGGCCAGCAAAAAAAAAGGGACAAGTGGTATGATTTTAGGGCTCCAGGAAGGTCAAAACCCTCTAGGAATTTGTGATTCCCTTGCGAGTTGAGACAAACTTAGCCAGGCAACTGTATTTGGTTTTCAAACAAAGGAAAAGGGGATGCTGAGGCAAGTGTGGAAACTGAGCAGGACCTTGAGAGTCAATTCAAAAACTTCTCCAAGTAGTTAATTTTGCCAATTAGAGAATTATTTTATCTCTAAGGCTGGCAGCATTATTGGTCTGGAATAGGGGTGTCAGCAGCCCATATCCTGGACTGCAGTTATCTTGACTTCAGAGCACCATGCATATGGTTGTTTCCAACGCAGCCAGAGGTCCCTGTGTTCAGCAGCAGCCCACTCTGCAAAATACTGGCTTCATCAGAGGGCTAAGCACCTTTCCAGGATTAGTATAATGGGAATGTCTTGCTTCTGTGGACTCACCTGGAATTTATAGTGGGAGAATCCAGGATATCTTTTTCCTGCATCTTGGTACTTTTTTTTTTACCTTTGGTATTTTAAGTTTAAATTACAGAAGTGCTGTAGCCATTTTGAGTCAAGGGTTTCTGTAGTTGTCATCAGGCTGGACTTAATTTCCTGGTGCAGTTGGCATGTTCATGTTTTCCACTGACTTGTTGCTTCTTTGCCATCCTTGTCTTTTCTGTGCCTAGAATGGTACTTGTATGTGCTCATTGATATCTGTCAAGGAATGAGAAAGCCAAGGAGTCCCCAGAGAAGTGTTTGTGTCCTTACATTTACACTACTCAAGTCCCTGTTTTGTGCCAGGCACTGTGTATCCCATTTAAACCTCATGAATTTTCACATAAGTCAGATCATTTCACATAAGATTGAGCCTTTAAGTCATGCAGGCGCCAGGTGAACTGAGATTTGTGGTCATGGTTAAGTGGGCCTCATCTCTAAATTCTGACTATCTCTGTTGCAGGGCTCTCAAAGCCCCACTGCATTGTCATGGGTTTCCCCCAGAGTGCTTCATTTTACCCACATCTTGTTACCTCTGATGTATTTTCTCCCTGTTCAAGATAGAGAATATCCAGTTAGACCAGTGATTGCAACCCCAGAAGTGCCAACACTGTAGTTACACCTGAATACTGAGGTTTTTAGTTTAGAAAAAATAAACTCCTACATTAACATCTTTTGTCTTAAAAAGCACACGCGCCATAGGTTCGCCACTACCGCTATAACTGTCACATTTCCTACTTGATCCTTCAGAGGTAACACATCTCTGCAGTCAGAATTTCTGCTTAATTTGGGAAGCTGGGGAGAGTGGGAATGATATTGAGGGAGGAAAAAGCTGTGTGGTCTGGTTATGTGATTAGGAACTAAGAAAAACTCTTGAGAATTTAAATTGCTGGCAGAAAGCATGTAGTGGTATAAACCTCTTTCTGGTATAAAGAGATTACTTTGGTAAATCCCGTTTATGTATCTGATTACCAAATGTAAATAATTCCATAACGAGGAGTTATCAGGGTTTAATGTGTACTTAAACCATCTTGTTTCTGATGCGTGTACCCCATGAGTAGTCCAGGGCTAGACCCAGCTAGCAGTGGATCTATGAAGCGATAGCCTTTTTGCAGCGGCAGCTGCCAAAAAGCAAAGGAGCCTTTGCTGGAAGAGATTGTGGTTGCAGGGATTTTTATCAACTGCTGCTAGTTGTGTAGGCAGGGAAGAGTTCCAGTCACGCTTTTTGAAAGAATACCCACTAGAGGTCGCTGTTCTTCTCAGAGACCTAGGACTTTGCTTTTTTTTTTTTTTTGTCTTTTTCCTTTTTATCGGTACCGGGGATCGAACTCACGACTGCCTGCTTGCAAGGCAGGCGCTTATGCCGCTGAGCTAAACCTCCAGCCCCGACCTAGGACTTTTCTAAAGGACTGCCCTTAAATGTCTCCCACTAGGTGATGCTGAGGGCCAGAGAGAAAATTTGAGGAAATAATGGAAGAAGTGGTAGAAAATCAACATACTGTGATTGTCCATTGGCATTATTTCCAGAATTCCTCTCCCCAAATTCTCAACTCCTTAAACATATTCATTCTAAAGCTTGAATCCTTGTAAGAGAAGTAGTTGCTTAGTTTTAAGAACTCCTGAATCTATCCCTGTTACTTGTTCTCACTTTTGACAAGTTACAAAGGTTGACAATCCCTGCTTTTCCATCTGAAAAATGTCATAATTGTGGTCCCTACCCCAAAGGGCTAAATGAGGGAATGAAGGGAATGGGTCTGGTGTGTAGTAACTAGATAATAACTGAGAACTGCTATTTGATTGTCACATATGGACTCACTGTTCTGATGTTTAAACAAAACTTGAAAAGCAAAACAAGCTTTGTCAACCTTAAGCAGTTCCTCTTTAGACTTCCCTTCCCTATGGCTGTTACTGAGTTGCAAAACTCACTCCTTGATTACTAGTGTCTTGCTTCTGTAAAATTGCCTGCCCACCAGTTTCATACCACTAGATAGACCAATCGCTTCAACCACATGTGTAAAACCAGAGCCCTTTCTTTGTTTGGAGCTCAGCCTTTGTACAGGAGTCCACTGGGCCAGTGGCATGGAAAACAAATCCTCCTGCCTTATGGTTGGTGGTCTCCTAAAATCCTGTAGCAGTGTAGCAGATTTTTTCAGCTGTTGATTGGTTTCTGATTATGATATGATGTATTTGCAACTGAATTTCAGGTCATGTTAAATTTCCTACTCATTGTATTAGTTTTCCAAAGTTCTTTTTTTTTTCTTTACAACTAATAAAGAGTGATTTGAAAAAAGGAGATGTGTAATTTGATGTTAACCTTTTTTCTTGACTGGCCTCAAATTTGTGATCCCCCCTCTTGCTGGAATTGCAGGGGCATGCCACACAGCTGACTTTCATTTGCTATTTAAGTCAAGGATTGGCTGATAGCATCCTTGATTGGAAGAGGGTCTGCAAGAATATTCCATAGGTGCTTCCATTTTCCATGTTTTGCAAGGAGAAGACAGTGTATACTTTGTAAATATGATCTAGAAGGACTCAGCAATATGTTAGGTATTTTCCCGTAAGAAAAGCAGAAATGGGTTATGATGCAGCCTTTCTCCACCTCTGTGTACTGAAAGCCAAATTTATTTAGAAAGATAGAAATTAATTGCTTGGGTTCTACATTGATAAGGGATATTTGGTAAAGCTGATGAATTGCAGGGCATAATTAGATTTGGCGGCGTAGAATTTCATAGATGTTAATGAAATTGCAAATCTGTGAATGGGGCAGGAAATGAATTCCAGGGACCTGGAGGACAAGACAGTCCCTGTAGCCTTTAATTTCTTTTCCATAAAGTAGAGACAGGCCTTATCTCAGGTGCCCAGAAGAGCTTTGTTTCTGGAATGTGTTATTTTACAAATGGAAAGTACGCATGTCTTTTGTTAAAGTGAGAATATTCATGGTGTTTAAAAACCACCAGGAACCATACCTATAATCCCTACACCTAGGGAGGCTGGGGCAGGAGGATCTCAAATTCAAACCCAGCCTGGATTTACTGATATTTTGTCTCAAAGTAAATTTAAAATGATCACATGCTGTGTAGCTCAGGGCAGAGACCCGAGCTTCTATCCTTAGTGTTGCAAGAAAACAAAATAACATCAAGCCAGTTGCATTTAGGTAGACTACTCCTGTGGGGTTTTGCAGTAGGGTGAGAGAGATTGAGCGTGGCTGCAAATACAGTAAGGCTAAGCAAAATATACAACCAAAGACCATGTGGTAGTCAGTGGGTGGAAAATTGCCAAGGGAAACATCCAGAGCCGTTCTGGTCACGGACACCTAACCTGAAAGATGAGTGATCAAGTACTGGGGGGGGGGGGACTTTTGGGGAAAGTTTCAGCTACTTCTGCTCCAGATGTTGCTTCTGTCCATCTTTCTTTCCCCATTTTGGGCTCCCCAGTCTATGTGCAGAGCTTTTCCTCCAAAACACCCATGTGTTTGAGATTCTTTTCTGTGCCTGCCTTTCTCTCTAGACCTCTGTCTGGCTGCTTCCTCCCTTTATTTTCCATCTTATTAATCCTTACGCTTGCTAACCCTCTGAGCTGATGAAGGCTCTCTCTGCCCTTCATTGTCCTTCCACTTGGCTTCTTGCTCTTGCCCTGTGAAGTTTATCTGGTGAGTTCTTTCCTGGGTTGCATTTTCTCTGTATTCCTTCCTTTCTCACAGCTCTTCAAGTTCTGGATGTCTTTTTTTTACCTGTCAGTATTGGGGATTGAACTCAGTACTTTTTGCACCAAGCTATATCCCAGCCCCTCTGCCATTTAAAAACTTTTTTTCCCTTGAAGCAAGTTCTCTCTAAGTTGCCCAGGGTGGGCTTCAACTTGCAATCCTCCTGCCTCAGTCTTCCATAGTGCTGGAGTTACAAGCATTGCAGGCAGCTCCTGGCTGTCTTAAAACAGTGTGTGTGTGTGTGTGTGTGTGTGTGTGTGTCCCCAGCCCTGTGATATTTTGCCCAAGTGCTGTCTCTGTGTCGCTGCTTTGCAACCACCCTTGCTGACCTGGACTCCTGTCCCATGTCAAGAACTAACAAGTACTCTAGAGCAGCAGCTGAGCCTGAGGAGCTAAATTCACCTATTTTGTGCCTGAGTTCTGGGTCTGGCTTTCCAAGAGAATGATGTGTTAGCAGCCCTAATACCTTTAAACAGCAGAACAAATTCTTTTAAAATACAGTGTTTCTTGGTGGTCTTGGGAGGTCTTATTCTGCTCTAAAGTCTTTGATTTTCCAGGATGCCTGGGCAGAGGCCTTGAGTGTCTCAGGTCCTGGTCACCTGCTCATGTCTGTCTGCTGTTCCAGGCACTCCAGGAACAGGAACTACAAGGCTGAATTTGCATCTTGCCGGCTGGAGGCTGTGCCTCTGGAGTTTGGAGACTACCACCCTCTGAAGCCCATCACAGTAAGTTCTGCACTGGGTGTCCAGAGCCTATGCTCTGATAATGCCTGTTCTGAGTCTTTTCTGAGGAATGACAGGCACATTCTTGGCTCTTTTCTGTTTTGCCAGTGGCAGCTTCTATTGCATATTTGAACCCAGCTGTTTATTCTGGCCCCGTTTTTGTTTTATGGCCCTGGCCCTGCCCATCACCATTATTACCCACTTTCATTTTTCATGGTAATGAGGTCACGAGGAGTGAGTATTCCTGATGTATCAGCAAAATATATCTTGCTTCTTAATTTCTCTATTTGGATTATGAAGAATTACTTTAGTTACCAGAGGAGGGTGCTGTCCTGAGCAGCATTTTTAGACCCTTTAGAAACAAAACTAAAACAGGCAAGAGATTTGCACGGTCCCTCTTTGCTGGCTTAGTATTCTTATTGGCAAATACACTTGTCACTTGTCCCTGGGAATCCTTGGAAGGTTAGTTTTAGGAGTCCTATTGTCTTGGTTACTTTTCTGTCATTGTTGAGATAAAATATCTGATGTCCAAAAGGAAGAAAGGAAAGGTTTATTTAGCTTACAGTGTTTGGAGGTTTCAGCCTCTACTCAACTGGCTCCAAGGCAGGGTGGTGATCGCAAGCAACAAGAGCAAAAGGGGAAAAGCATGCCTGCTTCCCTCCCCTATATTGTATGTCAGCTCCCTGCGGCTGGGTGGATGCAGTACTCACACAGCCAATCTCAGCACTACACAATGAACCAGTCACAAATGCTAGATTCAGTTGCCTCCATGACTGCATGAGGCTTTGGGGGACACCAAGACACAAACCATAACATCAGTGGAATCTTCAGGCCTCCCATAAACATCCTCAAGCAATGTTAATTATCTCTGGATTGCTTATGATACTTAACACAGTGCATGAGGGCCTAAATAGTTGTTACACTGTATTATTTAGGGAGTAATTATGAGAAAAAGTGTCTGCATGTTCAGTATGAACATAGTAGTTGGGTTGTATGTATTTTGTGGAATCTTAGATACAGATTAGATAGAGACCCTACCAAGAACACTGCTACTAGCCAGTAGCAGTGATACATTCCTATAATCCCAGCACTCTGAGAGGCGGAGGCAAGAGGATTACAAGTTTGAGCATAGTGGTCCATTCAGTGGCAGTGAAACGCTGTCTCAAAAAAAAAAAAAGTTTTTAGAAAGGACTGGGGATATAGCTTAATGGAAAGGCCCTGGGTTTAACTTCTAGCACTGCCAAAAACAAAAAGCAAAAACTCCACACTAATACATGTCAAGCGTGGTAGGTCTGGGCTGGATGGAACCTAAGAATTCTTGTCATCTGTAAATTCCAGGTGACCTGGCTGCTGCTCATACAGAGATGACATCAAGTAATAAGACTGTATAAGAACACAGTTACATTTATCACTGAAAGGGAAGAAGTCAGTCTGGTTTCTATGCTCTCAACATTTCCTGCCCTCAGTCGAGAGGGCTTTGCCTACACAGACAGTGACTTCCGTACTCAGGACACTGTTGAGTGTCCTTCACTTCACTTCTGACACACTAAAGCCAGGTGTCAGCCTGTCAACTCACAGTTCAAACAACACTTTTGTAATCCCCATAGCAACTGAGCAGTTCTTCAGCAGATACTACCTGGGTGTCCTTAATTCTGGCACTTTATCTGGACGCCACATCAGACCTTACAGGGTGAGACACAGCCCCACAAGACCACCCCCTCCCTAGACACCAGACAGGTTATAATCTGTGCCTCTGACCTGCTGGCTATGCATTGGGGTCCTAGGACAGTTCTAGGACAGTTTACGCTTGGGAAAACGCTTCATGGAAGTTTCCCATGGTGTTATAAAGTCTATTACAAAGGGTATGGGCACACTGATAAAGATTGGGGGAAGCTTCCCTGCCCTTTCTGTCACCTGTCTCCCTCTCGCCTTACCTCACTGTGTCCTTTTCACCAGCCCAGAAGCCTCCAAACCCTGCCTTTTAGGAGTCTCCATGAGAGCTTTACCAGTCCCCACAGTAGATGTGTAACTCAGTCCCTAGCTCCCTTGTCTCCCCGGAGGTGGGGGCAGCCGAAAGTTCCTAGCGACTCATAATGGCTTGGTCTTCCTCATGACCATGAGAATCCCCTCCTCAGGAAAGAAGGTACTGCTTTCACCCAAGAATTCCAGAGGCATAGACCAACTATGATACACATTTATTTGTTATCATTATCTGCTCAAATCACAATGGCCCCATCTCTTCCATATATTAAAAGATCAATTTAGGTGTGTTAACATTGCGGTGAGAGTGTGAGAGCCTCCAGTGCTTCATGAATGGAGCAGCTGCAGACCACAATCAGTTCAAGGTCCACTGAGGACAGATGATGGGAAAACTGTTATGAGCTAGTCATGGAAATCAGACCAAAAAAATACTTGATTGGTTAGAGTAGGAATTTGTCACTTAGAAGCTAGTTGGCTATTTCTGGCTGATTTCCAATTAGAAGGTAGTTGATAGTTTCCGATTTGTTAAATGAAAGCTTTGCTTTCTTGTTCAGAGTGGGTTATGTTTTGTGTTAATTTGCTTTCTTGGAAACCCAAGATTCTGGGGCCACCTTAGCTTAAGAGCTTCCCAAGTAATTTTTAAATCTTTGCTAACCCTAATTTCCTGCCACGTTTTCCTTAGCAGCTGTGGTTCTGGACTTGTCAATTTGTCACCAAAAATAAGCATCCCCTATAAAGTGATAAGCGTCTGCTACAAGCAGATGGCCCGACCAGCTTCCAAAAGGGGAGGAAGGGATCCAGCTAAGTGTCCCTACTAGGAAAGGTCATAGGAGACCTCCACTGTACTACCACAGATTCTCTCCACAGGTCACGGAATCAAAGACAAAGAAAGTCAGCCGGAAAGGAAGCACTTCTTCCACATCCTCCTCCTCTTCCAGCTCCGTGGTGGACCCGTTGAGCAGTGTCCTCGATGGAACTGACCCCCTTTCCATGTTTGCAGCCACTGTTGACCCCGCAGCTATGGCAGCAGCCACGGTAATGTATGCTCCAGTGGCTGTCGGCCACTTGGGGTAGGGTGTGCGGGTGCAGGGTGGGGAGCTGTGCACCTCACTGTTTGTGCAGTGAACAGCGTTCTGATTATGGCCAGGTCATCTGGTTACAATTCAGGTCATCCAGACCTCCACAGGTTTCTGCTTAAAGTGGAAGGTGCTGTCAACAAGAGGCTGCTAGAGATATGGGAACTCTCCTTTCCTTTCTTTTGGCTGGGACATCTTAAAATTTATTCTTTTTAAAAAACCTTTTTTGCTATGCTAGGGATGGAACTCAGAGTCTTACTTATGTTAGGCAAGTGTCCTACCACTGAGTTCCACTCCCAAACCTAATTTCATTTTTATAATTCTTTCTTTTTACATGATTAGCTAGGCATTTGCTTATTTTTAACACAGTCACACATTACAAATATAGGCCTGTAACCCAGTTCCCTGCATTTTGTCCTTTACCCTGAGTTCATCACTGCTGTCAGCATGCTGTACGTGCTTCCATGGGTCTGAGATTCTTGCAGGACCTCACGCTGGCCAGGCCACTGTATGTGCTTCCAGAGCTATTCCTTTACTTTCTCATAGATGTTTAGGACAGTGATTTCTGAGCAGTTCCATTCCTACTCATATGTAAACAGTAACAATAAAAGTTAAGAATCAGTCAGCTTACTGCATGGGAGGTGTCTTTTGGAGTATGTTTCCTGCTGGATTCTTGTGCCAGCCTGTGAGAGAAATTATACCCTCATATGTAGAGGGACAGAATGAGGAGAATCTCCCCCAAGCTGAAATTTAGTCGTGGCTACTCTAGCTGTAGAATCCATGCTGTCAGCCTTCATTCTAACACATTCACATCAGGGCTATAAGGTGTATACTTGTTACTGGGAAACTCTGATTTAAATTCTGTCATTCCTGCCAGCTTGAACCACCAGTAGTATATGCATGACTGCTCCATCATGCTGCTTGTAATTACCCCTAGGGGTCTTTGATTACAGTAATGGAAAGAAAGGTGTTGATTTAGCAGACCAGATGTCATAGCACATTTCCTTAAGAAAAACATTACAGGGCTGGGGATTTAGCTCAGCGGCATAAGCGCCTGCCCTGCAAGCAGGCAGTCGTGAGTTCGATCCCTGGTACCGGTAAAAATGAAAAAGACAAAAAATAAAATAAAAAGAAAAACATTACAATGGTATAAAATACTGTAGTATAGTATTTTAAAAATTTCTACGTTAAAATTTAGAGAATGAATTATTGATAAACCATGAATATAAATTTCTCTTAATGAGATAAATTTATTAATTGCTCAAATAATTCTTCAATTGGTATAGTGTTAATACATTTGGCAGTAATCAGATTTAAGGACCTAACTAGATTCAGATCATTTATAAAGTTTTTATTAGTAAAAAGACTGATAAAAGTTATTAGACCCGTTTGTATCACTGGTGGTACAAGCTGCCCAATGGGACAGTCATGCATGTACCACCAGTGTTTCAAATCAGCAGGAGTGTGGTAAACATAAATTTGACTATTCCTGCAATCATTTTTTTCACTTGACAGTATGTCTTAGAGAACTTTCCCAATTAATTATGAGAACTATCATGGTATTTTGAAGGGCTACACTGTGTTCTGAAGAATGGGTATGACATACTTTACCTTGCCCTTCTTGTGCTGATAGACACCAGATGGTCTTAGGTTCAGCTGGTGTCAGCAGCAGTATCCCAGGTCTACACTACACATGTCCTGCTGCATATGGGTGAGGGTCTCCGCGACAGTGTCTAGGAGCCTGTCACTGGGTGGAGACCATGTATAGGAAGGTGCTGAATGCCACCACCAGATTGTCCTCTGTTGAGGCCTTATTAGTCTCTGTTCCTACCAGCAATATGGAGGCTTCCTATTTCCTTTAGCCTGAATATGAACAGCTATTCTAACTCCACTATTCAGCTACTTCAAAAATAGCCTTTTTCAGTTTGCCTTTCCTTGATTTTTAGTTAGTTTCAGCAATTTTGTTATGTGTTTTAGTGACTTGTGATGAAGCGACCTGAAAAGTTATTTCTTCATGGTAGACCTTTAGACAGATTGGTTTTCTTCTGCAGTGAGGGACTGTCTACCTTCTGCTCACATTTTATCTTTAAAGGCTAAAATAGCCTCTGAAGAGTTGGTGTTGTTCTTCCTTAGGAGAGCTCCAGAAAGAAACGTGACAGAGATGACAGCTCCACCGTAGGATCTGACTTTGAGCCTTGGGCCAACAAGCGGGGAGAGATCCTTGCCCGGTATACAACTACAGAAAAGCTATCTATTGTGAGTGCCCGGGGCATACCTCAGAGTTGGGGATTTCTCTTTGTTACATTGTCCAGTCCTGGGCTGTAAGTCTTTAAGTGTCAGTGTCATTGGGAGAAAGTATGCTGATGGGTTTTTTTTTGTTGTTGTTGTTTTTTGTCTTTTTCCTTTTTATTGGTACCAGGGATCGAACTCACGACTGCCTGCTTGCAAGGCAGGTGCTCATGCCGCTGAGCTAAATCTCCAGTGATGATGGTTTCTTGAAAAAAGAAAAGAATCAAATATTTGGAGCAGTGGAGAGAAGGAATTGGGGTGGTGGACCCCCTGTGAGGGATGTTGAGATGCATATGGAGGAACCCCCACCCAGTCACCCCTAGGACAGAATGCTGCTCTCTGAACCCCTGCTTATGGGTTTCCTTCAAGAGCTGGACGCTTGCTCTTCCTTGGGGTGACTTGTAGCTTAAGTAATTGGCATGTGAAGGAGGAGGTTAACCTTGTCCCCCACCTGGCCAGTTGCTCAAGTTCCAGAAAAGTCAGGAGAGTAGGACCCATCCTGGGCAAGCAAGTTAATGCTGGTGTTAGATAGGGTTAGGTTCAGTTGCTTATAACCAAGTCCTTCCTAATAGTGGCAGCAAGAGTGATGTGTAGCTCTCCTTATTCTGAAGAGAAGTCTAGTGGTGGGGAGTGTGGGGCTGGGACAGAAGCTCCAGGCTCATCAAGGCTCCACCTCATTCTGTCTTGCTGCTCTGCTGTATTTAGTGCCTCATAGCCAGGTTGATAGGCAGAAGAAGGGAAGGGAAGCAATGTCCTCCCTCCCATTTAAGCAAGCCACTGGGAGTCCCTTCAGCACTCACAGTTAAATTGTCTTGGAGGGAGTTGTGGGTGACGTGGTACAGGAAAGGCAGGGAGGTGTGACCTGGCTCCCATTTCCCATCAGGTCCTGGAACAGGAGGACAGCACAGTTATGGGACTGGTGACATTTTTCTCTGAATGCATAAAGATAATTCAGAGCTCAGTTATAAAACCTAGAGTAACATTATCCCCCCACGGGTCATTTGGAATGTCTTTAGATTCTTTGGTTGTCACAGCTGTGGGGTGTTCCTGGCATCTGGGATGGAGGCCAGAGAGACTGCAAAACATTCTGCCATGCACAGAATTAGCCCCACAGAAGTGTTATACAGCCCAACATAGCAGGACTGTGGAGGTGGAGAAGCCATGACTTAGAGAAGTTTAAAAGTAGTTCTGTTAGATGATTTTGCTTTCATATCAGAATTTTTTAGTATTCATTTAGGCCTCACTTTGAGAGGCCTGAATTGGGTAGAATTTAAATTTCCAGTGTTTGTTAGTGATCCCTGTTTTTCTTTTTTGAATATTTGTATTTAAGTCTTTCATTTGGATAAGCAAATGACTTGGCTGGAAAATAGTGGCTATGTTGCCTTAGATTTAAAAACAAAAACAAAAAACTAATGAATTCTTTGTCCTTGCAGAATCTGTTCATGGGGTCTGAAAAAGGTAAGATGAGATTTTTGTTGTTTTGGTGGAGAAATTATGTCACTGCCTTGAATATAACTTTACAGAGAAAAAGTTTACGTAATATAGGGTTAAAATACATAATTGGATATGAAAATAAAGAGAGCAGGAGGATAGTAGGAGCAAAAGATAAGCTTCCAGCTTAATTCTAGGCAGGGTGGAGCATGAGAAAACCTCCCCAGCTATTGACTTGCTTTAGAGAGCCGCCTTTTCCTTGGCCTTAAGTTGCTGTCTCTGTGACAGTGCAGATGTGCTGGTGCAGACGCACACACTCACCAGTCTCTGGACATGGCTGTTCTCAGTTTCCGCTCCTATGACTCCCAGTTCAAAACTCTGGTGGCGGGGTCCCATGGGGGAACTTTTATGTAAGTACAGAACTGGTGCCCACTTGTTGAGATAATCTTGCAGTACAGAATGCTAGAGTTTCTTTCTCAAAGCTGCCGGATTGTCCTGGAGCAACTGATAGTGGCCATACTGCTGGGTCAGATGACTGTGGCTGAGGTCCTTGTGCAGGTAGCTAACATGGTAGTGTTCCCCTGCTGCCCCAATTTCTCCTAATTGTCTGCAGGTTGAGACAGCACAGTAGAAGCCACAAGTGTGGAGACACTTTTGCTGTAGATGTCACTTTGACACAGGTGCAGTACATGTGGAATAAATCATGTTGTCACACATCCACCTGGTTGGAGAGAGAAATGGATTGAGGACCCTGAACGTCAGTGAGGGTGAGGAGCAACAGAAGCACTCACACCCTGCCATTGGAAACATAAGACTGCACATGCTCGTAACGTGCTTTGCAGTGTTTATCTAATGAATTTGAAGATGGGAGCTATGGTCTGATGCTTGTGTCTCCCCCAAAACATGTTAAAATCCCAACTCCTAAGGTGATGGTTAGAGGCGGGGGTCTTCAGGCAGACAGTGAAGGCATAAGGGTGGAGCCCTCATAAAGGGAATGAGTGCCTTTATGAAAGAGGCTCAAGGGACCTCATTCCTGCCTTCCACTGTGGGGTACACAGCAACAAGGTGCCATCTGTGGATTTGCTCCAGAGGCTGAATCTGCTGGTGCCTTGATCTTGAATTTCCCTGTTTGTGAAACTGTGAGAAATTGGTTTCTGCTGTTTATAAACTACTTCACTTATGGTTTAATGAAAGAGGTTAAAACAATGGGCCTGTGATCCCAACACTTTTAGAGCCTGGGAGAAAGATTGCAAGTTTGAGCCTAGCGTGGGCAATTCAGTGAAACTGTCTCAAAAAGGCTTGGGAATGTAGCTCAGTGTTAAGGTCCTGGGTTCAGTCTCCAGTACTGCCTCCCCAGAAGGAAACCCATCCCTTGATCCCGCCATTCCACAGCTGGAGATTGATGTACCATGGAGCTATATTCCTGTCCATTTTCATTCTCTTTAACCTCGGGACTTGGTCTCACTAAATTGTGCTCCAGTGACAGAGCTGAATAGTTGTAACAGTTTATATGATTGTAAAACCTAAAATATCTATGAAAATTTTTACTAAAAGAGTTTTCCAACTCTGCCCTAGATCCACATTTTAAAATTGTAGTTGAATGATCAGCATGCTGCATTGACTTCACCTAGAAACTCATTAGAAATACAGACTGTCATCAGATATAATCCTAGCCATGTCGGGGGGCCTTCAGAAGGGAGATTGCAAGACCATTTTGTTGAAAAGAACTGGGGATATAGTGGGAGGGTACTTGCCCAACATGTGTGAGTCCCTTGCAGATGGGGAAAGGGTTCTGAAGGAGGTGGCCCCAGAAGGCAGCAGTCAGCTGGACAGGTCACCTTGCCTTATGGCTGGCCCACAGACTGAAATCCTTTTTCCACTGGTCTCTGCTGATAGCCAAAGTGTGTTGACAGATACTGGAAGGAAACACAGTAAGTCCTGTTTGCTTGAAGAGAGGGCTTTGAAGACCCAGTCCACGTGTAGGCAGACAGTGAAGTCGTTGTTTTGTTAGTGTAAGGGAGTGTGAGGGCATGACAATTCTGCACTGAGTACCAGCCTGAGAGGGCCTTTGTTCATGACAAAGAATTAAATGGCTGGACTTTTGGCGTCCTTATCTGGACTGCCTTTATGAGTAAACAGACATAGAGTGCAATCTCATAACATTCACCTTCTCTAAGTAGCCCACCATATCCCCAGGACAGCTACCCAGTGGAAGATACTTCTGGTCTAACTTAGAAGGAAAGAAGTTATAAAAAAGAATCTGAGTTTCTATAATAAAATGGTTTCCTGCCATCTTTCCTCATGATGAAATGTAAGAGGAAAGATTCCTTCTGTGAGGGATACTAATGCAAGAGAAAAGTTATCTCTGAGACAGAAATCCATTCTTTTAGGCAGAGCTGGGACTGCCACTTCTGCAATGTCAGAGAAGGTCCGAACCCGGTTGGAGGAGCTGGATGATTTTGAGGAGGTGAGTGGGTTGCCCGCCGAGCACAGGTTGGGGCCTTTCCATTCCACCTGCTGCGGGAGACATCTCTGGCTGCCCTTTGATTAAGTCTCAGGCTGCACTGCTCTGACCTCCTGAGGGCCTGACTTAATCTGGGGAAAATTGTGATCAGCGCACTTGGCTGAACCCATAGGAACCTGCCTTGTGTGGGTTTTCTGGAGGCATCTTTTATCTTTGTGATGCCTGAAAAACCAGCTAGAGTCCCCTCCCAGGAAGCAGCCTGATGGAGTACAAAGACTGCATCATGCCAAGGGGTTTTCACGTGGCCATTCTGGCTACTGAGGCCCTTCGGAGTCTGCTAATCAGCCTGCCTGTGCATTGAAAATAATGTTACAAAGTGTGCTGGGTCCTCAAAACGGTACTTGTAGATCTCTAGTTCCTCTCTAAGGATTTCACCTGACAATTGTGGGCCCACAGTCTCGCAGTGGACCGGCGTACACAGGGCCACAGTCCTCCTTGTCCTGGTGCACATATAAATGATATTGTGTGCTGATCCTTGGACCTAGGTGATGCACATCCTCTGTAGTGTCCTTTTGAGAGACAGTGTGATGTGCTATCAGCCACACTGCCTGGATTCAAATCCCAGATCTTCCCAGATCCACTGCTCTGGACCTCAGTTTATTAATCTATAATGTGAGGTTAACAGTATGTAGCCAAAGGACAGTTATGGGTTCAATGAGTTAACATATATGAAGGGCTTAGAACAACATCCAGTGTACAACACATGCTCTGTGTGTGTTAGTTGCTGTCACCATAGTTACCCTGAGTCTAGTGGTTGGCTAGACTGCTACTATCAAGATGGCCTTGGGCATCCACCTTTCTGTACCTTTATTTCTTCTTTTATAAAATAGAATAAAGAGCTGGGGGTAGGAGGTGGTATATGCTCATAATCCCACCCTGGGCAACTTAAGAAGACCCTACCTCAAAAAAATAAAAAGCCCAAACAGACAAACAAAGTGGGCCTATAGCTCAGCATGAAGTCCCTGGGTTCAATTCCTAGTACTGTTAAAAATAATGAAAATGGGAGTAAGAGAGAGTTGCATGGATTAAATGAGGGATTATGAAAGCCAGGAAGGGCCATTTGATGGCATTTGCCATTGTCCCATCTGTTGGAAGATGCAAGGTCCTCCTGACTTTAGGACAGAGCCGTTGGGTGCTCAGCAGAATCCAGTAGTCCTATAGTTTATTTTCCAGTATAGACATGGCATGTTTTAAATTGGGGTGTGAGAGAACTGTAGTCTGCACATTATCAGCCCATCAGTCAGGAGCTTGCTGAGGGCTTCAGCCAAAGCTAAAGTCTTTGAGTATCTGAAAGTCACTGGAACTGACCTCCATTAAAACACCTCCCTGAACCTGAGGCCGTGCACAGTCCTCTGTCCCTCAGGTCCATGTAAGCCTCTTGCTACTAATTCTCTCTCTAATTTTTCATCTTTCTCCTGCAGACTGGTTTTTCTTTTCTACTTCCTGCTCACAGCAGCTGCTGTCCCAGGGCTTCCTGGTTAGCAGGTGTATCGGAAAGGATGAGGCTAGGTCATGCGGAAGTAAGAACTAGGCCCCTACATGTCAGTGGTTTTATTGTACTTTATTTTATGTTTGTGATACTGAGGATTGAACTCAGGGCCTTTGCATGCTAAGCAGGCACTCCCCCACTGAGCTACATCCCCAGCCCGTCAGTGGTTTTATATAACAGAGGTTTATTTCTTGCTGTTGGTACACACTCAGTCCAGGGATAGACGCAATAATGTCTCACAATGCTGCCATATCAGCACTTGGCTTCCACTGTTGTCACAAGCGAGGACTGAAGAGAGTGTGGATTTTCACTGTCTTAGCCAAAAAGGGACATAAGCTACTGGGCCCATTGTTCATTCACTAAACCATCTGCCTGGCTCCTCTATTGCCAAGAGGCCAGGGCGTCCCTGCCTTACAGTTCAGGTGACCCTTTGGGTCAGTCCCAATTCCCCAAACTGACTTTTAGGACTTTTTAAGGAGCTCTTGCCTTTGGATGCCATGACATGTGCATTGGTATCTATTCCCTCCCTGTGTGTGGCACTATGAGTGGTGAGAATAACAGTGGCTGTCCCCAAACTCCCGAGTCAGGTAGTTTTGTGACAGTTGCCTCCTAAGAAGTTGGAGCTGCAGGTGGCACTGTTATGCCTGGCTCCTCACAAGCATGTATCTTAGTCTGTGCTCATAATGGGCTTTTGCCCTCAGTTATTATAAACTACTAGTCTGGAGAAAGTGAGCATCTTTTTGCTTGAGTGACCACAGTTATCTTTGTATCTTGAGCCCCTGGGACTGTGCATGGTACACAGCCAGCCCAGTCCCAGTGTGCTGAATGATGTGATCCCTTTCCCCAAGTGCAGGGGAACTTGGGGACAGTGCTTTCCTGTGTGGCAGAGCTGTGTTGATTTGGGCCTGACTTCCCCCCAAGACCAGCCTCTTTGCCCCTGTTTTGCCATCCCAGGCAGAAATCCACAGAGCCTCTGATTGCAGGACAGCATTATCAGTTCTGGTAGAGACACCAGGGACCTTTGGAGGCCAAAGCATGGTCAGTACCCAGGTACTTGTGACCAAGTTGGATTAGAAATATGCGAGACAGTTTTCTCTTTTCCTTCAGTGCTTTTACTTTCTGCTTTTGACCCACAGGGATCCCAAAAGGAGCTGTTGAACTTGACTCAGCAGGATTATGTGAACCGCATAGAGGAGCTCAACCAGTCGCTCAAAGATGCCTGGGCCTCAGACCAGAAAGTGAAGGCTCTGAAAATTGTCATTCAGGTTAGGCGGGGTGTGTGCTTTCTGCCTCCCCTTACCTTGCATTTCCTGCTCTGCATTTCCTAAGTAAAACTGCTTAATTTGGATTTTCAGAAGTCTTTGGGGTTTTATCTCATTTATCATCTCCCATTTTCACATACTTCCTCTGAAAGACCTTACCTCTGAATTTTGTTTTTATGGCTTGCCTAATCCCATGGCTGCTATGTGCAGTTGTATAAGTTGCACATTGTGCAGTTCTAGGAAGCTCTTGACCTTCGGTTGCCCAATTAGCAGTGCCCCCTGTGTCGTGCAGTTCACTGTCTCTGACACATTTATTGTTTGTACACACTAAAGAGTGAGCGATCCTTTCAGGTTTCCTTGGTTTGCTGTTTTTGGGATTAATGGTGTGTGTCTCTGATGTGTGCATTTTAAAAACATATTCTGCATGAATATGTGGTAAGGAAAACATGTTCATTGTGTCACTGGGTTTTGATTGATACATTTATTGATCTGCTGACACTTTTTGGATTACAAGAACAAGTCCTGTAAAAAGTAGCTTACCCTGTGATTTGGCTCTGAAGATCATTACATTTTGGCAAAACATGCTCAGAAATTTCCTGTTCAAGGAGTAATTCATGCATTACCATTTTCAGAGTAAATTTATATGATTTGCTGAGTGGCTATAATAGTTCAAACAGACAGACCTCATTCTTATCTGATATAATGATGAGGCCCTTGCCTTCTCATCTGTTGCTTGTGAGAGATATCACAGAAGGAGAGTTTGAGAGTCTTTGCACTGAACACTTGAAGTGTTTGAAGATGACTTTTTATACGGCAGGTGTGATTTTTTTCTTTTTGCAGTTTCATGATGGGAGACGAACCTGAGCCCGTCTCTTTGCATCCTGTCTGCCTGCTGGGGCTGCCTGCTGGGGCTGCCTGCTGACCCTCCAGTGGGCAGCTCTCCAAACTGCCAAGAGCAGCTGCAGAGTGTGTCTGTTGGCAGTGTTTCTCCATAGATAGTCAGAGCGTGGACTTTAGAGGTTAACATCTGGAGAGATTTGAGTCATGTCCTCTCAAACAAAATAATCACGAAGTTTAATTGACTCCACATTTGGCTGATAGTAAAAATTCTGTAAGATGTAATCAAGATGCACATTATGAAGAATGATGATAGTAAAAATTCTGTATAAGACGTAATCAAGATGCACATTATGAAGATGCACTGTACCTTATTTACTTTGTAGCAAAGAGTTTTTTTGTGGGGAGAGTTTGGCAGCTTTGTTCAAACATATTGTACATATCAAAAGGCCACCCAACCAAGGGTTTAGCTCAGTGGCATAAGCGCCTGCTTGGCAAGTGTGAGGTCATGAGTTCGATCCCTGGTACCAAAAAAAAAAAGTCCACCCAAGGACTAGGACGTGGCTCAATCTAGAATGCATAAGGCCCTGGTTTCCATTCGCAGCACCCCAAAACAATAAACAAACAAGAACAAAAATAACACCCATTTTTATGTATATATTTCAGTGATTTGTTTTTTTTTTTTTTACTTTTTAGTAGATCAGTAGAATTGTGCAACTGTCACTTGTTTGAGAATGTTTTTATACCTCCATAATTCCCTCAAGCCTGTTTGCAGTTAAACCTTACTGCTATCCTAGCACTAAAAATCCAGAGACTTGCTTTCTGACTACAGACTCTGCTATTCTGTATGTCATTTATTATGTAACAGTGGTGCTTCAGTTCACAAACTTAATTTGTTCCACCATTTTGGAAAAGATGGCCGCGTTTGTGTTTGTTTGGGAAGGATGGCTGTGGTCATGTTTATCACTCGCATGAAGAGTTTGCAAACAAAAACAAAGTTTTGTCAAATGCTTCTGTTTGTGAACCACAGTGTTTGCAAACAAAAACATTTATGATTCGAAGCACTACTATTCTGTATTCTTTTGCACTAGCTTCCACTTAGCTTAATGTTTTTGAGGTTCATTCATGCTGTATCATGTACCATGTATTCATGCTTTATTCCTTTTTTCCTACTAAATACTATTCTACTACATAGGTAACTACATTTTGTGTGTCCATGAGCAAGTTGGTGTACATTTGATGGTTTCCACTTGTGGCTGTTGTGCATAGTGCTGCTGGGAATATTTGTATACAAATTTTGGCAGACATTTAGTTCTCATGGGATTACTCAGTCACTGGTAAGGTTATGTTTAACTTATTGAGAAACTGCCAAACTGCTCTCCAAAAGCTATGTGGTTTCCATTCTTACTGGTAGTGTGTAAGGGTGCTGGTTCCTCTTCCTCCTCTCTAGCACCCTCATGGCTCATTTATGTACATTTAACTACGCTTGTGGTATGAAGTGGTATCTCATTATTTTAATTTATATAACCCTAATAATAACATTGACCAACTTCTTATATACTTATTGGCCATTGTGTATCATTTTTAGTTTAATGTCTAAGTACTGCCCAATTTTTAGATTTTCTTTTCATTGTTTTATTGTTTTGTTGTTTTTGTGGTACTAGGGCATTAGTCCAGAGCCTCAAGTATTCTTGACAAGTGCTGTGTCATGAAGAGCCTATCTTCGTGTTGAATATATTCTCTATATATATCTGTGTGTGTGTGTGGGTGGGTGGGGGTGGGTGGATGTGCACACGCACATGCACACTAGAAATGGAACCTGGGGCCTTGAGCATGCTAGGCAAGTGCTCTACCACTGAGCTATACCCGCTAGCCCTTTTTGTTTTGACACAGCATCTCATTGGGTTGCCCACATTGGCTTACTTGTGATCCTCCCATCTCAGCTCTCCAGAGTGTTGAGGTTACAGGTATGCCTCCAGCCCTTTATATTCTTTATTAATTGCAGTTATCTATTGTGGAATGATAGGGGCATGTTCTGAGAAATGTACCATTTGGTAGGTTTGTTTTGGCAGAGCATCATAGAACATGCTTACAGAGCCTATGGGACCCCTGTTGCATATACAACCTATAGTATTGTCACATGGTGTATGACTATATGACTTCCTATGTTGTGGTTTGTCTTTCCATTTTCATAGTGATTGTTTTGAAGTGCAGAGGTTTTAATTTTCATGAAATCTCACTTGTTAATTTTCTCATTTTAGCTGATGCATTTGGAGTCAAATATAAGAACTCTGACTAACCCAAGGTCATGAGGATTTTCTCTGTGATTTTTTTCTAGAAGTTTTATATGGTGATAATGCTTAGACTTAGGCCCATGGTCTGTTTTGTGTTGGTTTCTGTGTCAGAGATGAGATAAGGGTCCAAGGCAGTGGTGGCACACCTACGGCATGTGTGCCACAGCAGGCTGTTTGTATCATTGAAACCTCTAAAAGGTTCGCCATCACTGGTCCAAGGTTTTTTTTTTTGTGTGTATGTATATAATTGTCCCAGCAGAGTTTAAAAAAAAAGACTCCTTGTGTTTCCTTGAATTGCCTTGGCAATTTTATGAAAACTCAGTTGGCTATGAATGTAAGGGCTTGTTCCTGGTTTCTCAGTGCTAATTCCATTGGTCTCAAAAGTATATCCTTATGCAAATTCCATGCTGCCTTGATCACTGTAGCATTATAGTACATTTTGGAAATGGGTTGTGTAAGTCTTTTTTTTTTTTAATTGGTACGGGGATTGAACTCATGACTGCCTCCTTGCAAGGCAGGTACTTATGCTGCTGAGCTAAATCCCCAGCCCCCGGTTGTGTAAGTCTTTAATTTTCGTTCTTTTTCAAAATCATTTTGCTTATTGTGGGTCTTGTGCATTTCTTTATGAATTTTAGGATCCGCGTGTTAATTTCTACAAAAACCAAAAGCAATGACAACGAAACCGCCTTGGTTGTTGGGAGGGATTGTGTTCTGTATAAAACAGTCTTCTGGTGTGTGAACTACAGCATCTGTGGATGGGCATCTGGCTCTGCCTTTGCGTTTTTATTATTATGATCAACATTGCTGGGTGCACACCTGGGCGCATTGTTTCATGCCCACTTCATACTTTTCTCCAGGTGAGGAATGAACCTGGGTGGGACTTGCTTGGCAACAGCTGGGTGCTATTTCAGCTTTCAGATCACGAAGCTATTCCCTGATGCCAGCCCCGCATTCTGTCCCTCTCTCTAGTAGCAGCAGAGTGTGAGAATCTGCTGTTTTGCATTCTGCTACTATTCCATGGGCGGTGTGAGCTGACTTTCTGTTTTCATTTTTCCAGTGAAAAATGAAAGGAGGCAATAACACCATTTTAGTGTAGTTTTTTTTGTTTGTTTGTTTGTTTTAATTTTAAGTAGAAAAAGAAAAAAAAAGCACAGAAAGGGTACAAGTTATACAGATTTACAGAAAAAAATAAACAGTAGGAAATCATTAGTTAATGGATTACATATTGTCATCTTAGAAATAATTGTTCAAGTTACAAAATTAAAGCTTATAAAGTGGACATTCCAGCAGTGAGACTGCAAATATCCAACAAAATTCAGGAATATCATTATCTATCTTGTACACTTAAATATACATGCAGTTACATCGTTTAGAGCACTTTCTTTTCCTCTCTTTTGTACAATGACAATTACACATTTTGGGTTTTGTTGCTCCCACAGTTCTTATTACTTTTTTGGAAGAAAGTAGAACCAAATGTGACATAACAGAACAGTGTCAGTCAAATCAAAAGGGTGGACATAATAGATAATGTAAAAGCATAATACAAGGTGATCAACAATGGTTACCATAATGCCTCCTGCTATCTGTAATAGAATTGCCTATATCATCAGTTATAATAAAATTGAATAAAACAGTAAAGAACAAGACCAACAAAAACCAAAACATTGGAGACATTATAGGTCTTCAAAAGTAGATAATAGTCAACCAGAATGGGCATCATAATGAATCCCACTATCTTCACAGCTGTTGCCTAAACTTTCGAACCTGGTACTATCAAGCATGACAGAATAGAGGAACATCAGTCAAACAAGATGGTGAGAGCAATACAGGGCTTTAAATCAAGATAATGGAAAGTCAAAGTGGATTACTATAATATATCCTGCTATTTTTAGTGTAGTTTTGAGGGGTTTTTTGGTTTTGTCTTTTTGAGACAAGGTTTTGTTTTGTGGTTTGGACTGGCCTTGAAATCACTTTGTAGCCTTTTGTGGCCTCCAATTCAAAGTGATCCTTCTGCCTCAGCCTCCCAGCTGGGTTTATAGGCATGTACCACCAGACTTAGCAAATTGAGCATTTTGTTTCCTGCTTATGGGCCATTGAGGTTTCCTTTTCTGTAAAATGTCTCTTGTTGATTTCTTTTTCCCACTATGTTATTTATATTTTTTCCTGGTGGGTTTTACATTTTTTTTTTCATATATTCTGGGTAATAATGCTTCTTCTTCCTTCTATCCCTCTAAGTCTCAAGACATCTCTTAATTAATCCATTTGTTCTGCTCATCCAAGTATCTTTTTAAAAATTTTAATTTTAGAAACTTATTCTGAAATGTTAGAATACTCCTAGTTTTCTCATTCACTGGAAACAAACAGAAAATGTTTTTTCAGGGTTTTCCTATCAGTGTTAGTAAGTAAGCTTAATAGTCTGTGTTTCAGGCAGAGAAACATGTTCGTTGTTTGAAAGGTGTTTATAGCCTACTATACATCACTTGGAGCATTAAAAAATCCCAGCATCCAAGCTGTACCTCATGTCAGTTTAATTAGAATTTCTGGGTGGTAAGACCCTGGTGTATTACTTCAGTGTTCCATAGAGGACTCTCAAGTTGAGAATAGTTGGTTATGGAATATTTACTCCATTGAGTATGTGGGTGATGGGTAACACCAACCTGGTGTCTGCAAGCTTTATTTTTGGTTGACAGTCACCTGGAGCCCTTATTAAAGTACTGATCTCCAGATGCCCTAGCTTCAGATTTTGACCAGTAGGTTTTGTGGGGAGCCACAAATTTGTATATTTAATGCATACTTCAAGGTACCTGATTCTTAAACTGATAAGTTAGGAGGTAGCACCAAAGCTTTAAAAGCTGTGGCATCTTCAAAATAGTGATTTTTAACACAATCACAGAGGGACATAATTCCTGTGTTTTGTTCCTGGGGGACCTGAAGCATATGTGTGATTGTGCTATCAGGTAGCTTTTTAGTAATTTTACTAGGAAAAAGACCCACAAAAGTGAATAGATTTGATTGTATCACCAATAGTACATGCCACCTGTTGGGACAGTCATGTAAGTACCACCAGCCATTCAAGCTGGCGGAAAAATGTTAAAAAGTAACTTCAATTCAAAAAAATTTTATGGCTTTAAATTTTAATTTAAAAAACTTTAGTTCCTTTTATACTTTATAAAATATATGTTCTATGATACCAGTGTGGGAGAAAAATCAGTGCACAGATGTTTGTGAAGTCTATTTGAAATCTTCTGCTTGAATTATGTGCCTCATTTCACCCATGGATGCTGGGTCCTTTCCAAGAGACTTGGAAACCAGGTTATGGGTAGGAACTCAGGGGTGTCATATCCCTAGGAATCTAAACTAGAGCTGTGTATTGTAAACAGTCTGTAGGATTCAAAATTGTTTGCTTTTTCTTCCCACTATCAAATCTCCTGGGACAATTGTTTAAGTTGGAACTTTCATAAAGAGCTTTGGAAAAAAATTCCCCCAAGCAGGGCGTCAGGAAATGGAATTCCCTATACATTCAAGTGCCATGTTTCATGTCAGCACTGTTGTTTTAACAGCTTGCTTCCCTGTTCCCCCGTAGCATCTGGGCTGTAGGAGGATGTTTCATAATTCAGACATGCTGTTTACTTTTAGGCATTTTATGCTTAGAAGAAACTCGGTGATTCTAATAATAATTTAGATATTGAGTAACAACACTGAAGTGGAAATACATGTCAGCCTATCTTTGACCTGGTAAATCTTTTAACCATTCTCTGCATATTGAAATACATATTAAAGGACTTTTCTAAATGCACAAAAAATTTTATTTGCTTATTTATTTGAGACAGAATCTTACTTGTAGCCTAGGCTGGCTTCAAACTCATGATCCTCCGACCTCGTTCTCAGTGCTGGGATTACTGGCGTTGCATCACCACACTCAGCTAATTATTTTATTTTTATGTGACATTTTCCAATCTGACAGTCAACTGTTGGAATGATAAAATACAAGAAAGTTATTTGGTTCCTTATGCTGACTGTGGGATTTGTAAAAACTTTCAGGGCATTAAATTTAGTTCTTCTGAGTAGAAATAGCATTTTTTAAAAAGACTAGGCATGTGGCTCAATGCAGAGGCCCTATGTTCCATCTCCATTTCTGAAAAACTAAAAAATCATGAATGTGTCAGCAGCATTTTGGCACCAGTAAGAGCATAGGGATTGTGCGATGCAGTCAGAGCTGGACCACCTCCAACACTGAAGCTCATAGTTCCAGAGACACAGCCTCTTGAAGCTTGGCATGCTTCCCTGGAGAGGAAAGTTAGGGAGTGAGTTTAAATAGTTGATGTAAGTTTAAGAAAGCGTGGATAATTACTTGTATGAAAAGAGTATATAAGAACCCTAGCCGGGCGTGGTGGTACATGCCTGTAGTCCCAACACTCTTGGAGAACGACACAGGAGAATCACAAGTTTGAGTGCAGCCTGGGAAACTTAGTGAGACCCTGTCTCAAAGTTAAAAAAAGAAAAAAGAATCTAGATCATACTGAAATAAAACAGAGGAAGCCAGGTTGGAAAACAGAACAAAGATTGGTCAGATGAAAGGACTGTGATGCAGAGATGAGTACTGGTCCTAGTTCCTCAAGGAGGACCCTTCTGGATTAAAAGCCAATGGCTTCCCCGGAGCAAGACTTTCCAGAACCTTCCTTAAGGGGCTGTGTGTGAGGAGTCCGGGTTCTTTTGTCAGAAGCACAGTGTTTTGGCTTATCATTACATCCCCCAGCCTAGCACAGGGTTTGGCATAAGATGGTGAGCATCTTTTTCATAGAAATTATTAATTTTCTAGGGCTTGAGGGGCGCAACCAAGTCAGACATGACACAGTGAATTTTCTTTTCTCCCTTTCGTAGTGCTCGAAACTTCTTTCGGACACAAGTGTTATTCAGTTCTACCCAAGCAAATTTGTCCTTATCACCGACATACTTGATACATTTGGTAAGTACCGTGTTCATCCTGTATCTAGGGACTATGTTTGTTTTTTCAGGAATTGGGTGTTAGAGTTACTGTAAGTAAGGTTCTGCAGTGATTTGAATAAGTAAGTAAATTATGAGGGTGACCAAATCATGCCCCCATGCCTGTTAACAGCTTTCATACATTTTTGTTTTTAATGGATGTATTATGTATATTAAGTACACTATATGTACATAAATACAATGATTACTCATATGGGTGCAACATGAGATTTCAGTATATGTATACAATGTGTAATGATTAGATCAGGGTATTGGCACATCTGTCATCTCAGACAGTTCTCATTTCTTTGGGTTGGAAGCATTCAAAATCCTATTAGCTGTTTTGAAATATTTAGTTAATTGCTGTCAAGTGGAGCTACCCTGTAGTATAGTAATTAGAACATTAGAAGATTTTCCCTCCTGTCCATCTGCAAGGCATGTTGCTTTTAAATCAAAGAATCTTGTTTTTTTGTTTGTTTGTTTGTTTTTGAGTCAGTTTTGCTATGTTGTTCAGGCTAGCATTGAAGTCATTGTGTGGCCCAGGTTGGCCTTGAACTCATGGCATTTCTTTTGCCTCTGCTTCCTGAGTCCTGGGGCTACAGGTGTGTGCCACCACACCTGGCCTGAGTGAAAGAATCTTGTCTTCTGTTTTCTCCAGTTTTCACATAGATGGATGAAGTCAGTGAACAAAGTAGAACAAGCTTTGGGGAGCACAAGTCTTGTCTAAGCCAGCTGTTGCCCATCTCTTCCACAGGGCTCTCCAAAGTTCCTGTGGTTCAGAACTGAGTGTGCTAGGCAGTTTTTTCTTACTATAACAAAATACCTGAGATGATCAATTTACAAAGAGAAAAGATTTATTTGAACTTACAGTTTTGGAAGTTCAGATCTGTGATCATGTGGAGACATTGTTTGTGCGCCTGTGATGAGGCAGTACAACATGGTGGTATCATGTGGTAAAACAGCTCCACTTACCTCATGGCTAAGAAGCAAGACTGCGTAGTGTGCCAGCGTCCCACAGTTCCTTTAAGGGAATGTCCAGGGTGACCTAAAGACCTCTTAGTGGGCCCTGCCTCCTAGTAACCACCACCTTGTAGTAGCACCACACCGCAGACCAGGATCCAGGTTATACCACTGAACTTGGTAGCTTGTCCAACCTTTTACCTGCCCGCGGGCTTCCTGTCTCCCTATTGCCAAAGCTGGAAATAGTGTCCCCCCACTGTTAAGCGTCTTCATTTTCACCAGTCCCCTGCTGTGCAGATGGTGCCCATAGTTCCTTGGAGGTCCTTGTGCACCCTCATGGCTACCCTGAGTCCCACAGTGGATGCTCAGACAAAGTGATCTTTTGGAGCCTAGTAAAATGGCCTCTGCTTGGTAGTGCTTGGTTGGGTAGAACATCTTGCTGTTAGTGGTTTGCCAGCCAGGTGACCCCTAAGCTACAGATAGTATACAGAATGGAGGTGGCCCAGAAGAAATTGAGAGTGTTCTTGTCTTCTGAGAACAGAACACATAGAAGGTCAAAAGCAAAGGCACTTGCTGTCTTACTGAGAGTGAGCCTGAGGGCAATCTCATCTGTATTTACTCAAAAGATGGAATGTGAGAGAAAACTTGTACCCTTTCTCTGCTTTTTTTTTTCTTTTCTCCTTAAATAAAATTTAAAAATTAAAAAAAAAAAGAAAAAAAAAAAAAAAAAAGAAACTGGCCACCAAAGCAAAGAAGAAGCAGGGGAAGCACGGGGGGAGGAAACAAAGAAAGAGAAGGAGGAGGAGAACGGGTAAGAAGAATAAGAAGAGAAGAAGAAAAGAAAAAACTGATACTGCAGATGCTTGTGAACAATCTGACTTAAAAATGCTTAGATTGTGAGTAACTTGTTGTGCAAGTGTTTTGCAAGACAAGCAAGCATTTCTAATAAATTTTAACTTTATAAAAAAAAAAAAAAAAATCAGTTCCATACATCTCCGACCTGTTCATGAGACTGGAATCCTGAGTGTATTAGCTAAGGCAAGTGGCAGAAAACCTAACTAACATAGCAGAGAGGGGTGTTTATTGGCTTATGCTGCAAAGAATAGTAGTAGTTTCTGGCTTGTGGTAAACCTCCGTCCAGGAGCTCAGTGTTATCAGGGCCTTGTCTTTTTCTAGTACTTGCCTTTGGGTTAGCTTCATTTCCAGGTTTCATTCACTTCTGCTTCTGTCAACTTTACTGCTCATGGTTCCAAGGCACGGAGAGCTGCTTTCTTCAGCCACTCTCCCCGCAGTCCTGGAATTCATCTCACTGGCCACACTTGGAGCCATGGCCGGCTGGGGGCCACCCATAGTGTCTGGGGATAAAATGTATTGATTCCCCAGGCTAGGTTCCCCTGAAAGAGAAAGGTGATGCCAGCACCTGGGGAAAAAAAAAAGGAATGGATGCTAACTAGGCAAGGAGGAGAGTTCAGGTCACACAGAGGTGGCATCAGGTCCTCTGCTAGACTTTGGGGATGAATCAGCAAGAAAGAGAAACACAAATCCCTTTCTTTGTGGCATTTATATTCCCATAAAAGATGGTGAACTGGGAGAATAACTGAGCCAACCCCACTCTGTGTCAGGCAATGATCAGTGCTGTGAAGAAAAACCAAACAGAACCAGGGGCAGGAGCACTGGGCTGGCTGGGAGTGGGCTGTGACCAAGCAGGGGAGCGAAGCAAGCAGTGCATGTGAAAGACTTGAGAGGGACACAAAGCTCGAGGAGACAGGAGGCCGGGGGCAGGCGAGGCTGAAGAGCAGCCAGTGCTCTGGGATTGGAGCATGCCTTGTGGGCTTGGGGAGCTATGAGGAAACTAAGGTGGCTAGGGTGGAATGAACAGGCGGGAAAGGCAGACCCAGCATGGCCTGTGGGCCCCAGGCAGATTGAGGTTTGACTCTGAGGGTGTGAGGTCCCTGGAGGATGTGAGCCATTGAGGGACGTGGTCCACTTGGGGTTTTTTTTGTTTTTTTTTAACCAGGCTCCCTCTGGCTGTTGGCTGGATAGATTGTAGGTGTGGGCTGGTGTCGAGTCTGCCCAGGCAACTGTGGTAGCTCTTCTGGTGCTGGGCAAGGGTGGTGTGGCTCAGGTGAGATAGTGGGGATGAGGAGGACAGCAGCCTGAAGCTCACAGGACAGGTGCCAAGGTGTACACATCTCAGCCCTCACTTTGCCTCGAGCTCAGCTTCCTTCCAGGGAATGAGTCCTAAGTCAGGGAGCAAGGTTATGGCTGTGTAGGGCTGTCCTAACACTTTCTTCTCATCTCCTTTGCTGGCCTCCTTCATGTGAGTCAGCATCTCTGAGTGAGACCATCTCTTAACAGCCCTGGTGGCATGTTTACCTTCGGGTGCAAAGACTTCATGTGGCTCACTGTGGCCAGCACCCCAACCCAGCCAGCTGAGATGTGGGGCAGTGCTGCTGTGCGTAGCTGGGCTGCAATTTAAAGTAATAGTGATAAGCCCTTAGCAAATGCTTTCCAGGGGTTAGGTCATGGAGTCTGCTTGGCAGCTCTGTGAGATAGTCTATAATTGTCCCCATTTTATAAAAAGGTGAAGAATCTGAAATCCAGGGAAGTAGGTAGCTTATTCAAGGTTTCCAGCATAGTGAGTGGCTGAGCAGAGACTCATTTAGAGCCCTCTGCAGTCAAAGATCATTTCTCTCATGCATTACTTATGTGGGTAGTTTTAACACACCAGAAAAATTACTGATGCAGATCCCTTTGGATTTTTACCCCTAGGAGTTTATCTTATTTGTGAATAGCAAGAGATGGGAAATAACTGAAGTGGCCATCAGTAGGGGGCCAGTTAAATAAATCATGACACATATCTCCAGGGGAGTGCCCAGTGCTCTAAGGAAGAAGGAGGCTGGGCTTGTGTCCCTAAGGGAAGGTCCTCTGGGAGTATTCTGAAGTGAAACAGTTAAGATGCACGAGCTTTATGGAGTAGTGCGTTGCTTTTTGTGTAAGAAAGAAGAAATTAGAATATATATTCCTCCTGTTGTCTTGGGTCTGACACAGACGATACCCCAGCAACTGGTACAGCTGGTCACTCTGATAGGTGGTAAAAGGACAGGGAATGCTGCATTTCATTTTGAGCCGTGGGAATGTTTTGCCTCTTTAGACCCAAGTGTCACTTCCATAGACCCTGCCTCTGAGGGCTTCTAGAGAGAATTAGAGTATGTAGGAAGCCCATAGCATTTTTCCTCTCTGGAGAGTTTGTTGACAGGATTTATAGTAAATAACTTGGTGTCTAGCACAAAGTGAGCACTCCGAAAGTGCTGGTTGTCACCTCTGTTGTTTTAAAATCTACTTTACTGCTGCTAGTGCAGTGGTGATGAACCTTTTAGAGTTTTCAGTGAATAACTTGCTGTGGCTCATGTGCCATAGGTTCACCATCACTGCCCAAGTGTATAAAGAAAGAAATCAAGAGCACTGAGGAAGGAGCCTGAAGCAGCAGGATTTCAAGGTTCAAGGCCAACCTAGGCTACATCCCAAACCCATATCAAAATAAAACAAAACACCAACAACCCCCCCCCACACACACACACACAAAACTCAAGAAAAGAACATAGATCTAAGATCTGGCATTAGTTCTCAAAACAATTGTCTACTATTTATACAAAAGAAAAATAGCCCGCTTGGCCCAAATTGTAGAATGAGGATGAGCGGGGAATGATGGTGCCTGTAATCCCCACACAGTATTTAGGGAGGTTGAGAAAGGAGGATCTAAAGTTTGAGCCACTTTGAGCAACTCAACAAATTGGTGAAAGCCTGTCTCAAAAAATTTTTAAAAAACCATGTGTGTGTATGTGTGTGCGTGTGTGTGTGTGTAGGGGTCTGGAGATGTGACTCAGTGTGAAGGTTCTGGGTTCAGTCCCCAGTACAGCAAGGGAAAAAAAAAGTGAAAGTAAGATAGAAAAATCATGTTCTTTGTAAAGCTTGTTTTAGTGACACACTAAGCTTTTTATTTAGAGGTTTCACGCTCAGTCCGCACTATGTACCTTAGGAGTCAAGAAGCTTTACAGCTATCTGCAGCCTTGCTAATGGGTGAGGCGAATGCCATGCACCCTGACGCCAGCACACCCATTGTCCTGGGGAGGCTGTGCCTTGTACCAGGCGTGGCTGCTCCTTGGCGTGATGGGAAGAAGGCAGGTGGGGCAGGCTCTGGGGCTCACTCTTTAAGGCTTCCACAGGGTCAGCTGCAGCCCCTGGTGGAGAGCTGGGCTTCTCATCCGTGGCTGCACATTGGGCTCACCTGGGGACCTTCACAAATTCTCCAGGGTCCGAGCTGCAGCCTATCCCAATCTCTGAGGCGGGACATGGACAGCTGTTAAGTTCGGAAGAGCCCCAAGTGCTGAGACTATGCAGCTAGGTCTGAGAAGCACAAGTTTAGGAAGAGGTATTCTCTGGTATCTCCCTCATTGGTAGTCCTCATACTTAAGCATGTACAAAATTTCCTAGCATGGTGATTCAAAACCATATTCTTAGGCCAGACCCTTCATCCAAAATTTCTACCTCAGTGGTTCGAGGGTGGACCCAAGAGTGTTCCTTTCCAAAAGTGTCATTAGGTGATTGTAATATAAGGGTCCACCCTGGGAGAGGTGGCACCTCCTAGACTGACCTCTTCCTTCCTTCATCCTAACTTGCGTCACTCTTGATGACATCATTTCATCCCGGGTCCTTAACCAGACACGATTTTTACAACTTTCTCACTTTCAAGATTGCTGTTCTTTATTTGCCAGAATACTGGGGTTGTGAAAAAGAACATAAACACTTTTAAATTGAAAGTGATGGAGGCAGAAAATGAAGAGCTGTCATTTTACTCCCTATATAGTGATGACGTTTTCCAAAATACATGCGCAGAATAGTTTTTCTTCTTGCCAGTTGTTTTTTTGGAATATAGCTGACCTATTTACATATCGTCTCAAGTTGTTTTAATTCTGCCCTGCCAAAGCTGAGTAGTTGAGACAGTGATCTGTGATTTAACAAAACCTACACTCCATCCATCTGTCCAGCAGCCTGGATCAGGTCCTGGGGATGTGGCAGCGATGAGACGAGTACACTTACTGCGCTCATGGGGCTTCCTTCCTAGTGGAAGCTCAAGTTCAGATGCTTCTAGCCACTGCTCTGCAGATTCACGAGGAAACGGGCTGACAGGAGAGCAGTGGGATCCGGTGGGACTGCGGCAAACTGGGCAGTGCAGATGCTATTGCAGGGGGCAGCTCCTGATTTGTCTACCTGGGTGTTGTCCTGTAGGGATATGAGCATATTTTTGCATATCTTATGTGAACTAGCAGATTTTTTTCACCTTAATTCTCCCAGTTTCCCTTTGGGAATGAATTCATAAATTTTTAAAGCACCCTATGGCACTCAAGTTGTGGATCAAATATATCCTGTCTCAGGCTGGACTCAGCCCACTTGCACCCTCTGATTGAAAATTGAACGTAGCATAGAATCTAGAATATTTTCTGTTGAGGACATGGAGAGAGCTGAGACTCTGTTAGCCCTGGTGTCAGTCAAGACTCTAAAGGGTAACATTGGTCACCTTTTTCTCTCATTAAAAACAAAAAAAAACCCCAAAGGAATATGGTTTAAAGCTTGTTCCACTAGATGGCAGTGTTATCGCAAGTTAAAACGTGTCTGTCTGGGATAAGACCTGTGTCCCTCTAATTGACAAACGATTTAGTGTTAGCTTCTGATGTGTGATGCTAATACCAGTATGTCCTTTTCCCCCAGGAAAGCTGGTCTATGAGCGCATCTTTTCCATGTGTTTGGATAACCGCAGCGTCTTACCAGGTAACACTGAGGCTTTCAGCCAGTCTGGTGGGATTCTTTATCCTTATGGCTCTGGGGATTGAATGCAGGCCTTTGCAGTAAGCTACATCCCCAACTTTTTTAATGTTTTTTTTTTTTTTTTTTTTTTTTTTTTTTTGAGACAGGAGCTTGCTAAATTGCCCATATTGGGCACTTGTGATCCTCTTGCCTCAGCCTCCCAGCTTGTTGGGATCACAGGCTTGTGCCACCATACTTAGCTTCTGAGTGTCATTCAGCCCTTGTTTTAGTCATTTTTTACTCGTCGCTGAGACAAAATACCTGAAGCCCAAAGTTAAGAAAAGAAAGGTTTATTTCTTACAGTTTTTGGAGGTTTCAGTCCACACTCAGTTGGTTCCCAGGCAGGTGGGCATGGCTGGGCCGCAGTTCCTGGTGGCTGCAAACAGCAAGCAGGAACCAGCAAAGAGCAAGACACACCTTCCTGCCATCACATCCTGGCTCCACCCCTAGGTGGGTGTAGCACTAACACCATCAATCCAAGCACTAGACAATGCAAATGCACAAATGCACAATGCAAACTCATGAGGCCTGGAAGACACAGACGTAAACCATGACAACCCTGAAATTATTATTAGACGTTTTTATTGAGTTCTGATTTATTGAGAACTGATAAAACTTTAAATTTTGGTGTATTACAAGGGACATGTTTGAAGGACGACCTCTGATCATCTCGTCATCCCAAAACTTAGTAGGTTTTTCACATGGGCCTGTCCAGGAATTTTAGCAAATATTGGATGCAGAAATGGAGAGCTGTAAAATTAGACTCTGCTAACTTTCACATGAGCTAATTTTCCTCTGATGTTTGACACTTAATATTTCCCCATATGTCTTCCTTTTCTTAAGCAAATTGCTTTTAAAAGTTTATGCATATGAAAGAACATTGTCAAATAAATCAATAGTAACAGATGCTTTGAATCTACAGTCTATACCTGAGTAATGTTTGCATTAAATTTATTGCCAATCAATTGTAAGTCCTCAAGAAGTTATAATGGGACAAGTGGATGATGGATTTCTTGTGTCATATAAATGATAATGATGGTGTATCTGTTGATGCATAACTCAGCTGTGCCTTCCTTTCCTTTTATCCTTCTTTTAACTCACAAGCAATGCTGCATGGAATCAGCCTCATTTGTACCGGTTGGAGCAGCCAGTGAGCACTGGTTCACCCCTCCTCCTCTATTCCTGACAGCAGTGCTTCCCAGGGGATACAGAGACAAGGGTGGTGACAGTGACCCAATATTTGACCCATATCTCCTTTCCTCCTTCCCTTTTCCACTTTCCTTTTCTGTCCTTCTTCCTTTCCTGTCACCCCCATCCTCTCCTATCTACCCATCTATCCATTTCACTCACCCATCCATCTTTTAAAAACTATTTAATAATGTACATTTCTTAGAAAGACAGAACTCCATATCCCTTTGTATCTAAACAAGATGGACCAAAGGTCTGCTTCTCCCCTTCCTCCTTATCTGCTTTGGCTTGCTTTCTGTCCCTTGGTGATGCTGATGTCACACCTGCCTCTCTCAAAAGGACCAACCCAGAACAGAAGAGATAAGAACTTGCCTCTCAGTGTGGCAGTCACTGGCTGCATGAGATTCCCAAGCATTTGAGATATAACTGGACAAACTGAGATGTGCTTTAAAAAAAGGACACAGATTTCAAAGACTTAGTACCTCACTAATAATCTGTTTATGTTGATTACATGTTGAACTGATATTTTGGATGAATTGGGCTAAAATTAAAATTAATTTTATCTGGGTGTGGTGGCACACACCTATAGTCCCAGTACCCTGGAATCTGCAGAAAGAGGAGCACCATGAGTTACAGACCAGCCTGAACTGCGTAGTAAGTTCAGGGCCAGCCTGGGAAGACCCTATCTCAAAACCAAACGAGAAAAAAAACCAAAACAAAAATTAATTTCAGTGCTGCTCTAGAACCTCAGTGTACCAGGCACATCACAATTAGGAAGTAGGGAGCCTGGAAAAGTGGGCTGCAGCCCTAGTGGGAAGGTTCTCTCTGTGGGCTAAAGGTTTTGGGAAATCTAATCCATCTGTGGAATTTAGAGTTGCCAACCATGTTATACCAGTGCTGGCAAACTTAGCCAGAGGTGGATTTAACCCCAAATATGTGTGTTGTTTGGCAGCAACAGTAATTTATTAACTTTTTGTACTGAGGATTGAACCCAGGGCCTTAGGCTTGCTAGACAAGCTTTCTACCACTGAACTAGTAATTTTAAAAACCCCTTTTAGTATGGGTTCTACTTTCTAGTAGTAGTATTGTATATTTAACCATTTATGTGATCTGCCTGCAATAATTTTTCTTCCTCCTAATTTCCATTGACAACAGTTTAGGACCAAATAAAAAACGTTTACTTATAACTGACTCCCTACCCAAACTCTAAAATTTCAGAATTAAAAGCCACTTCCAAGTGCTAAATATATTAATTAGCACCGTTATTGCTAAAATTCTTTTCTCTCTAGTAACTTTTTATTTTTTGCCTGGAGTCATGCAAACAAGGCTTTTGTTTGTTTCTTTTTGTTCCTGTTTTTTGTTTTTGTTGTTGTTGTAGCTGCTGTGTAGTTTAGGATGGCCTTGAACTCACTATGTTGTACAGGCTGGCCTCAAACTTCTGGCAGACCTCTTGCTTCAGCCTCCTGGAGTGCTGCGATTATATGAGTGCAGCATAATGCCCACGTTTTTGTTTTCTTGCAAATGATTTCTTCGTGTTTTGTGACTTTTTCTTTCATTTAAAATCTTTATCTGCATGATTTTCTGTAGCCTCAAGAATCTGAGAGGGAAAGGGACACTCTTTGCTTACAGTGGCCAGGCAATCTGGGGGGATGACTCTTCACCAAAATTATGAGGAAAGCTTTGTGATGCGCTCTGCAGAATTCTGCCTAAAGACATTATGTAGAGAGAGACTTCTAGTGGCATTTGTACTCATTCTTTCCACTTAAATCAAGTCCTAACTGGTGCATTCAGTACTTGGAACTCTTTGCCGACAGGAGTTTTACTACAGTTTAGCTCTTAGGAATCTAGTAAGCAATAGGTGTCTTTTGGGTTCACCAAGGGGACACATTAGTAGCTGTGGTCTCGTTCCAGCTAAGCATTTCTTCATCCAGCTCGTGTGACGAGCCCATATACTCTTGAGTGACAGAATCTTTTGCTTCCAACTTGCCAGATGGGGTTGGGGTTTGTGATTCTCATCCCTGTCATCTCAGCAGTCCTCCTTCCAGGTTTCCTCAGAAGACCTGGGCCCGTGGCAGTCAGCAGGGGTCTTCATGACCTGGCCTTTGGGCATGTGCTCACTATGTGCAGTCACATCACTGGAAGCTCTGCTCTGCCGAGAGGGTCCACACTTGGCAGGAAAGAGCACTGGTCACAGTGGTCACTGCCTTCTTCCTAAAACACCCACAGGAAGGTTAATTAAAGAAGCACCATAAAAGAAAAAGAAATGGGAACTAGGAAGAAAACCACTATTCTTTGTTACATCGATGTCTCTTATGAATCAGTTTCCAAATTCTGAGTGTGTTTTCCATATGGCAGCCTAGGTTCTTAGGCACAGACCACATATCATGCTGTGCCACTCCTGTGTTCAGAACCTTTAAGGGAGTTTCTGTTTCACTTAGGAAAAAGAACTCAGTTTTTACCAAGACTTCAGTCCTCTGGGACCACCTTGTGGTGCCTGCTTCTCCCCTTCCTCCTTGTCTGCTTTGGCTTGCTTTCTTTCCCTTGGTGATGCTGATGTCACACCTACCTCAGACCCTTTGCACTTGCTGTTTCTGTTCCTTGAAATACGTCCTGTCATTTCAGCACGGCTGGCTTCTTTTAGTAATTCAGGGCTTAGTTCAAATGCCTCTTCAGGGACCTTCTCTAACTATTCTATCAAACCTACTGTCATTCAAATCATTCTAATGTCTGGTACTTTTGTGGTACTGACTGCTACTGGCTGTTACCTTGTTAGTTTGCCTGCATATCCTTTTTTTCTGTTTATGTGTTTGCTACCACTGCAGTGTCGCTAAGTTGCTTGGACTGGGCTTGAAATTTTGATCTTTCTCCTTCAGCCTTCCATAGTACCTGGATTATTGGCATGTGCCACTAGGCCTAGCTTTTAGTTAGCATGGAAGGCATTTGTGTTATACAAATACAGTAAGGGGATATATTCTTCAGCTTTCTGTAAGAAAACCTTGTATCACCCAATCCTTTCTCTTAAGTTGTCTTGGAGCTGGAAGAAAAACCCAAAGACCTTGTGTTGCTATAGCATACATGCATATTGTCACGTGCCTGTAGCTAGTATGTCTATGCAGGGCATCCTACCTTTAGAAACTAGAGTTACAGCCCCTATGGCAACTGGAATCGCTGATTTTCTACCCTTTGCCAAGCTTCAGTTCCTTCAACTGGGAAATGAGATTTTATGGTAATCTCAGAAGAAACAAAACAAACCTTTTAAGACGTGTTTTGCTTTTGGATTCTAATCTGCATGATTTCTTCATATGGAAGAAAATTAACCCCGTCCTCCCTCTTCCAAAAGACATAATTGACAGGTGAATTAAAGAATAACTTTTTCCAACCGGGGATTTAGCTCAGTGGCATGAGCGCCTGCCTGGCAAGCCCTAGGTTGGGTGAGTTCAATCCCCGACACACACACACACACACACACACACACACACACACACACACAAAAGAATAACTTTTTTCTTTACCGGTGGGAAATCTCTTGAAACTTGAGGGGAAAAAAGTTAAAGTATGTGTGGACTCAGGCCAAGAAGGTAAAAGTGGTCCTTTGCCATCTTTTTGAGGATGGCAAGCCTGGGGGTTGCAGGTTAGTTCAGTGGTAAAGTGTTTAGTTGGCATGCACAAGGCCATGGTTTGATAACTGGCCCCAGGCAAGGAGAAAACAAAGCGGTAAGCTCCTAGTTTTCAAATGGCCAAAGCATGACAGACATCCAAAAACAGACTTGAGATTATAATTTCAGGATGTCAGCAGTTGTGATTAGTTATTGTTCTGTAGAAGTACCTTATTTTTTTTTTTTTGAGCTGATTGCATAGGAATTTTGACTACCTTTATGATATACCATTAGTAGCAAACTCAGGGATGAAAAATGACTTGTTATAAAGCCAAATGAGAGCCAAAGCTAAGAGTCCTTTGCTAGTCCCAAAGTCATTAACTTTCCCTTCAATCAATTAGTTAATTTTTTAAGATAGAGTTCTGCTGTGTAGCCCAGGCTGGTCTTGAATTTGTGTCGCTTCTCTTGTTGGGAATACAGGCATGTGCCACCATGCCCAGCCCTTAATTGGATCTTAAAAATATAAGCAGCCAGTGCTGGGATGGACTTGGGTCGTTTTACATGAATCATGTAGAGGTTTCCATGTGAGAGTTCAACAGGGACCTTTTTGCTGTTGATAAGTTGTTTTTGTTTGTGTATTGGGATTTTTTGGTTGTTCTCTTTTTTTCTTTGAACTTTATTTTATTGCTTAGTAAGATGTATATCAAGTCCAAAACTGAGAAGTTTCTGTGGTTAAAAAGAAACATATATCAGTACATCAAAATTGGCTGCCAGTGCTAGAAACTCAAAATAAATAATAAAGGGGGTCATGGCTGGTAGGCCAGCTAGCCCAGGGTGTCAGGGATATGGATTACTTGGTCTTGTTGTTCTCATGTATTTGTGTAGCTGCAGAGGTTCCAGCTATTGTATTTGCATTCCAATCTGCAAGCAAGAAGGAAGAACAGGGGAGGCCAAGCCCCTTTCCTTAAAAAGATAATTGCCAAAAGTTGCATTTTTATTTGTATTTAGGGACCAGAACTTGGGCCTAGCTGTAGAGATGGCCATCTGCCCAGCAGAAAAAGGAGAATTCTATTATTAAAAAGGATAAGAATGAGAGTGGTCTACACTGGCAGTTTCGGCACAAGGTGACTCAAGTCTTGGAGCTGGTATTGAGCCAGCACCAGCTCAGGCTGGTTTCTCACCTTGGGGCCTTGACTTGCTTTCTGGTCTGGCCCAGGCGATGCTTGGGGCCAAAGCTTAGATCACATATAATTTTACACTTGCAGGTGGCTAAAGCATCTGGAAGTGTGAGCAGTAGTGTTGCAGTTCCTGCTAGGGGCACCAAGAACCTCTGCATTAAAGTACATGCAATGGCTGAGACTGTTGGCTGGGAGCCAGACTGCTTGGCTAATATTCTAGCTGTGACAGTTGCTTGCTATGCTCTGGACAAGTTACTGCACTCCATTACCTTACTGGCTGCCTCTGCAAAAGAGGATCAGGAAAGTGTGGACCACAGTGCACTATTCTGGGGGTGAGCTAGCTCATGTCAGTAAGGCATTCTCTGTGAAGCAGGCACTTTAAAAGCTGTGTGTATGTGTGTGTGTGTGTGTGTGTGTAGTATTGCTGTAATCAACCATTTGCTAATGATGATGGTTGGAAGGAAAGGCATTGAGGGACTATACCTCCCTGTCTTCTGCCACATGGTAATGTTTTCCAAACCGAGGCCTTGCGGCATTTGCCACAATTACCAAGATTTAGGATGCCTAACAGGGATGGTTTTGTATTTCAGATCACTTTACTCCAGAGAATGTAAATGACACAGCCAAGGAAACATGCCTGAATTGGTTTTTCAAGATTGCTTCCATCAGGGAGCTCATTCCAAGATTGTATCCTTTTTCTGTCTGATGATGTTAAAGATAGACAACACAAGCAGCTCCATGAACAGTAGGAGACTTCTGACAGGTTGCCTGATGTTGCTGTTGAAAGTTTGGTCTCGTCGATTGCCAGCCTGAAGATAAAGCCACACCACACTTGAGAAACCATGGCTGAGACTCTTGCTCTCTCAGGTTTTGGTTTTTGCTTCAAATATGATGTGCTTTAGGCTTTTGTTTCCTTTTCCCATGTTAACGCTCTCAATTAAGACGCTATGTCTTTGGGTTTTTCCTCTGCTTCAAAAACTTGAAATAAAAACCAGGTCAGTCTTTTCTGCACAGGTGCCAGTATTGAGGAACAGAGAATTCCACTTACCTACAAACCTAAAAGTTACCCATCTTAGTTACCTAAAATTTCATAAAGCTTTGATGGAAAATGCTGAAAACGCACTTTGCATCTCAGTATGTAACCATGAATCAGTGCATAACATTTTCCAGAATGTATTTTAAATAAGTATGAAATCTTGAGGACCATATATAGAAATAGGCAGCCACTAGCTAACTTAATTCTCAGGGTTTTTGTGGGCCACTGTGATGCTGTATCCTAAGGTTACCTAATTACTTCTGCAACATTCTTTGCAATCAGGGAACAAGCTGTCTGGAAAGTGTCTTCCTTAATGGAATGTTTTAATAGCTACGTGGAAGCATCCATCCTGAAGTGTAATAAATTCCTTTCTAAAACGTAAGGCTCTTCTTGAGTGTCTGGCACCGTAACATTTCTAATTCACACAGACACAGACACACAGCACAGTGATAGTAGCTGTATTCATGAGCACGTTATGGTAGATCTAATGTTAACCACCTAATCAGTGTTTAGTCCAAGAGAAAATTAAGTGAGATAGAGACCTCATTTTAACGCCTATATGATGAATGTAGAAGAGGGGAATTTGGTTAAATAGCTTATGGGAGACCAGCTTGCCCTCATTTGAGTTCTGGCCATGTAGCCACTGACTGCGGTTCAAGAAAATTATTTGGGGTCTCCAAGCTTCAGTTTCTAGTCCTGTGTGTGTAGCCCTAAGAATGGTACGTACAGGCCCTTTAAACTGCTCAGGCTACCCTGAAAGCCAGGCACACAGTGGGGCCATGCTCCTGTGGGCTGTTGCTGTTGAAGAAGGAGAAAAATATGTTGATGATGCCTTTGTCTTTGGGGCTCAGGCTACTTGATGCTGTGGTTCATCTCAGATGTGGTTTTGGGGACAGTTTGTAAAGCTGAGGAAAGCCATGTCTATGTTCCACAGAGCCTGTGACATGCCAGTCACTCCTTAAAGCCAAGGACTGATACCTGGAGCTCCACTGATTGCTATTTTGGTTGGATTTAGAATTTCTCCCAAATGTCTTTGATTTAGATCTAGGGATGTCTGAGATAGTTGGGGAAATAAGATGGGTGCTGAAGAGACTTATTTTACCTCACTGTTGTAGGCAGAAGGAACTCCCACAATTTCCCTGGATGGAGAGCAGCAGGGGCAGAGGTTGTCTGATGCTGCCCTGAGGTTCTGGGAAGAGATGAGCACAGGACCTTGATTGAATTAGTGCCAAAGGAATAGGGAGAGATACAGAAAGAAGATCAAGGGTGACCAATGGGTAGAAAATTGTAGAGGGACAAAACTGTTAAAATTAGTAAAGTAAATGTGACTTTTAATCAAGAAAAAAGGTGAAAGTTGGCCTTGGGCCCTGAGCAGACATACTGCTGAAAGGAATCATTCAATGAATGATATTAGGAGAGAAAGTCTTAGTGCATTGTCTTAGAAAACTCTAATACTTTAACCTTGATTTGTTCCTGAAACTTGTTTTTTCTTTTTCCAAAATACAGAAGTTTGCCAGGTATGGTAGTACATACCTATAGTCCCAGCACTTGGAAAGCTGAGGCAGGAGTATCACTATATGTTTGAGGACAGCCTGAATTACGTAGTGAGACCCCGTTTCAATCCCTGCCCCCTAAAAGAAAGTTTAACTTCTTCATCTTTATTGTAAAACTAAGAAAATATCAAGTGTTTCCATTGGGTGTGATGCTGCCTTCTTTCTGTCTCCAACAGGGGAATTTTGGAATGCCTGCCCCGACTGACCTGCATGATCAGAGGCATCGGGGACCCGCTGGTGTCGGTCTATGCCCGGGCATACCTGTGCCGGGTAGGCTGTGTGCTACTCCTGTTGCCCAGACCTTCTTTGGGTCTCCCCTTGCCCACTGCCTCAGAAAGCAGTGAGAGGATGACTGTATTAGTGGCCGGTTTTAGTACTCATCCTTTCCACAGAAAGCAGCTGCAGAATTTCCCTGAAAAGTTAGTTTCAAAGTACACTAGCTTATTACAAGGCGTCTCATTAGGGGATGTTTAAGGTCATCTTCTAATAAATGATTTGGTTTTCAGAATTATTTCTTAGTTCTTGCTGGGAGGGAAGCTCCTAGGCCATTTAGACAACAGGTTGCTTTTCATTGACCTTGGACAATGCTACCTCATTGTCTTGAATTGATAGGTTTGGTTCGGTTTGGTGTGATGTGATTTTCTCTCCTTGTTAAAAGGCTGACTCAGAGCATGAGTCGGTGTGGCCACTGGCAGAAAGCAGTGTCCCCTGGGACAGTAGTATCAAGGTGAGGAGGACTGCTCCTCTGAAGCACCATGAAGGTTTGATGTAAAACTAGTTTCTTTGTGAAAAGTACAACCCAAGAAGAACATAGGACCATTTTGCTTGAGTCATAGAGGGGCTTTGCTTCTGCAAGGGGTTGTTAGCAAGGGATTATGGTCCCCAATCATCCCCAGGCATTGTTGAGGACAGAGCCCCCATGAGCACTGAAGCCCAGCAAATGATAAAACCTTGTGACCTCAGGTGTCACAGAAACCTTGTTCACTGCTCTCAAAGTTAGTAGCAGTGTCCTTCACCAATTATGAAGGACTTTGTAAGCCTTTTTCTTGATAATGAAAGGGCACCTAGCTCCCTCTCTGTGACTGTGTGTAAATTTAGGGTATGTTTTCCATTCCACAGCATCAAGTGTGTTTTCTAGAGCTGATTGGGTACCTTTGAGTGGCAGATGTCAGGACAAAGCAGACCCACCCCAGGGAATCTGGTAGTGATGAGTGCAGTATGTTTCATGGTGACAAGCCCTGTAGTTGAGCTTCTTAGAATGTCTTGAATTAGCTCTCACTTAAGAAGATTGAGAGACAGTCTATTCATTACAAGGGTTTCTTTCAATTTCTGTGGTAAAACTTAGTTCATGTTATTTAAAGTATGAGGGATTTGATAATTGTATGTCTGGACACTGCAGAGTAATGGAGAGCATGGCTCAGTGAAGGGCTTTAAAGAGCGTGTCAGGAATTGGCTTTCTTCTGGGTTGACTTCATTCTTTGGCTTGCTATTTACATATCAAAAGCCATGACAGCTCTAGGCTTCCATCCTGCCAACTTTTAGAAAGGGTACCCTTTCCTAGTAGATCTAGCCAGTCCCAGGGCTCATTCTTAATGGACTGCTTATGTCACTTGCACATCACTAGACCAGTACCTGTGACCATGGCATAGAATAAGCTAAATGACAGAGCCTGGGTCATGTGCCATTTCTGGAACTCAGGGTGGGTGGGTCCAGCTCCCACACAGACCTCATAGTGTAAAAGATTTGAGTCCCCAGAGATGCTCCAGTTTGGTGATAGGAAGTGGGTATCAGGCGGGTTGTAACAGCGGATGGAAGTCAGAAGCTGCTCCCTTGCCGCTCTGGAAAGAAGCCTTTTAGACCCAAGCAGAATTTCCAAGCTGCTCATTTGGCCTTACGAGAAGAGATAAACAAGAAACAAAAGCAGTGAGTAGGTGGGGTGTGGGGGAGCTTAAAGCTGTTTATTAAGGGAAAGTATGATTAACTCCTCTTCTTAGCCTTGGCCCTTTCAGCTCATCACCACTGCTTGTCCACTGGGCGGCCTTTGCTGTCACCTAACAGATAATTATTGCCTTTTCTACAATATGATTAAGTAGAAGGAAAGACAATAGAGTCAGAATATGTAGAGCTGAATCTGACATTTGTTGGTATTTTTTAAAATCCGTGCACTTGTGGTTAGAAATAGCCCTTCCTGCCTCCAACAGCCATAAATCTGTTCTTGAAATTTAACCTTCTGGTGGTTTTCACATCGTTTCTCTCGTAGGAATGGTGCCCAGCCATCTAGAAAGGGTCACTGTTGCTAACCCTTGTGACCTGGGGAGGGAGAGGTGAATGTGAGAAATCTGTCCCTCTTGGAAAAAACTGGTTCCCAGAGAGCAGTTTCTCTCAGGATGCTGTTTTTGTGGTTAAACAGCAGTTGGGAATCGTAGCCTATCTGAGGACTCAGTTTCAGGAATATTATGGTGTTTTGCTCTTAACATATGCAGTAAGCATACTTCTCTTTGCCACTCCGCCCTAGTGCTCTGGCTGCCTTCTGGAGGATTGACAGGTTTCTCTAAGTAGAAATACTGCAATGGGTTTTTAAATACTGAATTCAAGAACTAATACACGATAGCGTTTGTTAATGCTTTATGCTTGACTTCTATGAAATTCCTTTAAAATATTAAAATGTATGTCTCTTACCATAATTACATATAGCAAATGCTATATGTGGCAGCACAGCATCTGAAATCTAAGCCAGACCTCTCAAAAATCTTTTTGGTAGGGGCTGGGGATTTAGCTCAGTGGCATGAGCACCTGCCTTGCAAGCAGGCAGTCGTGAGTTTGATCCCTGGTACCGATAAAAACAAAAAAAAGAAAAAAAAATCTTTTTGGTAGGGTGGGGGGAAGAGATGCTGGGGACTAGAATCAGGGCCTCATGCACACTAAGCTCTGCTTCTGTGTCCTGTACCACTCGGCTGCACCCCTGTCCCTGTCGTAACCTTTTTGCTTCATCTGATAAGTGCAGTCACATGCATGTTGATCATTTTATTTTCTCAAGAGAAAGAGAATATTGTGTACACAGTCTTAAGCCTACATTCCTTGTTAGTTCTGCATTGATTTGTTCTCTTGGTCAACTGTTCAGAATATATTCATTACTTTCATGAAATTTACAAAGGTAATTACTGCAAATATTGCACTTTTCCCTTAAAAATAGCTTCAATGGTTTTTCTGGTAAGCATAACATATTTATTGACTAGGAAAACATAAGCAAAAAGAATAAAAATTAGCATTCTGGATTTTTCCTGTGCGTCTATACATACATATGTATATACATATATATTTTTAAATTTATACAAATGCATCAGTGTGTACATCTTATTTACTACCTTTTCCTCCATTGTCAAAGTAAGCTCATTTTATCTTACTGCAGGTGGGAATGGAAGTGGCTCCACACCTCAAAGAAAGCCTGAATAAAAATTTCTTTGACTTCCTTCTTACATTTAAACAGGTAAGAACACCACCATCGGAACAGCTCATGGAAATAACAACTGTGTGATAGCAAATTCTCAGAACCCAGGAGGTTTTCCAAGTTCAAAATGCCTTAAAGCCCTTTCAGTGTGCAAACCTTAGAAAATGACACTAGCATCTGTTGTGAGCCATTAAAATATGTTGATTATACTGAACAAACAGAAAATTAATACGCATATGGGAAGAGGAAGCACCTCCTTGATCAGCCTTTCTTCTTGGCATCTGTTGACTATTTTTATTGGATTACTTCTTTGCACAGAGCATATTCTCACAACAGCTTAACTTGTTGACATGGGAAACTTGTTATAGGAATGATGATGATGATGATAATTTTGTAGTTTCCAAAAGAACACAAAGACAACCGAGAAGCTAGGCTTTATCTTTTGGTGCCATCCATGATCTTCCAGCACTGTCCAGGCTGGGATTTGTGTGGTTTTTGCTTGGTATGCTATTCCTTTCCTATGAGTGTCTTCTGGTCTCCACAGATCCATGGGGATACAGTGCAGAACCAGCTGGTGGTCCAGGGAGTGGAACTCCCATCCTATCTGCCCCTGTACTCACCAGCCATGGACTGGATCTTCCAGTGCATCTCTTACCATGCGCCAGAGGTAACTGTTTGGAGGGATTCTGGGGCCACTTCTCGTCTGTGGCATGACAGCCCTGTACTGTGTGCCTGTGATGTGGACAGGGCCTTTCCTAGCAGCTGCAGCAGTGTCAGTGCCAGCCTTCCTTTGCAGAGTGCTTAGCCTGGTGGCTGGTTCTCTGCTAAGTCCTTTTTCTAGACTGTCCCATGGAATGGCTCTGGGAAGGGAAGGCAGTCTCTCAGGAGGCCAAATTCTTACGTCCAATCACGCAGCTAGGAAAAGTTAGTAGATGAAACCAGCAGCCCCTGAGTACGGGGCCAGTGAGCTTTACTTCCTCTACATTTACCTGCGTGTGACCTTTTCCTGTTTATCATAATTGGATTAAAGTAAACTGGATAGTAATTCCTCCATTTTTTGAAAAGAAAGTAAAACTACTTAACTGCTTCTGTGAGATTCCCTCCTTCCCTTTCTCCCTTTCTTTCTTGCTGGTTATATTGTCAAAATCAAAGTAACATCAGAATCATAGTAGAGAACCCCTTCTCTGAGTTTGAGAGGCAGTTTCAGTAGGCTGCCAGTCCAGGTTGTACCCATGATGGATGAAGTTTTCTTTTTCCCTTTGGTGACTGAAAGGAAAAGAGATTGACTGCAAAACAAGAATATATAGAATAAAACAAACTCACATCTGCCTGTATCCTAGTTGCTGTCAACACATGTCAAAACCCTTTCAGGAAAAAAAGAGGGCCTGGCTTTGCCTAAGCAGTCCTAATCCTAAGGATTTGTCCTATAGAAATAGGTGGATGAGCATGAAAATTATGCACACACGGGTTTGGTCGTAGTAGGGCAGCATTGGGGTAACTCGCAGGGGACAGGTTCAGTTATGGTGTATGGCATTGTGTAGAATGTTCTGGAGCCATAAATGATGAAACCCAGAAGCATCTGGCAGTGCTGATGTGAGGGTGTTGCAGTACCTTGTGGAGTGGAATGCAGTGATCCCACACATTGCTGAGACTGCTAAAGATCCTGGAAAACAAGCAGTGTGTTTTCAAGAAATCTCTTCTCTTTACACTAGCTTGTGTGGTCTGGGATTAACAAATGAGGACCCTGAGTCCAGGCCTGAGTCCAGTCTCTGCTCTGTGACAGTGGTCATGGTAAGGTAGAAACCAACTAATCTCCTTCTAACCTTGATTTCTCGCCTGTGAATTGGGAGCAATATTAATAATTATATTTTCTAGTCTGTTGAAAAGATGAAAAAAGACAGTGACTTAGAGTAGTGGTACACATATAATACTTTTGTACATGATCTCATCTGCATGAAAGTTAGGAAGGAAATGTGACAAAGTCTCACTGGAGGATGAGACTTGGGGCATCTTATTTTTCTTTCCCCATCGGTTTTCTAACTGCACTGCTTGTATTTTTATTTTTCAACTTCTAAAGTAGGGGGAAAAACAAGGACATCTTGTAAAGTCTTGGATGAATTTTTTTAAACCATTAAATAAATTGATTTTAAATGAAGCCAATATAAAAGAGAGTGATTGCTTTGAAAACGTGCTGCGCATTCTCTAAACTCTCTAGCATAGTCTCAGCAACTGCCTGCTGGCCCTGGCACTGGGACGAGGTACACAAACTTCACTGCTCTCAGTGTTCTCCTGAGTGACTGAGACCTTCAAACAAGCAGGACTAACATGTTGAAAATGAGAACACTTATTTTTTTCCTCTCATTTTAATGAAAGGAAAAATCAGATTTAAAACAAAATACATGTCATAGGTATCTTTCCTTTTATTTTAAGCGCTAGAAACCTCAAAGGATAGCAGAAGCTGGGAATAGAATTTTCTCAGGGAGTACAGCTCTAGGAAGTCATCACTGCAGTAGGAAAAGTTATTAAAAAATTAGGTCACCTGAATAATAGTAAACTCTAGTTCTTGGGGGCACTTAAATAAGGGACTTGCAGTGTCTTGCTAAAAATGAATCATTTTCAAAATGTAAAAAAATTGATACCGGTACAGAAGGTGTTGTTTAGGACACATGGGATAGTTCGATGCTAAAAGCTCATGGACACTAGCTTGTCTGCGCTCCCTGGGGAGTAGAGCCACGTGTGTCTTTCAGAAACCAGGCCTCCAAATTTGGAGACCGTAAAGTTTGGCTGCAGCAATCGGTAATATACAAGGCAGGGAGGTGGAAGGGGGAGAGGAGAAGCTTTTAGCTGTAAATTTCTGATGTGCGAAATTACAAATCAAAGTTGAAATTTAAAATTAAAAAAATCAGAGTGATTACTCAAAAAGACTTGTTGTTATCGTTTGAAGACAGGATATTTTTCTCCTACAACTGAACTAAGGTTACAGGCTTATTCTCCCCAGAAAAAAAAGCAACTATCTTATAAAACTTGTTTTTAGATAGTAAAACAAATCTGTTGATAAACTGTTTATCTTTGTCATCCAGCAGCTATTTTGTTGTTGAGTGTGGGGGCTGGGTGGTGGAAGAGAAAAACAGCCTGAGCCTGACATTAGTGGCGACTCCTGTTGGGTGCAGAATCCCAGCATCCATTGCTGGGTCCTGCAGTGCTGGTTGGAAATGTTGGCCTGGAGAGAAAAGTGAGTCAGCCGAGGCTGGCAGGGCAGTAGATGGGCCTTTGTGCCTTGGCCACTTGGCTTTCCGTCTCTCAGTTTTGCCATCTATAAAATGGGGCTAATACACTGGATATATTGGGGCAGGCCTATAATCCCAGCACTCTGGGAATCTGAGGCAAGAAGGTCACAAGTTTGAGTCCAGGCTGGGCAATTTAATGACCTAGTGAGATCCTGTCTCAACAATAAATTTTAAAAAGTGCTGGTAGCTCAGCATGAAAACCCTGGGTTCACTTCCCACTGCTTAAAAAAAAAAAAAAAAAGCAGGTACCAGTAAAATATAGAGTCCCTGGAAAAGGTTGAAAGAAAATAGGTGTAAATGGTCAATGTTAATGTTTTTGATATGCTTCCTTCCAATCTAAACCTTACCCCTCATGTAATTTCGTTCATAGATGAGTTCCTCCCTGTGTGGTGTTGTGGGGCTTTGCCCTCCCTTAACATCGTAACCCATATTTCTGCTGCTGCTGAGCATGCTCTCTGGCCGCAGCTGTTTTGGGGTATGTTTGGAGGCAGCGTGCCTGTGACATGGATGTGAAGGTAGAGGAAGGAGAAGCATCTGAGTGAGAGTTAAGCCTCTGAGCCCCTCAGAGTCTGCTCTTCATTGGGGATCAATCTGTGCCGAGCTCCAGGGGAGTGACTTTATCCCAGTTAGCTTATTCTCCTTCTTGGCCTCTCTGGGCCACCTCCTGTTATCATTCCACTTCACAGCTGAGGCTTAGAAATGTGATTAAGTCACACCATTGGGAAGAACCAGGCTGGTGGCCAGTTTCTGGCACTAAGATCAACACTGCAAGTTTTGTCCCCTCTAAAGTCGTCCCTTCTAGGTGTCTCTCGTTACCTGCTCCACTTGAGATGAAACCGTAGGGCCCTGGCAAACTGACTCATGGGGCTGTCACGCCGGTTGCAGTCCTAGAGGTCCGTCTTTAAACAGTCTAAAGCATGATTAGACCAGTAACGCAAATCTAAGAATAGCCTTGGCCATGTTAAATTCCCCTTCAGCCAGCAGTGTTGTTACTCCTGTTCTTTTGAATTAGGAAAACATACTCAGTGAAAGAGAAATAATCAGAACAATGCAGATGTTCTCCTTTTAATGCCTGGGTATAGAATTTTTTTTTCTTAACTAACATTGAAATATTTTATTTCTGTGGGCTTCACCATATTAACTTTGGATTGATGGAAAAGATACTAGCTCTGAGGATTAATTTCTGGTTTTACCCACTCTTTATACTTACGATGAAAAAAATAAAAAGGAAAATACACATTATTTCATTATCTTTTTATGTAGCAATAGGTGTAAACACTGATTGAAAAGTTATTTTCTAAAAGTACAAGTACTGATTATTGACAGTCTGAGTTAATCTTGGTTTAGAAAACAGGAATGCACCCATGGTGTGACTGCTTTCTTGTACATTGAAGCGGATAAATAACATTCATGCTAATCCACAGGATGTAATCTATCCTAGTAAGACTAAAAGTCCATCCATTAAATATGGTGGTAGTCATACAAATTCACACATACTGATGACATGTCAGAATTAGACCCAAGGAGTTGTCTTTTGCTGCCAAGGAAAGAATATATATTAAATAGTCCAATTAACTGTATTGTACCGACATTGATTTCCTACTTTTGGTGATATATGTATGTGAGATGTCACCAGTGGGGGAAGCTAGGTGATGGATACTCAAGACCTTCTCTACTATTTTTTTTTCAATTGATCATCAGTCTAATTAATTCAGTATAAGATTTTAGGACTGGGATGTAACTCAGTGGTAGAGCACTGGGCCTAGCATGTGTGAGGTCCTGGGTTGCATCTCCAGCACCACAAAATAAAAAGAGAAAAAAAATTATTTTAAATTTCCATCATTAGGGCAGTTTGAAAACCAGTGTTTTCTTCATGGCATGGACTGCTTAGCCACTAAAAAAATTGAAGTAGATTTGTGTATATTAACATAGGAAGAACAGGGAGCCAGCCCAGATTCTTGAGGTAAAAAACCAAATTACAGCCCAGTGTATATAAGATTACCCCATTTCAGTAAAAACAAGATAAACAGATCAAAAGGGAAAGGCACAGAGAAAAGGAGCATTCGCTCCTCCTTGCTCTCTTTCTCCTGTCTTCCCTCCCTCCCTCTTATCCTTTCTTTCACACTGGGGATTGAGCACCTGGCTTTCACAGTAAGATACATCTCTAGCCCTTTTAAAATTACTTTATTTTGCAGTAGGTTCTCACTGAATTAGCCAGGGTGTACTGGAACTTGCAGTCCTCCTGCTACAGTCTTGCAGTGTGCTAGGCTTACAAGCTTGTGCCACCGCACCTGGCTCACATCTTTCTGGATGCACATCATTATTGTTTGAATTTTTGTGTATAACTTTATCATTTTTATAATCTTTATGCAAATAATGAAATGCTATTAAATAAATGAAACACAGGGGCAAGAACACCAATAACAGAGGACAGACAAGTGCACTGACAAGGTGGCTGCTTTTAGGAATCTTCAGTGTGTACAAACCCAGTATATTGAACTGCATAGTTTTCAGTGGTTGAATGAAGCCAAAAAGGCTGGTTTCAATCTCCATCTACTTTGAACTGTTGTCCATCTTGTTTTTGCCAAAGATAATCCTATTACTTTTTAAAAAATAGTAATCTGTAACAGACCTGCTAGGGATTCATAACATTTGGCTCCTTAAATATATAGGATGTTCTGATATATATATTTTTTGATGTTCTGATATTTTTGAATGACAATAGAGCCTTTTTTATTCCAGTTATATTGTTGAATGCATTTTTAGTGCATTGTTGTGTGTGAAAATGAGGACTTTTTACACATATGCCTTGTCTTTGTGGATTTAATGTTTCCCTGGCCTCCCACACTGCAGTGAGGAGTGAATGAGGGAAGGGAAGCAGAACCCCTGTCCTGGCACCTAGCACACCAGAGTCAAGGCTCAGTGCAGACGGTGCTGGCATTAGCTTGCCTATCTCAGGCTCAACCTTGTATATATCATTCAAAACCTTCCCCAAACCACTGCCGAAAAGGATGCTTCACAGATTGATTTTTGTTTTAAAATAGGAGCTGTTTTGAAGATACGTAATTGTCTTAAGATAGCACTAAAACCATTAACAGTATTCAGTGAGTAACCCGTTTACTTCCTGAGAGAAACAGGCTTGAGAACATACTATAAGTGTATAGGTGCAAAGCCTGGCCTTCCATGCTGGCCCGCTCAGGTTCATGTTTGACTGCTATTGCTGACTATATGTGACCTTGGGCAGAGCCTAGCGCTGTTCTGTAGCTCAGCATCATCTATGAAATGGGAGAATAAAAGCATCTGCTTCATGGGTGGTCAGGAGAGGTGAGGCCATTAGGGCAGTGATTCTCTGCGTGACTTATAGACACTAAGCTGTGACCTGGTATTGATTATCCTAAGATAACCTTAGGAAGTGGGGGAGGGCACAACTATTTTAGGCCATTGTGAAGACAAGGAGACACTGGTTCAGCAAAGTTGGTGCCTTGTCAAGGTCTTGCCACGGGTAGTTGGTATGGCTGCATTTGAATCCAGGCCCTAACTCTTACCATTCTACCAAATGTCACTAAAGTGAATTCCTTCCTCTCTGTCCTCCCTGTCCCTACCAGGTAGGCATGTGGCTACATTTAGAGTATTGTACTGTAGAAATCTCTTAGAAATGCTGTTTTAGATGCTCCAATCTGACATTTTTTAAAATTAAATTTCTTAGGCTTTGCTGACTGAGATGATGGAAAGATGTAAGAAACTCGGAAACAAGTAAGTACTTTAAGATTATAAAGCATGGGTTTGAAATTAGAATCAGTTGCTCTTTTTTGAGGTTGATCTGCTAACACGGGTGACAGTTGACAGAGAGGCAAGGTAGATGGTATGGAGGTTTAGAATGCTGGAGCGATTGCTTGACCTCAAATCTCAGCTCCATTGTGCCTTAGCTTTGTGGCCTTCAGCCACTTGCTTGACCTCTGTGTGTCACAGTGTTTCTGTGTTTTGAAATGGGACAATGATTGTCTTTTTCCCCATGGGACTGTTGGTAAGCGGTGAACTTGATCTTCTTCTCTCCAGGACATCTGAGATTCTCTGTGCTCTTTCAGTTGTGGATATGGAAGCAGCCTTTAGTGGATCTGGTTCACCACCAAGTGTCAAGAATTTAAGATCTCTTTCATAAGAAAGCCTTAGAAACAGATGTTGATATGTATTTGCAGCATGGATCAATATTGTTATTTAATGTTTAGCTTTATTAATGCACCAGCCTCTTTGAAGGCTCACTTGTTTAAATGGATTGCGTGGCTTACTGAATTACCTGTCATCTATCTGCCTGCCTACCCACCCATCCAGTTACTTCCATGGTTCTCAAGTTCCAAATAGGTACAGAACACTGTGTTAATTTCTAGAGACCACTGTACCCTTTTACCCTGGTGTTTTTTCCTCAACCTTCCCTTAAAGGGTTGTAAGTCACCCTCGCTGGCAGTATATATTCTGACATTAATGTGACTGTAGTGAAAGGGAGGCTAGGATGACATGAGCCTTTGTGTCTTGCAGTGCCTTGCTGTTGAATTCTGTGATGTCAGCCTTTCGGGCTGAGTTTGTTGCCACCAGGTCCATGGACTTCATCGGCATGATTAAAGAATGTGATGAGTCTGGTTTCCCCAAGGTAGGCTCTTGACTTGATGCGCTGAGAGAAAACAAACAGGCAGTGTCTACCTGATCACTCTCAAGGGAGACAATTTAATGCAGGACTGATGGGAGGCAGGCCAAAACTCTGTTCCTATATAAACTTGGTGGAAGATGAGCTAGAGATTGGAATTGTTAACACCGCGTAATTGCCGTGAGTCAAGCCCTGTGAATACTAAATGGGTTGCATTAGCTGTCTATAAAGTATTGAGAAAGAGCTTGGTCGTATGTCTTTAAAAATGTATCTTCATTCGTTAGGAAACAGCTTTGTCCAGCAGACTATTACAGCCTGGAAATTGGACTGATACTTGGAGCAGACTGTAAACTTTGAGTTTTTTAATGTGACTCAGGTAGATTGTAGTGAACTTCTGAAAGAAATGTGGAGAATTTACTCTGAGACAGATTAAATGTTATGACTTTTTTTCTTAAACCCCAAGTCACTTTGATTTAAAATCTCCAATAATATAATGATTTGATATTTCTCTTAGCATCTCCTTTTTCGCTCACTGGGCTTAAACTTGGCCTTGGCTGACCCACCTGAGAGTGATCGACTTCAGATTCTCAATGAAGCCTGGAAAGTCATTACCAAATTGAAGAATCCACAGGTGAGTGACCATTTAGACTTTAGAAAACATTTTTTTTGTCTTTTTCCTTTTTATTGGTACCGGGATCAAACTCACGACTGCCTGCTTGCAATGCAGGCGCTAATGCCGCTGAGCTAAATCCTCAGCCCCTAGAATAACTCTTGTATAAGTTGTATAGCACGTGCTTTCTTTTTAAAAAAAAATGTTCTTTTAACTAATCATATTTGTGGCTTTCAAAAAATTATTTTATTATTTGTGAACCTATAATATAAGACCAGTGACATTAAAGATGTGCTTTTCTCCTTTCTTTCTATTTTTTTTTTTTTTTTTTTAGTGGTACTAGGCATTGAATCCAGGGAGTGCTGAGCTGTATCACTATCCTTTTTTGTTTGGTTGTTTTAATTTTGAAACAGAGTCTTGCTAAAGTTTTTCCCATGCTGCACTCAAACTTGGGCTCCTTCTGCCTCCAGCTATCAAGTAGCTGGGATTATAGACCTGTGCCACTGTGCTTTACTAGTTGATATTTAATAATTATGATCCACATGCCTTGCTAGTTAATTTTTTGTGTATAATATCTATTGATGAGGCTGTAAGATGCACTGAAAGGAGAAAATTACAAGTATTTGAGACTTTAAAGACCTGTGTTGGTACTTCCAAAATGCGGCAGTCTATTTCACTTTGAAAATGCCAGTCTAGTAGGATATCCTGAATTGAAGATGAGCAGTTGAGCCAGTAATGAGCAATCGGAATTATAGTTTCTAGCCTTTAAGAAGGGTCATTTGGAGCCTCCTCCATGTGCAGGTATAGGAAGTCTTGAGATGATTGATGTCAGTTGCTGTAGTGCTGTGGTGATGGGCATCAATAGTTGGGTTTCATAGCTAACTGTCTTTCAGGCAACTTGCCAGCCATTGTAGAGCCAGTAGGGAGCTATGGGATTGGCTGTTTTCATGACTGCAGGAGCAACTGGAGTAACTCCCCATCACACCCTGCACTGTCCCTCTTCTGCTGGCTGGGACTGACTGTGGATAAGTAGTCTTGGAGGTGGGCATTGACAAAGAAGGAAAAGTTACAGAGGCACATAATCATTCTGCTACTGTAGTGTGTTGAAAATAGTGTTATAATGTAGAAAAACTAGAAACTTACTTACAGAATTATACCCTGTGGGGTCATTTAGCAAATCATCACTTGAACTTCAGTGGTTAAATTTTCCATTTAACTCAGTCTGGCCAGCTACAAAGTCTTATCCTGAAGATCAGGGGATCTCAACATCAGGACTCAAGTTCAAAGCAGTTTAATGTATGCTTGAGAATTGCCAGGAGAGTAGATTTTGAATGTTCTCATCACAGAGTGCTAGTTGTGTGAGGTCACACATATTTAAATAAGCTCAGTTTAACATATTTTTAAAAAACATATTTCAAAAACATTTAAAAACATTTTGTTATACACAAAATTGTACATGGATATGTACAATTTTTATTTGTGAAAAGGAAGAAAAGTTAAGAAAGCCCTCATGATCTTGCAGACTTCTCAGGCTGATAATGGCTGTATTGTGTTTCAAAGCAGCCTGTGTTCGAAGCCCTGGATTAATCATTTTCTCCAGTTTGATCTCACACTCATGTCCTGAAGTTTACCATCCCAGCATTTCAGTCAGACCTGAGGCTATTCCTGGCTTTTCCTGTGTGGACTTCTCTTTTTCTGTAACTTGCTTGCCACAATAAATGTATCAATAGGCCAGAATGTGCTGTATCTTTTTTTTTTCTGTGAAAGCCCTTGAAGGGATTTATAGATGGTGAACTTTTGCTGTAAGCTATTTTACTTTTTCTTTGTAGGACTACATTAATTGTGCCGAAGTGTGGGTAGAATATACCTGCAAGCATTTCACGGTATGTTGTTTTTTTTTTTTTTTTTAAATGTTCATTATAGGAGCTGAATCTAGGCTTGTAGGAATTTTCACAATGGTAATTATTCTTGTAATTTATACAAATTGCATTCGCTAAAATGAGATGGAATGTTAATTGTATACTATCATAGAATTGTTCCAGACTTACGTGTAAATTTGGGCTGTGCTGCATTCTACCAAGTTAAACTGTGATTTCACTGTAGAACCTCTTATAAGTGTTTTCACATATAGAACCAAGGTACTTGCTTGTCTCCTGAAGTGAGTAGCAAATTTTCATGGGAGTTTTATAAGCAGTCTTTTCCAAACATCTTTGACGTGCATGTGATCTTTTTCCTAAGCAAACAAAGGTTCTTCTTTTTCCAAGCATAAAACAAGAACCACAGTTTAAGGAATATTTGGCTTATCAAAGAGCAGAGATGTTAGAAGCAAGTAGAAGTGGGTTCAAATCCTATTATTCAGTATTTAATAAATTTTTAAAGATTAAATTACTGTGTAGTTTTGTGTAATCTGAATATTTCTGCCTCCCAGATTCACATGTTGAAACTTAATGATATTAAGAGGTGAAGCTGCAGGCGACTGCCCTCAGTTGCCCTGCAGCTAGGCAAACGTTACAGTGCTGGCTGAATAGCAGCCCAAAGCTGCCTGGCACACTTAGCCTGGTTCATGCCAACTCTGTTTTAAACCATCCCAGGATGCCAGCATAGTTGAAAAAATAAAGAGTTGGAGTCTTTGAGAGATGGTTAGGTCATGAGAATGGCACCTCGTGAATAGGATTAGTGCCCCTGTATAAAAGCCCAGAGGAACTCATTGTCCCCTTCTTCTGTATGAGGACACAGCAAGATGATGCTGGCTGTGAGACAGGCCCACCACACACATAGTCTGTTGGTACCTTGATCTTGGACCTCCCAGCCTCTAGAACTGTGAGAAGCCAATTTGTATTATTTACAAACTACCCAGCTCATGGTATTTTATTATAGCAGATAACACATGTGTTAGCATGGCCAGATTTGTGCACATGAAATCTCAATCTCTGTTTTCACAATCATAAGATAATGTACTCTTTTTGATTTGAATGTTAAAATCCTTAACTTGCTGGCCATGTAATGACAGGCTTATTTGGGCTGTAGATAGCTGACCCAGACAGAAGTGAACAGTTAGCCCTACTGTTTGTAAGGAACCTGAGTTAGTGCTAGTCCCACAATGCCTCACAACTGTCCACAGGCTGGGGGTCTGGGAGGCAGGCAAAAAATAGGCTTATTTTTTACCACTGAGGGGAAGCAGGGACAGTAAACATTCCCAGGCCCTCTGGAGAACAGAGTTTGGTGCTGGCTTGAAGCAGGTGTAGCCATCTTTAGGGATATAGTACAAGACCAGGTGATGGTGTGATTTTTTTCTGTTTGCATTATTTCCAGTAGAGTATTTGCAGATATTTCCTGAAATGTATGTAATATATTTCAAATATGTTAGTCCTTTTCCCTAGGAAAATTGTGATTTTATTGTGAGTTTATTGTCTAATACAGATTTGATTTTTTCCACTTAGAAACGAGAGGTGAATACTGTTTTGGCTGATGTCATCAAGCACATGACTCCAGATCGTGCATTTGAGGATTCCTACCCTCAGGTAGGAATTAGCATTTCTCGCATCCACCGTTAGAAATTTTGTTCTGTTGAATCATATATCCATGTTGCCTGGATCAGATCACACAGATCATCCTGTGTTTAAATCCTGCCTCCGCTGTATCCCAGCCCCATGCTTTTTGATCGTTTACCAATTTTGCTGAATCTGTCACATGTCAGATATGGAGGGAGGGGATAAGGATTCTACTCTCTGAGATGTGAGGATCAAGTGAGGTGTGACAAGGACACACTGACACGGTTGCTTGACATAAAGCAAGCACTCAATAAGCATTTTCACCTTCATTGTTAAATAAGATCTCTGTGCTTTTCAGGTAAATTAACTTTTTATTTGGAAATAAATTTAATCTTACTGGAAACTTAAAAAGAATAGCTCACAGAACTCCCCTTATCCTTTACCCAGATGCACTAAATATTAACGTCTTACTGAATTTGCAGTATCATTATCAGTAAGTATATTACAGTATTTATATCTAGATTTCTCCCCAAAGCCTCACGTGGTCATAGGTGGGCTTTTGGGAGATGGTGTGTCACAGGGGCACTGTACTTACTGGTGGACTGGTCCACTGGTGAGTTTATAGCTAAATGTGCTGTTAAGACATGGGGCCTGGCTAAAAGAGACCAGTCAGTGAAGGTCTGTCCACTTCCTTGCCTCTGCCCTTTCTGTTCTGCTTCCTGGCTATTATGAGATGATAACCTTGCCTGTTTCTGACCCTTCCACTATGCTTTGGAGCCAGCCAACTATAGACTAAAAATGCAAGTCAAAATAAACCATTTTTCCTTTAAGTTGTGGATGTCAGGTATTGTGTCTTAGCAACAAAAAGTTGACTGTGAGTTATATCTGCACTTTTTCCTAAGTCATTTGAGAGTAAGTTGGATATATCATACTATACCTTTGCTTCTAAGGGATTCAGTTAGTATATTTTTTTTTAAATTAAAAAAAATTTTTGTTTTGTACCTGGGATAGAACTCACAACCTTGCACCTGCCAGGCAGGCACTTATGCCACTGAGCTAAATTCCTGACCCTTCAGTTAGTATTTCTAAATAATTATATTTTGTGGAGCCACAGTTTGCTCACCAATTTTAGAGCTTTGAACATTGATCCATTATCACTAAGTACTCCATGTGCTACACGTTGGGTTCTGTCAGTTGTTTCAATCTTTATGGCAAAGTTTGCCCCCTTCCAATGTAGAATCCAAGTAGAATTATGTACTGTGAAGTAACTCTTGATGTGAAGTGGATTTTTTAATTTTTTTTTTTTTGAGGAAATAAGACAGAAGGCTTCAAATCTACTTAGTGGCAAGTATGTAACATTGAAGGAAGAGGCCACCAATCAGGAAAAAAGAATTAAAATCTATAAACCAAGGAACTGTGCTTGGAAATATGTTTCTTTGAACAAAGCAAGTCCCTTGTTACAATATAGATAGAGTCTTCAGAAAAACAGAATTCACATGTCATCTTTTAGAATCAGGTTGTATATTTCAGCAATCATAGTAAAAACGTGTGTTTAGTAGAGGGAAACTACTGCTCTCTCATTTTCTTAGTATGTGTCTGTCAGTTATTAGCTTCTGTGTGTGTATGTGAGTGTTTGTGTGTGTTTAGGGCTTGAACTCCCTACATATCCCAGACTGGTCTTGAATTTGTGGTGATCCCCTGCCTCAGCCTTCCAAGTGCTAGGATTATAGGCATGTGCCGCCACGCCCAATTTTTTTTTTGTTGTTGTTATTTAAATATCACGGCGTACTAATGCTGTTGCCTGAGATGATTTTTTGAGCTATAGTTTAGTACAGGACATGACAACTAGTTATGTATTCTTTAGAGTTTTTATATTTTGCTAACTTAAGAATATTTCCCACTGGCTGTGTTTTCTTGTGTGATGAAAATAGTGCAGGGCTGTTCCTGGAGCCTGGTGTGTAGTGGCCAATGTCACTGAATGAGTGAACCGGCAGAGGAGATGGTTGGAGCCTCCTGGATTGTCAGGACTTCACATGAGAACCAATTCATGTTGAAACTTTTTGTTGAGGAAAGTATAGTGAGATTTTAACTCCTGGAGACCCAGTTAATTGAAAACTTCAAATAGTGTAGTGTTTTTAAAGCAGTCTATCCTAAGAGAGGGAATTATTTACTCTACTATAATCCCATCATATCTAATATCAAAAAGCAATTTATAAATGATGCCCTGTGTGTGGAACACTTGCATCAGTAAGTTAATGTGAGATAAGTACTTGAACAGTACCACAAATTTAGTCAGATAACCTCAACAGAGAAAGTTGCAGTGTGTCAAAGTAGTAGTGTATATTAGCAAATAACTCTCTACATATAATTATGCTACAGATTGGAAAGAGAAGATTCACAAAGCATTTATTATGGTAAAATGAATGAGAGAATCTTGATAATCTTGGAAAAGAGAGAAGAAGAATTTTTTTTTTTTTTTTTTTTTGGTATGTGTTCACCTCCCTAGGATAAAACCATCGTGGGTGGATGGGGAATTTCTTATTATCCTTGCAGGGTCAATAAGTTATCACTTTATTACTATTGCATTTTTAATTGATTCTGACTCATCAGATATCTGTATGCACTATTTATTTTGGCTCATATATGTTATAGTAAATTTTATATTCTTATATGCTCTTTTGAGAATAATAGATTATTAAAAATAATAACTAAAAAAAAAACCCATAAAGCATGGGATCCACCACATTCAGGACAGCTATCCATGTCAATAGTGTGCCCTTGCTTGAAGGGAGGACCACATCAGCAAAAGCCCAACTTCAGGGGTCTGTGGAGAGTTGGTTTACAGCAGACCTGGGCCTTACTCAAGATCTGGGACAGGAAAAAACAAAATATACCTGGAGAGTTGGGCATGGGGTGCACACTTATAACCCCAGGACTCTGAGAGGCTGAGGCAGAAGCATTGTGAGTTCCAAGCCAGCCTGGGCAATTTAGCAACTTAGTGAGACACGGTCTCAAAAAAAGGACTGAGGATATAGCTCAGTATGAAATATTAGGTTCAATCTTCTGTACTGCCAGAAAAGGAAAGAGAAAAAGACGAGCCTGGAACATTTTTTATGTGTGCTGTAAAATCCAGAGTTAATCCAAAACTGTGAAGAGGACATGTGGAAAGGGCACAGGGGTAGCTTAGACGGGGCTCTCTTACGCTCCCAGTGTGAGCATCAAAAGAAATTAGAGGAATAATGAGCTTATTTTAAGCTACCTAGTAAGATGGGAATCCAGGATTCCATCCTTAGGATAAATAGAAAGATAGATGAAGGGAGAGGTGAGCAATAGCATCATGTGAGAAAAGTGGTAGAATTGGAAACCCAAGTTTTGCAGCCATCATGGTGAAGACAAGAATCATCCACCTGCAGTCTGAACTCAGTGATGCCAGCCAAACCTGGGGGAAAAGTTTAATGGGAACAGGGTATTTGCCTGTCTCATTGAGCTCTCGGTTTTCTCATCATAAGAGAGAAAATAGTGATGGCGCAGTAGTCCTTAACCAGTTAATTACAATTCATGTCACATGTGAGTAGCAAATGACCGTTGTTGGTCTGTAGATTGTGATACCCTGAGAAAGGCATAGCATCTTCTGCACAGACTTTCAGTGAGAATGCATAAGCTGAATGTAATATGCAGGAACATCAGACATGCCCTCACTGAGGAGGGTTCTGTAATTCTTCAAAAATATCTTTGCCATCAGTGACAAAGACAAACTGAGGAACTGCTCTAAATTAACACAGACTGAAGAGATGTGAAAATGAAACGCAAAGCCGGATCTGAGGCTGCATCCTATACAGGAGAGAAGAATGGCGATACTATGAAGGACTTACTGAGGCAGCTGTGACCAGATTGGACCATGGATGATAGACTGAAGTGTTTTCATTATGTCAGGGTCAATGTTCCTAAATTTGATAACAGCACAAAGGAAATGTCAGAGTATGATTGTACTTAGGAAATAAAAAATGAAGTGTTAAGGGGCAAGGGTTAACAAGTCATGCGGTCTACTTTCATGTGGCTCAGGAAGAAGAAAAATGTGTTTTATACAGACAGAATGATAAGTCAGGTTTTGGTCACTTTAATGACATACTTTGAGACAACCACCTTACAAAGAGGAAAGTTTTATTTTTGGAGGTTCCATTCCACAATCTTTTGGCCCCATTGCTTTGGGCTATGACAAAGGAGCACATATTGGTGTGACCATGTGACAGAGTAAAACTGTTTATAGCATGAGTCAGGAAGAAATAAAAGAGAGGTGGGGAGGGAGGGAAGGAGGGAGAGAGAGACAGAGAGAGAGGGGAGAGAGAGAGACTGAGTTTCCATAGTCGTCTTTGTGGCTATCTCTTTGTCTTATTTTTCTTGTTGCTGAGACAAAATACTTGATACTCAGTATTAAAGGAGGGAAGGTTTATTGTAGTTCACAGTTAATAGAGGTTTCAGTTCATAGATGGCTGGCTCCAAGGCAGGCAGAAGACATCACAGAGGAAAAACTGTTCATGATAGGCAGAAGCAAGAGACAATAGCTGCCCTCTTTCTGTCTCTTGTATTCTGTGTAGGCTGCAAGAATAGGTAGCACACACACCCAGGTGAGGTGCCCTTAATTCTAGCATTGCTCCATAAATCAATCCCAGCGTCACACTCTTAATTGCAGCATCTCATACTCTAGATCCAACCACCTCTAAAAAGCCCCACCTGTGACCTCATGAGGCTTTGGGGGGACATCTAGACACAAGTCATAACAACCTGCAGTAACCTAAGGGACCTCACTGGGCCACACCTTTATGTCTCAGTAGCACCACTACAGGGGACCAGCGCCTTGATACATAGACCTCGGTGAATTTGAGTAAAGCATATATAGTATATATGGGAATTCTTTGAATAGCTCTTTCAGCATTTTGCAAGTTACATCAAAATAAAAAGTTAAAATTATGGATTGTGTGTCTACAAATTCTCGCATTAGATGGATGCGTAGATAAAGAGATACAGTAAACACAGAAAAATACTACTTTTGCAGAATCTTAAGTAACTAAATGGGTGTTGTCTAAGTTTTTAAGTTTCTTTGAGCATTTTTATAATGAAATGTGGAAGGAAAGACTTTTTAAATCATAATTTATGTGTAACTCTACTCACATATTTTTTAAGTTTTCATTGTAAAGGGATTTATTGCTTCATGTTTCAGAAACTATTTTAGTCCAACAATATTCTACCTCTTAGAGCATTGCTTGTCATGAAATTTTGGGATTTTATGGGGGAGTAGAGGGGCTTTTTTTCTTACTGATTCATTTTATTTCTTTGAAACAGAGTGTTACTGTGTTGCCCAGGCTAATCTCAAATTCCTGAGCTCAAGTGACTCAAGCATTCTTCCAACCTCAGCCTCTCAAGTAGCTGGAATTGCAGGGTGTATGCCAGCCATGCCCAGATTTGTTAGGAAGTTTTGAGTCCTGTTTTAGGCATTTGCCACAGTAACCTAGCAAACTCTTCAATTATAATGCAGTATCATAAATGTTTATAATCTGTGTTTTTAAAATCTGAGAAAGACTTGCTTTGCAGATGATTCAAGCAGCAGTTTTTTTAGTATAAACAAAATATTCATCAGTGAATTTTCTGGTTAGCACCCAGTCAGCAGGGAGTTACATTTTCCTTAGAAGCAGCACCTCCTTGGTTCTCACAGGCCAAACCCTTCTTGTCAGGACTGTGCGTATCTCGGGTAGAGTGAAGCAGACATGCGCACCTGGGTGTTTCTGAAGCAACTCTCATAACTGCGCCCCCATCCACAGGTCTTCATTTGATTCCACTGGCCAACTTCATCTAATTCCTTTCCCCTAAAAATGTGAAGAAACAGGGTCATGATGGGTTGAATAGGGGTCAACAGGTATGGCCATAGTTAACTTGCTTTTGTGAGTAAAGTTTTATTGGTACATAGATACCCATTTGTTCACAGGTTGGCCATCCTGCTTTCATGCTGCATTAGCAGTGATGAGTAGCAGTGCGTAATTGTAACCAACAATAGGACCTTTACACACACAGTTTGCCTATCCCTCAAGTAACAGCAACAGCTGAGGTTAGTGGAGAGGCTTCCTGGGCAGGTCCTGCTCTAAGCACCAGAACATCCCTTGGAATCCTCACAGGCATTGCTTTGAGCTCCATTTGACAGCTGAGGCTGAGGCAAAGTCACTCCTCCAAGACTGTGCGTAGGATGTACAGAGTAAAAAGGGCACACTGAGACTGAAATTGGCCTGACCTCATCCTGATTCCTCATTCTCAAGCAGTTTGATTTAGCCTGTTGTAACTGCAAATTATGAAAGCGGGTTGCCTTTTTAAAAAAAGAAAAACTCCAGTTTTATTAAATTTTGTTGTTGTCTTACAGCTTCAGTCAATAATTAAGAAAGTTATTGCCCACTTCCATGATTTCTCAGTTCTTTTCTCAGTGGTAAGTAATGTTTCTTAGTTGTCTTTGGAAATTTGTATCCTATTTCTCTATCCTGTTTTAATGGCATCCTAGGCCAGAAGAAAGACTCAACAATTGCTTCCATACAGCACTGAGATCAAATCATATTAATGAATAATTATGTCCTACAACTTAGGCAGCCTTTGAAAAAATACCACACATAAGCCAAAGTAAAGTATTGTTTCTGTCGGTCAAGTACTAACTGAGCCCACCCCTGCTTAGCTTCTGAGATCAGATGAGATTGGGCATGTTTAGGGTTCAGGATGGTTTGGACATCGATGAAAAATACAGTATTATTTCTTTCGCATTCATTACTCAGCAATGGATGTGTGTTCCTCCTGGGAAAGACATAATGTTTCCAACCTGTAGTTAAGTTGGATGCCCTAAACCTCATTTCCTCTTCCATATTTATTTTCCCATGATTCAGATTAAGACTCCTTTATCCAAAATGCTTAAGTCCAGAAGTATTTCATATTTCTGAGTTTTTCAAGTTTGGGAATACTTGCATACACTATCTCTTAAGCATTTCTAGTCCAAAGTCTATATTTCAGATTCCATGTTTTCAGATTAGGAATATTTAACTTGTACTTGCTTTTCTCATGCACTTATTGTCAAAACTATGCAATACATTGGTGGTTGTTTCAGTGTCTGAGTTAAGATTTAATATATTTCCCTTAAATTTAAAATCCCTTGCAACAAGCTGTTGAGTTTGCTTCAGGACCTTAGGCAAGCAGGAATCTAGGTGACTTCTGTATGGTAACATTCTGTGACCCTTACCTTAGCTTCCATCTTCTGGGTTCTACTTGTGTATACTCATGGGATTGTAAGATCTGGTTTTCTTTTTTGATAATAGAAACTAATATTTATTGGATGTGTACCATACTCAGTACAGTGGTGAGACTTACCATGCTGCCTTGCATCCTCGTCATCCTACCAGTTTGCAGATGAGAAAACTAATACTGGAAGGAGTAACCTGCACAAGATCACAGTCGCTGCATGCAGGGCCAAGAGTCAAAGCCAAGCAGTTTGGGTTTAAGGCCAGCCTTTAAACAACCTGTCTCTGACTCTTTCACTCTGCTTGTCAGTACAGTCAGAAAACACTGAAGTTTGCTTGTGTGTTACTACCTAAGAAAGCTTATAGCCATCTAAAGGTTGCCCAGATGGTTCACCAAAATATGAATTGGTCCCAGCACCAATCTCTGGGGCACACACAAGTTGTTTTAACAGTATAGGTTGGATAGCTCTTATCTGAAGTGCTTAGGACCCAGAGAAGTGTTTGATTTTGGATTTTGGAATAATTGCATATAGAAATGAGATACTTCAAAGAGGGTATATACACGTCTGAACATGGATTTCATTTATATATCATCTATATCATATACACATACTCTAAAGGTACTTTTATGTAATATCTTTAATAATTTTGTGCATGAAAACAAATTCCATGGTTTGGAATTTCCCATTTGTGGCATCTTGTTGCCATTCAGAATACATTGGATTTAAGGCATTTTAGATTTCATATTTTTTAATTGGGGGCACTCAATATGCAATAGTTTATTAGGACTCCAGGGTGATCTTTCAGGGAAATCTTGCACACCTGTTTCATTGTTTGGTCCCTAAAGAAAAATTGATTCATAAATTATTTTTTCCTACTTTACTTTTTAGGAAAAATTTCTACCATTTCTGGATATGTTCCAGAAAGAGAGTGTGCGGGTGGAGGTTTGCAAATACATCATGGAAGCCTTTATCAAGTGAGTGCAACTTGGTGTCACTGGAAGCCTTCATTCTCAGTGCCCTTGGGAAATGTGCTAAAATCTTAGGTCATGCAGTTTGAGGCGTGGGAACATGTAATACCTCATACCTGGAAGGAGAACCATATTGAAAAGCAGGATTATGAAGGCAAACTGACCAGAAATAGCATGAGTGTGGCTGGCAGTACTCCCTTCGGACGAGGAGGCTTAGATGAACTGCACGAGGAGTAACATCTTTTAAGAATAAAAAAATAAAGGTGTTTTTACAAAAGCAGGAGTACCAGGAAGGTTTTCATCTTCAGTATTTGAAATGGTAGCTGACTAATCTGTGATCGGGTTTCAAATTTAGTTTGTTTCATTTTATTGAGTCTGTGTTTTCCAAAATTGTCCTCTATAAGTGGTACATAAAGTAATTTTAAAGTGGTATGTGGAACAAAGGTTTTTGTTTCAATTTTATTTTTTTAATCCAAAATACTAAGTTTTAAAATAAAATTATGTGTTGGGCATAGTGGTGCACCCCTGTAATACCAGCATTCGGGAAGCTGGGGCTGTAGTGGGTTTGAGGCTAACTCGGGCTACATAGCAAGTTTGAGACCAGCCTGCAATATAGAGTGAAAATTTGTCATAAAAAAAAAAAGTAGAGCATTATGTATAGTTAAGATCTTACATATTTACTAGGCATAGTAGTGCATGCTTGTAATCCCAGCATTTAGGAGGCTGATGAAGGAGGATCACTATGAGTTCAAGGCCAGCCTGTGCTCCATAGTGAGTTCACGACTAGCCTAAACTACCTAGCAAGACTTTGTCTCAAAAAACCTAAACAAAAAACAAAAAACAAAAAAACCTTACTGATCCAAACACAGATATGCAGCATACCTATCAAATTCTACATAATTCCATGTACCACATTCCTGCTATTTATTGAGAGTTATTCTAGGTATTTGAAAATCAATAGTAATTAAAACCCTGCTCTCACTGAGCATAGTGACACTTAACCCAGTAAGCTGAGGCAGACAGATCTTGGGAGCCTAGGATTTTGAAGCCAGCCTGTGCAACATACCAAGACTTTATCTAAGGAGGGAAAAAAAAAAGCCTTCTAAGGAGGAGAGAACAAAAGAAAGCATAAATAATTAAGTCCGTTGGTGATAATGTATAGGATAGAGAAATATAGTGCCAGTAGTCTTAAAAGTTATATACTATATTGATTTTTAATGTATTAGGCAATATATAACTAGATTTAGCCTATGATTTCATGTGTATTATTTTATGCCTACATTAAAATTAAAGTCGCTTTAATATTAAATTCAGAGGTATAGTTGAATTTGGAAAAACCAAGTCTGTTCAAATATGTTGTAAGCTTTTCTTGTTATCTTTCTAAAAGATTAATTCCTTCTTAAAGACTAGTTTATCATTAAAATACTTGAAGTAGACTGAGATATATGAATATTTATGAGTTTATCCTTTTACATTATTTAGAAAACCAATTTTACTAATTTTGTGGCACTTTCACATTACAGGCAAATTCAGAAGGTACAAGAAATAGCCATTTCTTTGCCCTTTGCCTGTCTTGGAAAATGTAGCATTTTTTCCATGATTCTGGTGTTATAAGTAATAATATATGTGTTAAAGTAATAATATATGTGTAAAAGAACAAATTGGTTATTTAAGGAATTAAAAGGAAAAATAGAACATTGCCTTTTACTGGCAAACCCAGGCCATGTGAGAGGCCACCCAGGTAATTTTCAGCTTCTCAGATCCATGCAGGAGATGAGAATAATCCTGTTATTTCATTCCTGTGAATGCCTAGACCTTTTCCTCTTACCCTTTTATATTTTCTAGGCATCAACAAGAGCCTACCAAGGACCCTGTCATTCTGAATGCCCTTTTGCACATTTGCAAGACCATGCATGACTCCGTGAAGTAAGTCACATTTAAAGCTAAAACACAATGTAGTTTGTGTTTAAATACCATCTAACAGCACATTAGAGAGTGGCTGCTGTAAACTGCCACTGGGAGCTTTATTTGGTCTATTAAGATTCTTGCTAACAAGGACATTCTGATCCAGGAGAGTAGGCATGGGGGTAACCTTGAGAAAATGAGGTAGCAGATGTTTGTACAAAGGGATTTCTTTGGAGGAAAAAGGCTGGATTCATCCAACTGAACTCAAGTCCCGTGTGTCCTAGAGATTTCTGAAAGCAGCAGATAGCGTAATGAATGCACTTGTCTAATAACAAGATCTTTTAATTTTACCTGTTAGCCTGTTATTTAAAATTCAAATGAAATTGATTGCTTACATTCCTTACATGAAGGACTTCATGCTCAGTATATTTGAGGCTGAGACCTATCTACAAACCTTGCTTTTCAACCATTTCTCTTGGTTTTTTAAAAACATGTTTCCATTTGACTGTGCTTATGACAATTTCTGTATGTTTGTGGCTGAAAGAATTTGTAAGCACAAGCAGCTTGATTTAATGAACAATGTTGCAAAAATTAAGAAAACTGTTTTGGAATTTCAACATCAACAAGGTGCGTTCTAGTCTTATATTCTTAATTTTAGAATCTTGTGATTCTTTCAAATTCATAAGTAATCATAAAACTCAAAATATCAAGAATATATTTATTTTAATAATAGGCCCTATAGAACTTTTATGAACAAAAATAGACATAAAGGCCTGAGAAAGACCTAGAACGGCTCTTGCATTTATAAGATACTGTTTTTTGGCTCATGAGAGCCAGAGGAAACACAGTGACCCTGGCGTGTCATCCAGGGACCAGGTTCCTTACATCTTGTTGCTCTGTGCCCTGAGTGATGCCATCTTTGGCTTCCTGATGGTGGTTGGCCTCCCTTGACCAAGTTTATGGCATGAACAGCCTCATTGGAGGACAACAGCTTACTTAAAGGGACACTGCTTGGGAGGTTCGCATACACTTCTCATCATATCTGCTTATGAAGGAGGTTGGGCTGTGTTGTTCCAAAGAACTAAGAGAACCATGCAATCATTGCCAAAATTTACTGTTTCCTAGAGGAAACCAACCAAAAACTATCATTCCTGTTTTCTCTGGACTCTTAATTTTTTGTTTGTTTGTTTCGATTTCCTTTGCAGTGCTAGGGATGGAACCCAGGGCTTTGTGCAGGCTAAGCAAGTACTTTGCCACTGAACCACACATCCAGCCCAGGCTGTGAAATTTTTAAAAATAACACTGGAGAACTGTAGGCCTTCATATATATAATTAAAACTAAAAAAAAGACTTGATGTTTTAATTTGTATTTGTGTTATATTTTCTGTTAGTTAAAGTCACTAAGAGCTGGTCTATGTTACAGTGTAGCCAAAAATCAGACAAACTGATAGATGGAGAGGGGAGTAGATAGTTGTGTGATAACACATGTGTGAGACACTGATGTTGGCTCTCGATGATATGTGTGTGGATGTTCACTGGAAAAGCTCTTATGGACAAGATTTTTTATAATATAGTGTTCAAATTTCTCTAAATTACAAAATTTTCTAATATTTGTTTATTTTTATTTATTTTTACTATAAAAAGTTTAAAAAATTTTTTGGTACCAGGAATCCAACTTGGGAGTCACACTTGCCAGGCAGGTGCTGTGCTGCTGAGCTGTGGCCCTTAAATTACAAAATTTAGAACTTGCTGCCCAAATTCCAAAGAAGAGAAAATTGCCTTCTCTTCCTATTAATAAATCAGAGTGGCATTTTTGAGGAAGAAGAGAAGTACATTTAAATTAGATTTTATCTGAAGGAAAATGCATAGCCTATTGGAAGTTTTTGAGATCTAGAAAAATACACCATATTTTTATTTGTTAAAGTGTTTTTGTCTTCAGAAGTTTCATTTTGTTAATTATGTACAATTATTGATCTTAGTGCACTTACTCTGGAGGATGAGAAAAGAACACTGGCACATCTGATTAATGGATTTATAAAAATGGTAAGTTTGGGGGTAGATATTTAAGTACACTTAGAAATGTGATATAATTGTTTATCCCCATTCTGGTGCAAGCGGTTAATGTTTTGTTCCCCAGTGCTTTTCATTTTTTGAGAGAAGATAAAATTAGAAAACATTACTTTAGCCAATACTTCTGTGAGGGCAAAGTGAGCCAAAACATACTGACTTCAGGAAAAATAAAAAGGAGGGAGGTTAGAAGAGGGATTAATTTGCTCATGTGACAAAAGTCCATGGATAGAAACCCCAAAGGAACAGCTGGACTTGGGGCTCCCTGATGTCTGTGTCTGTCTTTGGCTCCATGTTCTGCTGGCTCCCATCTTGGATGGACTTGCTCCCCATAGGATCTCCAGGATTCTGTCCCCTGAGTTCTGCAACAGCCCATCACGAGGGTGCCTGTAGAAGTCCCATAAGGGATCTCTTTGAATTAACTTGATGGCCCAGGTACACTGGCTGGCCATGCTGGGAGACATTTGCTCACCTGGATATTCAAGTCACAGGGACCAACAGTGGAGAGAAGTGGCTCTCTGAAGCAGCTGATATGTTGACTGCCAGAGGATGACAAGAAATGTGCTGGTAGCTGGGTGCCTTCGTGCGTGCCTGTAATCCTTGCACTCTGGCAGGCAGAGGGAGGAGGATTAGAAGTTTAACCTCAGCTTGGGCAACTCATTGAGACCCTTATCTTAAAATTTTAAAGTGCTGGGCAGGCAAAATGCCAGACATCTAACTCCTTCCATGTTACTGCTATGAACAGCTCACTCTTAAGTGCAGTGGTTTTATTTTTTTTAACTTTTTGTCAGTACCAGGGATCGAACTCATGACCACTTGCTTGCAAGGCAGGTGCTTATGCCGCTGAGCTAAATCCCCAGCCCCGCACAGTGGTTTTAAATGCCTATTAGTTTTATGAGTTGACTGAGCCCTAGAGGAGAGAAAGATGAGGGACTCTTACCTCTTTTTAGGAAGAGTCCAGAGATACTTTTCAAAAGGACAAGCGTAGCCAGGCATGGTGGTGTATGCCTGTAATCTCAGCACTCTGGGAGACAGAATGATCAAAAGCTCCAGCCCAGCCTGGTCAGTTCAGTGACAGGCTGATCCTCTTTCAAAACAAGAATAAAAAATGGAAAAGTAGAGTGGGTGGATGATTGCAACCTTCTTTGTAAACATTGTACCATTATACCATCCTAATCTGAGCAATCTTTGCCTTAATTCTTGGTGCTGCTCAAAGCTAAAACATCCATCGCTACCAGTTTTTATTCTGTTTTGTTTTATTTGAGACAGTCTCTCATTGTTGCCCAGACTGGCCTCAAACTCCTGGGCTAAAGTGATCCTCTGCCTCAGCCTTTTGCCTTCCAAATAATGGGGACTACAAGTGCATGCCACCATACCTCACTTGGCATCTTCTCTTTTAATAGAAATGTCAGAACCAGCCAGACTGAGGTAAAAATGGTACCATTTTGAAAATACCCTTGGAGGCTTGGGGATGTAGCTCATTGACAGGGTGCTTGCCTAATATGACAGAGTGCTTGTCTAGGGCACAAGGCCCTAGGTTAAATCCTTGGCACTTCAACCAACAAAATTGAACAAAAATTTTAAATTGTGGCTTGATTAGCAACAAATAGTGATTTAACTGTCCAACTGATTCTATGGGTCAAAAATCAATTTGAATGAAAATTCAGGATTTGCTGTTTAACTCCCATATGAGAAATAATCAATGGATTTTTACCAAGTGACTCTCCTTTGTCCTTAGTTTACACAGTATACTGTGTAGGTTGTGTTTATCCTTTTATGGCTTTGTTTGAAAATCAGAGTTATAAGGGAAAAGAATATGAGGAAATAAGATGTGGAACCTGATAGCTGTAATGGAAATAGCAAGATTAAACCTGCAGGTACAAAATGATTGATGTAGCAGTTTTTCCTCTTAACCAGCTGTTCATAAACTTACAGAAATGAGAGAAGGGGACAGTGTTTATGGTGAAATTTCCTTCTGTGGCTCCAGCAGCCACTGGTGAGCTGCTAAGGTCAGATCCCATCAGGAAGCAGAAAGTCATGGCTCTTGTTAGAGAATCCCCTCTGACACATGGCTCCCAAGAACCAAATTTATGTTCTGTGAGAAAGCTGCTGTTGACCAAAAAAATTCCATGATTTCCTTTTCCACAGTTTTCCTCTAAACCTGGAAAACCCTATTCATATTTCAAGCTTCTGTTTCATACCCTTTGACATTTTGTGTTCCCATTCAAGGCCCATGTCATAATGCTGAGATAGTAATTGCAATATTTCAGTTATACACCAGGTGAAGTAGCATAATACCTTTTGGAGGGTTTTTTGGGTGGGGGAGGGGTGCAGTTGAGTCAGGGTCTCACTATGTTGTTTAAGCTGGCCTTGAACTTGCTGTATAGCCCAGAATGGCCTTGAAATTGGTGGCAATCCTCCTGCCTCAACCTTTTGAATGCTGGGATTATAGGCAAGCACCAGCATATCTAGCTAACATAAAGTCTTTCTAATTAAAATATATTGGTGTGTATTGTTGGTATTCCCTCTAAAGACAAAATTGCCTCTTACAGCATCATTCTCTTTGATCCTAGGTTTCCTTTGGCCGTGATTTTGAACAACAGCTCAGTTTTTATGTCGAGTCCAGGTCAATGTTTTGCAATCTGGAACCTGTTCTGGTGCAGTTGATTCATGTAAGGAGTTTCATGCATTTATTCATAATAGAGAACATCTATTGGTTATCTACACCATACATCTATTTTTTATCAGGGATTCTTCTGGCTCTGTGCTGCTACTGGTCTTCCAGGTCTGAAACGTAGTTTCTCCAAAGTTAATAAAATCTACAACTTTGCTTGTCTTTGGAGGTTTTATTGGTCTCTTCCCCAAAACTTGCATATTCTTACTTCTGCATGCCAACAGCAAGGAGTTAAGTGATTTACACTGTTTAGTTATAGAAGTAGTAACCTGGAGTCTCTTTTTGCCTCACCAGAGGTTCCCAACTTGCTTGGATTATGACATCTTGCAGTAACTTGATGGCTTCTAGGTTAAAAGAAATTATAATAGTTCTGTTTCTTATGAAGTAAAGTTCAGGCAGTTTTAGCATTTATGACCTAAAAGCTTGGCAGCCATTTGGAAAAAGTAATGTACATAAATTGAAAGAGATATAATATTTTTATTTCATTCTTACCCAGGATTACTTACTAATACTTATTTCTAATTGAGTACTTACAGAGAAGTACATAATTTTCCAACCTTGGACTCAGACACTGTTACTCCTATTTTCCGATCCTCATTGATCATTTTTTCCACATCCACTTTTGCTTTTTATTATAGTAGCTGTCAAAAACTTTTTCAAATATGCAACATGGCTGTAAGAGATGGAGTGCAGTCCCGTGTTGAGTCATGAGATGCCTCACACTAGCACTCTGTAGAACTCAAAGTCTGTTTCCCTATAAAGTGTGGTGCCCTGGTGCCATGGCACCCTAGGGTACCACAGTGCACATTTTGGGAACCTTAGGTCCCAACTTCACATTTCTGGGAAAACTTCCTTCAGTTTTTATTGATTGATTGATTGATTGATTGATACCAGGGATTGAACTCATGACCTTGCGCTTACCAGGCAAGTGCTCAAGCCACTGAACTAAATCCTTGCCCTATCCTCAGTGTCTTTAATTGTTATTTAAGGAGAGCAATCTTTATATGTGGTTCCCCCCCCCCACTAGCAGACTATTTCACACACTTAAGACTTAATGTAGAGATAACAAAATGTGAATAAGTAACTATACCTACCTGTAGGGATATGGATTGAGTGAGCTGATGAGTGTGTTACAGCTGAATGATGTGGCCCCAGTTATTGGTGTTATTAGTACTGCTTAGCTAAGTTGTACACTGTGCCCTTAGATTTAGAGCATTGTTTTGAAATATTTGAGATCTTGAACTTAGAACAAGGGATATCTGGAAATAGAGAAGTGAATCCTAATTGTTCATTAAATCAGAACATGATCATCTGTAACACTGGCTGGAAGGGGTGATTAATTTAGGGAGTGCTATCATTCTTGCCCCTTATAAATGTCTGCTAAAGCCTTACCTAGTGGGGCCTCTTGAAATTTTTGGTATTTCGGAATTGGGACTGACCAGTGTTGGTCCTAGTTAGTTAGATTGCATTGATTTTCTGTGTGTGTAGGTCTGTGTGGTGTGTCTCTGTGTGTGTGTATTTAATGTCCTAATCTTTAAGGAAGATGTTTGAAATGACCACCATTCATTACCATTTCTATTTTATTTTGGAACAAATCCAGAGTGTGAACCGACTAGCAATGGAAACAAGGAAAGTAATGAAAGGAAATCATTCCAGAAAGACGGCTGCATTTGTCCGGGTATGTTCTAGAGATAAAGCCTCTCAGACTTTGAGCTCCAGTGGGCTATTTAGTTTGCAAGTTACTACGTTGCTGTTCATGGAGAAGGACAAGTGTATTGTGATAAGGGTGGTTTAAATAGCTTTTTCAGATGAAATTTCCCCGCTGTCTAACATTAGTCTTATTGTTTCCAAAAGAAATGATCAAATAAATCTGAATTTTAATATATGTTGAGCATATCTAATGCAAAAATCCAAAATACTCCCCAATCTAAAACCTTCTGATGACCAACATGGTGCCACAAATGGAAAATTCCACATTATGAAATTATTTCATGCATAAAATTACCTTTTGGCTACATGTATAAATTGTTTATGAAACACAAATGAATTTTATGTTTAAATTTGGGTCCCATCCTCAAGGTATCTTATTATGTGTGTATAAATATTCCAGTCTCCAGAAAATCTTCCTGAAATACATTTCAGATAAGGGATATTCATTCCACTTGTATGTGTTTTAAGAAAGGGATCAAGATGGATTTGCATTTTTGTATGCCAGCTGAATTATCTCTTAACTTCCTCTAATACATTATTATAACATTATAAAATATTACTCTAATATAATAATATAATAGTGTGTGTAATATACCATGCCTGGAACTGGAAGGCTTAGTGCCTCTTTTTCTTAATAAGCATAATGCTCAAAAGTTTGAAAAAGAAATTTCAGCTTGAGTTTACTACTCAGAACTGTATTGCAGCAATACATGTCCATGTCTTTAAACTGAAATCATGCTGAAGTGATGACCATGGGATCTAAGTGTCATATAAGTGTTGCAGCCCTTATATGCTGGTCCTTCCATAGGCCCAAGTAATATTTCAAATGGTTGCTTCTTAGTTTACCAGCAGTAGGTGGTACCTGTGCAGTTTCTTCAGTGATGAATAAATAATTACTTTCCACGCACCATACTCCCCTCATTCCCCTCTCCGCATCCTCCCAAGGGTTGTCAGATAGGTAGGAAAGGCAAGAGAGAAAAATGAAGGGGATGGTTATTGTTGGGGAAATAGAGGGATAAATTGTTGTGTTTTTGCTAGAAACATGACGATGGATGAACATGGGAGCATGACAGTAGCAGCCCAGCATTGCCCACCTAATGCTTTTCATCTCCCCTTCTCTCTAGGCCTGTGTCGCCTACTGCTTCATCACCATTCCCTCCTTGGTGGGCATCTTCACACGCCTCAACCTCTACCTACATTCTGGTCAGGTTGCCTTGGCCAACCAGTGCCTCTCCCAAGGTGAGCTGGCAGTATCCTGGCCTGGCCGAATCCTTGCTGCTGAGAAAAGCAGACTTGGCCAGGCCGGGCCATGTGCATGCGTGTGTGTAGATTCTCTTAAGGAGAAGAGAAAAATGATCAGTAAATATGGAATCTTTTGTTTTGTTTTGGTAGTACTGTGTTTTGTTTCCAAGGTTTTTACACTGAGTTACAGATTTAACAGCCTTTAAAAATTTTTTTTGTGAGTTTTGAGGCAGAGTGTTACAAAGTCATTAAGTTGCCCAAGCTGTGCTCAAACTTACAGTCCCTGACTCAGCCTCCTAGAGGTCTTAGATTGCAGGTATGTGTCACCATGTCCAGCTTGAATCTGTTTCTCTTGGAAGCACGTCAGTGACCCATATGTGTATGGAGACAGTTAAAGATGGATTACAGAGCACAGAGAACTTCCCATAAAACCCTTCTCAAGGCCATCTCATGTTGGGTCAGGCAACCTCCCAGAGATGCTGGGCTGGGGACAGCTGAAGATGAGTGCAATTAGGATTGCTCAGCCACAGAAGGGTCCTGTTTGATTTTTGTTGCTGGTGTTTGTGTACATGAAACTCACCTCAGAGACACACCAGTGGAATCTGATTGTGTGAAAGGAACCTTGTTATTGACATAGCTGTCCTTGAGGGGATATGAGATATGGCTCAGCTGAGAAGCAACCATGGCGAGCATCAGATTGGGGGCTGAGAAGGTGTGAGAGAGAAGGTAAGGAAGCCACATGATGTGCATTGTGGGTACCTAAGAGGGGACCACGAACCCACCTTGGTGTTACCTCACCTGAGGGAAGGAGAAGACAGTTCTTTTAACCCTTTTTGCCATCTGTGATCACTGGGCAGTGCTTGTGGGACATGAACCTCCTGGCAGTTTGGCGCGCCCCATCCATGAGCCCAGAGAACACACCTAGGTGAGAGTCCCAGGTATTTGTGGCAGGGCACCTTGCTTGCCTGCCTTGGTGCCGTGTCCAGGGCTTCAGCTAGAGCCCTGTGGGGTGTTAGTGAGGTATCCATGCAGCAGACCAACCCACAGAGTAGAAGAGATCCTGCCATGACATTTAGGAAGCAGTGGTTGTGTGGAAAGCCTTCCACACAACATTATTTTGCTTTATACTCACAACAAACACATGAAGCTGGTTCTGAGGTTGGTGCATTTTGCCAGGTGAGGAAACTGAGGCAGGGAGTGGAAGGAAGCTGGCCTGAGGAAAGTCTGCTGGCGTGTGGCTGAGTGGCCATGCCTTTCACTACAGGATATATTAGGTAGCTGCTGCACAAACAGCCAGAAGCGTTAATGACAACTAGGAGATTTCAGGAGCTCCTGGTAAGGTGGATGGGTATCCTTAATGGTAGTCCTCAACCCAGCCTGATGGATTAGACTGTGCTTGGTGATTTACCACTTGCTGACATTGGTTTATGTGGGTCCTCTGGGCCTATTGGAGAGTAGTCACTCTTCCCCTGTTCTTTTGACCCATGTCATGGTAAGCCCATTGGGCATCTGTACTTTGATTCAATTGGGGAGCTGAATCAAGGAGCCACCCCTCTGCTTGTAGAAGTCTTCAAACATAGTTGTCTTGTAGAAACCTTTTCATACTGTTTGGTTTTGCTTTCAAACCCTGGGGCCTTTAGGAGCTTCCCAGAGCAATGGGAACTAGGCACCTTGTACCTAAATCCGAGGTGATTGAGTACCTGCCTTCTGTCTTCGTCTCAAAACAAGTTTTAGCCAGGAAGAACTTTCTCTGTTTTTTTTTTTAACATACTAAGCTGTTTCACAAGTCAGAGTCTTTGTACTTTCTGTTCCCTCTCTCCAGAATGTTCTTTCCCTCAAGATATTTACTGTTTATTAATATTTTTGCAATGCAAAGTGATGAGAATTAAGCCACAGCTCTTAGCTTGTGTGCTTTTTTTTAAATTGGTTATGCTAGGGATGGAACTTGGGCCCTTGAATCTAGCAGCCAAGTGCTGTACCTCTGAGCTGCATCCCTAGTCCAAGCCACAGCTCTTTGTGACCACACTGGCTGAAGTAGCCACTCTGTCATGCTCTGTTGTCCTTATTGTCATCATCACACATGTCCCAAGATGACATTTTCCTGCTATCAGTTTGTTTGTTTACTGTCTAGGAAAACACCTCTGCTCATGGTGTGTTGATAAAAGTGGAACTTTCTTCTTGCTTTGCTGAAGATGGTAGGTTAGCAAGGAACAAAGAGAAAAAGTGGCAGCCACCACCAAAAACCTGATGACATTAAAAATGAAAATTAAACAGTTTAGGGGCTGGGGATTTAGCTCAGTGGCATAGGTGCCTGCCTTGCAAGCAGGCAGTCGCGAGTTCGATCCCCAGTACCAGTAAAAACGAAAAAGACAAAAAAAAAAAAAAAGAAAATTAAACAGTTTAAATCTTCTTATAGATTGGTTCCTTCTTGGAAAGTTCAAGTACTGTTTAGACACAAGAAGGACTCTAGAGTTTTGTTTTCTCCTACAGCATGAGCCACGGATCATGAGCTGCAGAGCCCAGAGCTTTGGACTTCCTTCCAGTGAAGGCTCTGGAGGTCTAAAAGTTTATTCTTTCAGGACTAGGACATTGAATATTATAGGTATCAGAAAATTTATGACTGAAGCCTCTATCAGACTTCATGCTATTTAAAAAATGAAATAAAATAATTTCTCAAGCTAATTACATGTCCTTTTTGATCAAAGATTTGCTGTTCTAAGACATGTTCAAAGAGAGTGTAAATGATTTTCTCCCTGTGGTGCTGCCCTGTGTTGTCAGTGGTCCACACCAAGGGACCTGTGTTCATCAGCATTAGAACTCTTATTTCCTTGACACCCGACCCCATACTTGAAGCAACTGCTGGGGAGCAGGAACGCAGTGTCCACTCCATGTTTAAAAATGTATCTGATAATTTTGCTCAAGTCTTTCAATGCTGTGGCACCAAACCTTAAAAGCCTATTATTGTTGTTCTGAAAGCCAAATGTAGCAGTTGCTGGCCAAAATAAATAATGCATTCAATTACTGAGAAGGGGAAGGCTAAATATAAATTGAATGAAGCTCATGGAAATGGGTCGCTTTTGTTTGTGTCCCTGAATATCCTCCCTTTTCAGTGGGTTATAAAACATTGTCCTTCCCCCAATTCACTTTTTTGCCTTCCTTAATCCAGCTTTGATATCAGCCTGTGGCTTTGCCAGGGCTGGGTCCAACCCAGTAATAAACTCGTGAAGCCTCTGGCAGGCCAGTGCCCATACCAATGGGGGCTCAGTTCAGGGAAGTCTGGTTCTGCTTCTTTACTCACAGCTGGGCTGGAGACTGAATCAGGCTTGTCACCCTGGGAGTACTTTGGAGAAATAAAAGACTTGCAAATCATTTGTTTGATCCTATGTTTCTTACCTAGAAAAAGCCAGAAATGTGTTTGTGTTTTCTTTCAGGTGTAACTTCTTGCCCGTCTTTGTCAGTGGCTCTTTTCTGAATGGTTACTAACATGCCCCAGCACGAGCAGATTGTTTTGACCTTTATTTTTATATTTTTACTTCTATTCCTTTTCTTTACAGCTTTTAGTGTCAAAAGTCGGGGTACAGTCAGCCCCTCAGAAACTCCAATTCTGCATTTGAAGGCTTAACTAACCATAAATAGAAAATACTTGAGGATTGGGAGAGGACAGTTATGTCTGTACTAAACATGTATAGACCTTTTGCCTTGTAATGACTCTCTAAACAGTATAGCAGCTATTTACATAACCTTTATATGAGGCATATGTAAGTAATCTAGAGATGATTTAAAGTACATGGAGGATGTGCATAGGTTATCTGCAAACACTGTATCATTTTATATGACGGATGGAGAATCACAGATTTTGGTATCCACAGGGATCCTGGACTCTATGTTCTGCAAATGCTGAAGAGTGACTATATTTTATAGTGGAAGTTGTATTTAAGGTGGATCTTGAAAGAATATATATATTTATGAGCAGGATGTGGAAAGGGGAGGAGAAAGGAATGATGAGCATTCCAGGCAGAGTGAATGGTCTGAAAGATATAGAAGAGTGGAATTCCTTTGTGTATTTGGCCAACAGCAAGATATTGAGACAAGACCCTAATTAATAATGACTTTTTCCCCTAGTACTGGGGGTTGAGTCCCAGGAGTTTTGTGCTGATTTACATATCTAGCCCATTTTTTATTTTGAAGCAGTGTCACTAAGTTGCCCAGACTAAGTTCAACTTGTGATCCTCTTGCCTCAGCCTCCCAGAAAGTTGGAATTACAGGCTTGCATTACCCCATCCACCTACCAGTAACTTTTAAGTCTCTGAATGCATTGGTGCCGATACTGACTCTACCACTTAGTAGTCAGGTGCTCTGAGACAAGCTGACCTTTCTGTGCCTCAGTTTCTCCATCAGTAAAGTGAGGTGATCACAGTGATACCTGTCAAGAGTAAATGAGATAAAAATGACCTTGGGGCACTTGGCCTCCTGGCACACACACAGGAGCTGCTCTGTGACCATCATAACATCTCACAGGGAGGGCATGCCTTGGGGTTATACGCACTGTGTTCATTGATTCTACTCTGCTTTTAGTTTTGAAAATCAGTTTCTCATATGCAAAACCTTAAGGAATCTACAGGAAAGCCAATATTTAGTTCAAGAACAACAGCTCAGTTATGCTAGGAATAAAAGATCTTCAGTTCCTCCAAAGCTGGAATGGAATACAGAAAGCAAGTAAAGCAAAGCATAAAAGTGTAAAAACAAGAATGGTTTTGGTATTGTCATTGATAATAACACTTTTCCCTCCTATAGAGTTCTCATCCCTTTTTTTAAATTTTCCTTTTTTACCTTATTTTTCATATGTTCATGCCAGAGCTTTAGGCCATATCTATAGGAACACCATCCTTGGCTTCCTCAACCTTAATCTAGGTTTAAAAAAAAAAAATGAGTGCAGGTTATTCTATAAGAGGAGTCAGCCCTGCATCCCTTGTTTCCTTCACGGTCCTTATTACCAT